TATTAAGAGTCGAATCTCACGCCACCGAAGCAGCTCTCCAGCATCAATTTATAGTGCTGTGAGTAAGCTAGCCAGAGGGACAGAAGGACTAGGGCATCGGGTAGCATTACTAGAGTCAGAGGTTCAAATCCTTCGAGAGGAGAATGCAATATTAAGTCGGCGTCGAAGGGCTAAGAAAACACGTCTACAGAAAGGAGGAAGTCTTACTATATCTACTGGAGAGGATATACAGTCGCAAAGAGAGGCAGACACGCAACTACAAGAGGAAACGCGACGGAGTAGTGGTCGCAAAGTGAGGTCTGAGACGACTCATCGTCGGTGTGGCGTATGCGGGAATACAGGCCACAACGCGAGAACATGTCAATTTATTGAGGAAACATCCGAAGAACAGGAATCCGAGTAGTATTAATCAATCTAAGATTTCTTGTTATAGATTTCGATATTATTGTCGCGAAGGTCTGGTTTACTGTCTCACTCGCTTGTCTGTCTCACTCGCTTATCATGTACGTTATACGTTATAATAGTCGAAGAAGTACTAGGCTTAAAAGAGGTAGCGATAGCTTAGGTTTATAATTCTAAGGTAGGGGTAATCTTCGATCCTAAGTTATAAAGTATAGTATATCTTAGGTCTTATATTTAGTATATTATAAAGTTTGATAAATTGCTTATTATTATGCTAATTTACTTACTTATATATAATACGTTCGGGGGTATTATCTTTCTTAGGTTCCTTTTTAAAGCTAGTATCGTCTATACTAAGGATAAGCTTATAAGCAATCTCCGTCTAAGTACGTAGTAGGTAACGTACGAGGTTTATCTGAGTTATAAAGTAAATCTTCTCCTTCTCCGAACGTCTAGTTGCTTGAGACAGTAAGTTTACTGGATTGATATTCAGGATTTGTTATTTAGTAGGGGGTTATACTAATGTTTAGGTTCCTTATCTAAATCTTCTTTGTTCTCGATTCCTTAATTTGATTTATTTCGTATTAAACTTATGCTTCGGAGTCTCTAATCCTTTATAGGGTTTCTTTATCATAACCTATAGGATTATTATAAGTAGCTTGCTTTAAGGTAATACGTAAGGCTAATAAGCCTATAGGTTTAAGTTATTATACTTATAGTATTCGTTAAGTTGTTTAGTAGTTTTTCTAATTATCTTGCTATTAGCCTAGGAGGCTATTGTAAGGGTTTTGCTAGTAGGCTAGTGTCCTGTCATTTCTTTGTTGCTAAGGTGTATAGGGCATTTGTCGTCGTAGCATCCTGTCTACGATAGGGATGCGTGGGGTGTCTTAGTTGCTATACTAGCTTGCTTAGTTTGCTTAGGTACTAGCTTCTAGTTAGGCTTCTTAGGTTATCTATAGTCTTTAGTAATATATCTTATTTTTTTATAATTATAATACTTAGGGTTTTAAGGTTTCTTATCGTTACTCTTAGTAATAGTACTAAGGTTTATAAGTTTACTATATTATCTATAGGAAGTATTTTGTTAGGTATTATTTTAGTTATTACGAGGTCTATTATTATTCTACTAGTTATTAAACTTATATTAAGGCTATTATTAATACTTACGTCTTAAGTTTAGGTTTTGTCTTTTCTCTCTTCGTTCTTTTCGTCGTTTATAAAAGCAGTTATCGATCTTAATAGTATATTTAACGTAAGTAAGGAAACTAAAAGGTATTTCTAACTTAGCTATTTTGTCTTTAACATTATCTTTAAGTCCTTAGTAGAAGGCGAAGACTTTGCTTTCGTTAATTATATAAAGTCTTATAACTAATCGTCTAAACTTAGTAGTATAAAGTATAGCTAACTTAGTTTATTATAAGTATAATAAGTCTTGCTTAGCTTGCTTTTGCTTATTAAGGTTAAGGAAGAAGGATTTTAAGGCTTTAATATAGCTTGCGAAGCTAAAGAAGATGCTTTTACTTTTTCGCTATATTTTTTAACTAGGTTATTAAGCTATTCTTATTATAAAAGCTTAAACTAAGCAAAGGCTTTTCCTTGTAAGAAAGTAGCTATATATACTATACGTTCGGTATCGTTTTAGAAAGTATTAATATAGAAGGCTTAATAAGTTTATACCTAAACTAAGTATCTTTTAAGTTATCTTAAGGTCCTGTCGAAGGTAGAAGGGGTATTAAGCTTAAAGCGTTCGTATCCTTCGACTAGAGCGGAAATTACGTTAGTAGTAGCTTGAAGGGTATTGACTTCCTTCTTAAGTTCCTAAGTCTTGCGCGCTTGCTCCTAAAGTTCCTTAAGAGTAGTAGCGTTTTAGTTAAATATATCGCGTATCTCCTTAAAATCCTTAATAGTTTTATCAAGCTATCGCTTAAGTTCTTCGGTATCGTCTTCGCTTTCTAAGTCGTCCTTTATTTTCTAATCCTTAACTTCCTAGGCTGGCTTTAAGGAGCTTTTCTTCTAGAAGTAGACGAAGATCTAAGGGTAAGAGATTTAACAAAGGCGCGGGAAGACATTCTATACTATTTAGTAGGTATTAATAGTTAACTTACTAAATAAAAGTAATTAAAGTATTACGGTTAGCTATCCGATAGTAGGGTTGGCTAATAGAAGCTAGGGATTAATACTAGTAAATAGTATTATCATATCGTAAATCTAGTTTATAAGTTATAAGCTATATTGTAAATCGGTAGTTAGAAGCTAAGGTAATTAGTCTTAGACTTAATAAGTTATTCGTAGTAAAGGTAAGCTAAAAGTATCTTAAGGATAAATATAAAGTTGATTGCTAAAAAGCTATAGAAGTCTGACTATAGGCTAGCTTAGGTTATACTATATATAAGTCCTAGACAGTCCTTATGTCTTGTCGCTGATTACTGATCAGGTACCGGTAAGCGATTAGTAATCGTTAGTAAGCGCTTAGTAGCTTTAACTAAGCGCTTAGTAACCTATACTACCTGCTTAGTCTTATCTTATTATTACGTAACTTGTACTATAGTTCTTCCGTTCCTAAGTAAGTCCCTGTTGTTCCCGTGATCCTATAGTATAAATGTCCTGTCTAGCCGCTTGACGCCTAAGTAGGTCGTTTAGCTATTATCCTTGTTTACGGGTCGTAACATAAGGGTTAATTTTTAAGTTATAATACTAATTAGCTTTCTTTTAGTTAACGTTTAGGTAAAATTATACGCTATATACGTATTATCCCTTTTAGAAAGGAATATAGAAGATATAATTTATCTCCCTAAGGGTTATAGCTTATATCGGAATCTTGTTATAATTGTTTAGGTAGAATCTTAGAGATTAGGTTAGGTTAACCCTTACGATCGCTAGCCTTATAGAATTAACTAATAGTAGTATTACTACTAACTAAGATAGTATAGCGTTAGCGCTTAGGAGAAGGCAATTGATTATATATACTAGAGCTGCTAGGTCGGCGACGCGATTAGGGCCTTGATTGACTTGTAGAGGTAGACATCTTGACGTTATAAAGGAGAATAAATTAAATATATCTAATACGCTTTCGTAGTTATGAAGGGATAGGCTAAGAAGATAAGAAAGATACTTTATTAGATGATGGCAGAATTCGGATGCACTAACAATAAAATTTTGAGCTAATCACAACCTTAGAATGTGATGCGTCCCTAAGGATAATGCGTCCCTATCAATTCGTGATGCGTCCCTATCAATTCCCTTAATAAATTGCAATTGGCGCAAAGTGGAAATCAGAACACACTTTCGCAGCAGATACTTGCAATTTCTGAAGGGTTAGGTTTACTAAGTGTGACTAAATTCTCTCCTTAATGTGCATTGCAAAGCAAATACAAGCAGAGATGACCACTAGCAACTTTCTTTGTTAGTGACCAACTGAGTTTAGATGTTTGATTTTTCCGGCAGTTCCGATGGCTAAGTTAATTGAGCACTTGATATCAGGGTTGATTCTAACAATTGCAATCAGCCTGCAGCCCTGACTAGGCTCGCAAAACTGAGTTTAGCTATCACAATCAAGCTCTCTTCGTAACAAGGCATAGACTGGTTTGTTTAATGACAAACTAAACGAACTCGGAGCCTTTGAGAGCTAGTTGAAAATATAGTTTTGATAAGTAGTCTCTAGCCCTAATCTAGCCTAGGACCATACTCCTCACTCGTGTATTAACAGATACCAAGTAGAAGCCTCAGTCTGCCAGCTTTCTGAAAACTCATAAATGCAAAGATAATTCTTTTGTCTCAACATCAGTTGCACGCCTTGGGGGTATGCAGGTAGGAAGTCGCGGCCAACCCATATCCGTTGCTTGTGACAAGATTGCATCCAATGCAGCCTCTTCCGACTCATTTGCTCGGAAACATCAAAAATAACATTCCGCGTAGTTCCAACACAATTCATCAATCTATTTAATGTGGACAAATCAAAATAAAAATCTCCTAGGCTGTAGTTGACTTCTAGATGATTACTAGCAGCACAGGGTCACGTAATGACTGTGTCGCGCGCCCTGCTACAAGACAATCACGACATATGTTCAGTAAACCAGTGGTTACATACAATGCATATTTAGGTGCCACCTTTTAGGTGGAACAGTTGGCGTTTGGTTGGTTAAGGGTTCTGGGTTGTTGATCGGCTTTGGCAAAGATGCCGCTAATCTGCCGTAAGAGCTACCCGAAGGATCTGCTTTGTAATTTGGATTGGCCCAAACCTGAGAATTGCAGTTACCACCAGAGGCGGACTGCTTATCAGTTTATGTCTCTGTTCAAAAGAACCTAAACGTTGTGTAGACATGCGTATTGTCGTCAAGCAATGGTTTGGGGTCTTGTTAAAATGCGACAGTAAACTTGGAAAGCAATTCGATGTTTTACAAATTGGCAAGATCTTATGGTATTATACATCCTCGTTATAAGAATGAAAAATATTTCAAAGAGCCATAAACCAACCATTTAAAAAATCAGAAAATAAAGCAGCGCGTTAACCTCAGTCAACCTCAGAGTACTGACCGGCGACAACCAGCGTCCGGAACAACGGACCACCGGCCCCACTACGGCAGCTCTTATCGATAAGGATGCGGGCCCGCCACTCCGGTGAGCCGCGGCAGAATATTTCCTACCTGACCCCGAACCCAGTCGCAGCATGTCACTCCTCGACCACGCAAATCACCTCAACACAAACCCATCCACTGATGTTGTCCACGTCAAGACACGCTTGGGCAAAGTCTCCTCTTGCGCCATGTGTAGCGCGGAGCTTCGTCAGAGGGGCGGCGACGACGACCCGAGCCAAGCTCTCCTATGCCCGCCTTAACCAAACGACACCCTTGGCCAAGGAGCTTGCGAAGACGGGCTTGTGGGACCCGAGGATAGAAAAAGCGATCAAAAGGGCGGCCGTAGGAGATGCTAAAACACGGCAAAAACGGCGCCCCGATCCAGAAAAGCGGCTTGTTCCCAAGGGCGACAAGTCGCGCGTCAACATTGTGGACGAGAAGCTATGTGGTACGGCCAATCCGCCCGCCTCCCCACCCCGAAACGCGAACGTAGTTGCTAATGATGAATTATATACAGACGATATTTTGAAATACCTCGGCCCTACCCTCCAGCGCCACGTTGGATGCGACCTCGTCGATATTAACCCCGGCGCAGGCCTCTGGAGCCGCAAACTCCACGACGTCCTGCAGCCGCGCTCCCACGTCCTCATGGAACCCGATGACGACTTCTACCGGCCCTTTCTCGAACCGATCCTCTCCCGGCCGAACACGCAGCTGATACCGCAGTCCGGAATCCTCTGGAAGGAGCTCAACCAGGTGCTCAAACATATACCGAACCAGACCCCGCAGTCGTCCGGGCGGGACGTCCCGCCGCAGCGCAACGACACGCTGCTCGTGACGGCAAACCTGTCCTTCTTCCCGAAGAGGCGGTACCGCCGGTTCGAGTCGGTCACGCAGCTCGTGCTGTTCCAGTTGCTGAGCAGCATCCGCTCGGCTCAGCTGTTTCAGAAATACGGACTCGTGCGTATGCTCATCTGGACGGGCGCGGACGACCACAAATCCTTCATCTCGAGGAATGTGCAGAGCCGGCGGGCATCGGCCTTTGACGCAGAGACATCGTGCGAGTGGATGGCCGAGGTGGCGGCCAAAGACGCGCTGCTGGACCCGACCACCAAGGACTGGTACGTCAGAGACAGGTGGATCGAGGTGGACAGCACGCTTGCGACGCTGGAGCGGATGAAGAAGAACGGGTTCGAGATACCCGAGGGCCGCAAGATGGAGAGCACGAAGCGCGCGGAGGCGTACGCGCGCGCGGACGGGAAGAAGTACACGGAGGAAATGATACCCGAGCTTCAGCGGGCGTACCTCGCGGAGCTGGAGGAGATGGAGCGCGCGTTCGCGGCGGGGGAGATTGAGCAGAACTACAAGTCAAAGGATTGGAAGCGCCTCAGTTTCCTGCGTAGCCAGCGGGCGCGTCACCAGGAGGAGAGCAGGGAGTTCAAGGTGCTCCTCGAGGAGATGTACGAGCTGGACAGGCTGCAGCGCGAGGGTTCGGTGCCGAAGGCGGAGCTCGCGGAGCGTGATCGGGCGTGGAACGAAAAGGTAAAGCTGCTGGGCAAGAACCCGATGGTGGACTTCCGGCTGGTCAGGGACAACATGCACGTCTTCCGGCAGGACCCGCCGGCGCTGCTCTGGGACAGGCGGCCGTACGAGCCGCTCGCGGTGAGGGCGGAGGAGTTCTACCCGACGGTGGAGGCGACACTGCTCGACATCCAACCCAAGGCGATGCACCCGCTGTTCCGGGAGACGGGACCGGAGTCGTCGCGGGCGGGGGACATTCTGGAGCTGATTCAGCGGTCGCTGATGGCGACGAGCCTGGAGCCGCTGAGCAGCTCGCTCGAGCGCATATGGCCGGGCGCGGGGGAGGGGATCCTCCAGCACTGCCCGAGCCTGCGTGACTCGGCGCGGGGCGGAATGCCGGGGACGGGCCAGGCGGAGATATGCGCGCGGGCGCTGAACGAGACGCAGTGGGCGGAGCTGCTGGAGGCGTTCATGCAGTGGCCATTCCGGCCTTCGTACGAGGAGCTGATTGGGCGGTTGACGGACGACAGCGATGACGCGGACGATGATGTCGGGGGCGGCAGCAGTTTCTCGGCGGATGCGGCGCTTTCGTGAGGGATGGATGGATGGTCCGCCCTCCCTCGAGGCACGCACGCACCCGCGGCCCCCGTTGTACGATACGGATACGATAATTATTTCACATGGAGAAATACGGAGTGTTACCTCCTCCGGTAGCGTACATACGGTGTAAGCAAAATGTATTATAGGAGTGGTAATTAGATTGGACAGGTTGGCGACCGGGGTCCGACGGTGCGCCAGTCCAAGTCGGGATGTAGAAAAAATGAGGGCAACTTCGTTTGCGGACAGTCATGTTTGAATCGGGAGCATATATCACTCAGCACCCCCCCCTTCGCCCGCCTCGTGTTGTCGCGTGCTGTCGTATTATGGATGCATTCTTATGGATGGATGGAGATGTCTATGTGCGTGTGTGTGTGTGTGCATATATGCTGGGCAGATGGACGGAACCAGCGAGGTGCATCTGAATCCCAACATGTGGAAATGAGGCTGGGCATCGTCTTAACCCATCGTGATTGTCAAGAACAGGGATACACTCGGCAAAACCGCGACAGCCTCCCGTAGGTATGTTGGACTCAGGCGGTCACCCGTGGCCGATGCCGTGTCCGGGATGCGACGGCCCGATGATGATTTGAAAAAAAAAAAAAAAAAAAAAAAAAAGGTTTCAGTTTTCTTCTAGGAGTAGTCCGTTTCTTCACATTGATGATTTCCACGATAGGTGATTGTAAGAATGCCGGAACAGTGGGCATGAGTCAGCCGCAGGCCGTTTCGCATACGCTGGGCTCCCGAAGAAAAGAAAAGTGGTACACTAATCTATCTATCCTTGGCATACCGCGGCGGTCACCAGTCAGGGCCAGGAACCCCAGGTCCCTGGAGGGCCGTATGGGTTGCTGGTGATCTGCGGGACAGGGAAGAGGGGGGGGGTTAGACGCACGACGAGAACGGGGGTGGAGAGGGGACACGCAAGCTGGAAACGGTCTAGATGGGCATGACGACACTGATGGGCAGTTTGGACGGGGATGAGTGCTTGAGGATGAGCTTCAGTACAGACGTTGTAACATCTAGAGCAGATGCCCTCTTTTCCTGGGGTAGATGAAGAGGGCTGTTGGGTTTTGGAAGAGAAGACCGGGACACTGTCAGAGGTAATCTAAGAGAAAACAAGGTGAGTTGACACGGATCGACTGGGGTGGATAATGATTCGAGAATATGTTGTGATGTGATTACACGTGTAGAGTTGATTTGGGGCCCCAATTTCATCAGCACAGCCATGATTCATCTGTCTATCCATGAAGGGGGGGTCACGGCAGATCGTTCTCAAAAGTCGAGGTGCTTTGCCTATGCCCCCAAAACAGGCAAACATGAGACTTGGAAGACTGGGAAGTGGAGGCAGGACACAGTTAAGGATCTGAGCAGATGGCATTTGTTTGGAGTACACAGAGTATTATAGGGTAGTATGGCAATGTATATGGTTGTGTATATGTGTTTGAATTTCGGCCTACTGTAACATCTCTATTGGCAGTTGAGTGGGAACGGACTTTTAAGGTCCACCGCGAACCGGTCAAGGTTAATTAATTGGGGGGTTTGAAGGCAGACGGGGATGAGAGGGACGATGTTCATCTGTGTGAGATGAGATATGATGTGAGGCAGTGGATAACGGAACGGTGCATGTCACAGTATGAGGGTGATTGTCGCAGCGAGAGTGGTGAGTGAGAGGCATGAGAGAGGAGAGAAACTACAGTTACGTATTTGTATGTTCTGTATCTGTATGTACACGTAAAATGTGAGGGACTTTTACGGACAAGAAGACATGAATGATGATAGACTGCCGAGTGGCGTCAAGAGTCAAGAGGCCACATTGCCTCTACTAGGTAGTGAGTGAGGCTGATGATGTAAGGAGATGAGCTGAGATGAGAAAGCCACTGCAGTGAAGTATCGTGTGGAGTCTTTTTTCTTGTTTTTTTCTTCAAATGTTTGAACATTTATTTTTCTAGTCGTTCATTTGAGAACACTAGAGGCGTAGATAGTGACAAAAGTGTGGTGAGTGTTTGGTTTCTCAGTCCCTGCATCCAGAGTCCAGACCATCCGAGACCTGCAGATGCTTGGCCACGGACTGGCACTGGAGGCGCTGAAAGGTCGCTAGCAGCGGCGCAGGGACTAGGGAGCAATAGCGGTTGCGGAGAGGGGGATGTAGGAGTACCTTTACAACTCCGATGATTTAGTGACGAAGCGAGTACCTATACTTATGCCAAGTCCATGCCAGTGCCGGGTGTCAGTGTCAAACTGGAACCGCCAAATCGGCGCAAACGCAAAGCCCAGGCATTTCCCTTGCCGACTCCCAATTCCTCTCGTCTATCGACTGGCTATCGTGTAGTCTGTGACATAGTCTGTGACTATGTGAGGATAGTAAATCGAGTCTTTGAGGTGTTTGGCGTTCAGTTTATTCTGGCGCGGAGCTTGGCGGAAACGGCTACCACAATAGCCCAAGACGGCGTTGACAGAGGAGATGCCGGAGTATTTTCTTACCCCTTTATTTCTTTTTCCGCCTGTTTTGACCGTCTCATTTTTTATTTTATTTTATGTTTCTTTTCTTCTATTTGCAAGTAGGTGTAGTCATTGACTTATTTCGTGGTTATATCGTCGTCGTCGTTCTTGGCAATTCTTCAACTCTGCATCCCCTGCTCCTGTTATACTTTTACACTCTTGATTCTTCAACTCATCTCACCTTGTTTTTGACTCAATCTGTCACTTTACTCTACGTAGTACTCGTCACTCTCACTCTAGGTTAACCTCATCCAACTAGTAGATCTGCACGTCAACTCCTCTTTTTCGCCGAGCCCCCAATCCGCCGACTTCCCGTCTTTTTCGTCCTGGCCTGATCCTGTCCGACGCGACGCAGGTTCAAACTCTCAGTCGGTGGTGATCTCATCATCTCTGCGTCTCTGCCGTGCCGAACCACCGACTTGGTCATGGCCCCCTTGCCTCAGTGTCTGAATGCAGTTTAACTCACCTCTCGTGGGCATACGTGCTTTTTCTCGCTTATACTCACTCACATTCAACCGAGTCTCAATTTTTATCTTATTCTCGCAAATCCGAGCCTCTCGTTTTTTTCACAGAAGTTGAACCGAAGCAAGGAGCGTATTCTCTCGTCCGAGAATAAGAGACAGCCACTCCCTCCTTGGACCCCCCATGCTCATATGAAACTGGCCTGGCCTTTTCTTCTCCACTCCCCACCAATCGCTCGCCTCATCAGCATCCCACACCCACCGAATCCACACAGCGGCGCAGCTTTACCCCCCTGGAGCAGTACCGCAGTACCTACCTAGCACTACCTAGCAGACCACCTGCAGCATTGCCAGCATTAGCAGCAGCAGCAGCTCCAACCAACCCGCATCCAATATTCTTCTTGAATACATCATCACATCGACTCAGCAAAACCAAACCAACAATTCCCTTCTTTTGTACCTTTTTCGACCGTATTGCATCGGATACACGCCATCCTTTTTCCCTCTATTTTTCCCTCAATTACGACAAAAATATCCCATCATCTCCCTCGAATCATCCTCGTCAGGGCCGTCCTAAGAGAAATAATCCTGGCTTCCGAGCATCTCTTCCGTCTTCAACCTTGATACTTCTCTCCCACCAACGATCCCCATCTCTTTGACTCTCCGCTTCGACCCTCTTTGGCACTTTGATCGCCTTTACTAATTCTTCATGTACATCTGATCACTCTCCACCTCCTATTACTACACTACTCCTCCACACTCGGTTTCGTCTTCGTCTGTCTGTCTCGGAGGGCCAAGCTTTCTGCCACTCCGTCTCTCTTTTACCCGCCCATCCAAATCATCCGAATCTTTTCTCCTTTAACCTTGGACGTCTGTTCTTCGATCACCACCACCACCACCACCACCACCACCACCACCATCTCCACCACACCCACACGCATACAGCAAAACAGAAAAAGCGGCAACCAAACAGACATACATCTCATTTCCACCGACCGGCTACTACACCCCTTTCGACCCTCGACGATCCCCCGAACTTGGTCTCCCCGCCACTACCCTTCTTTCGAACCCCTGCGCGAGCCTAACCGCCTCTGTCCCGTCGAGCTGGCGACCCCCTGTCCGCCACTGCGAGCCATTACCTGAATAGGCCTGGCTGAGCCGGCCGCCAGGTCCATTCCCATCCATCTTCGAGCGAGTGTGTCTCCTCGTCCAACTTTCATCTCTCCGCGACCGACGAGCAGAGAGTGAAGTCTTCCTTCGCCATATCCTCCTTTGCGACCTTGCGAGCTTGCGACCGCGCGAACAACCCTCCACCTCTTCAACACAATGGTCAAGCTGCTATCGCCCGCATTCCCTCCGCGGCGGCCTTCGAGCCTGCTGCGGTATACTCTAGCCGCCGTCGTCGTCATGGCTCTCTTTTACTACCTCGACCCGCGTTCTCGTGGCTTCGCTACGACGACCCAGCTACACCCGGAGAAGCCGCAACCACCACCCCAAACACCAGGCCCTATCCCACCGGCACACGTTCAACAAGATGCAGAGAAACCCATCCCCGAGCCCGAGCCGAAGCCAGTACGCCCGATTGACGATAAACCCCCCGCTGCCGAGGGCGCTACCCCCAAGAAGCCCGTCGAGACGCCCGCCACACCCGCCTCCCATGCCTCAGGGGCATCTTCGTCGTCTTCGCCACACCCCATCGATGTGTTGATCAAGGAAGCCGACGAGACCTTCAAGGGCCTCCTCAACAAGGAGTCCAAGTCTCTGCCGGCCGCCGCCAAGGCCTATCGCGAGCGCCGCGGCCGCCATCCCCCGCCGGGCTTCGACGCATGGTTCCAGTTCGCACAGGAGCGCAAGGCCGTCATCGTCGAGGACTTTTTCGACCAAATCTACCACGACCTCCGCCCCTTCTGGGGTATGGAGCCGTCCCGCATCCGCAAGGAGGCCGCCGAGTACGAGATGACGATCAAGGTCCGCAAGGGCCGCGCCACACGCACCAGCGAATGGTTCTGGACCGTACACTGGACCGACATGCTGAAGACTATCGAGCACCTGCTGCCGGATATGGACATTGCCCTGAACCCCATGGACGAGCCGCGCATGGTTGTGCCGTGGGAGCAGATGGACCAGTACATGAAGGACGCCGCATTGACCGACGGTATGCCGGAACCGAAGAAGGTCATGAACACATTCCAGGCACTGCCGGAGAACAAGAAGGAGCTCGACCGGAATGTTAAGATCAAGAGCAAGCATTGGGAAGAGACAAGTACGTACCCGCTCCAGTCTACACCCAGTCTAAAATGGCATTGTGAATGAATGTTTCAGAACTAACAAATGACTTGCACACAGAACAATACTGGCTCATTGCCCGCCGCGGATGCGCCCCCGATAGCCCCGCGCGGCTCGCGACGACGCAAAAGACGTTTGATCACCCGCCGACCATCAGCACAAAGTACGCCAAGGCGCACATGCGCGATGGCTACGTATCCAACTACACGCTCTCGACGCAAATCTGCCACCAGCCGGACCTCCAGGGCCTCAACGGCATCTTCATCGAGCCCCTGAGCACGTCGGCCACGACGACGCTGTTCCCGCTGTTCGGCGGGTCCAAGCTGGCCATCAACAACGAGATCCTCCTCCCCGCGGCCATGTACTGGACGGAGGAAGAGCGCTTCAGCGGAGGCGGCGACCACGGCGGTCCCTGGAGCAAGAAGAAGGACCAAGTCATGTGGCGCGGCGTCGCAACGGGCGGGCGCAACCGCGTGAGCAACTGGAAGGGGTTCCAACGACACCGGTTCGTGGCCATGAACAACGCGACCAAGGTCTCTGGCGCCGAGGACGGCTCGCTTGAGCCGGTCAACTTCTCGCTGCCGGACAAGATGTACAACGTCGCGGCGCGGGCAGTGAACCGCCTCGGAGAGTGGATCAAGTCGTGGGCCGACGTCGGCTTCACCGATCTCATGTGCGAGCCCCAAGGCAAGGAGGGCCAGTGCAACTACACGAGCCCCTACTTCAACCTCACCCAGGGCGTCAAGCTCACCGACATGTACGACTCAAAGTACCTGCCGGATATTGACGGCAACAGCTTCTCCGGGCGGTACCTGGCGTTCCTCGGCAGCACGAGCCTGCCGATCAAGGCGACGCTGTGGCGCGAGTGGCACGACAGCCGGCTCGTGGCGTGGAAGCACTTTGTGCCGATGGACAGCCGGTTCGGCGATTACTACGGCATCATGGACTATTTCCTGGGGTACGGAGCCGAGCGGCGCGGACACGACGCCGAGGCGGAGAAGATCGCCATGGACGGCAAGGCGTGGGCGGAGAAGGCGCTGCGCAGGGAGGACATGCAGATTTACACGCTGCGTTTGCTTCTCGAGTACGCGCGTGTAGCGGACGAGAGGAGGGAACGTATGGGATGGGTGGACGATCTGCTCGCGGAGTCGAAGCGGTAGATTTTTGACGGATGAATGCGGAAGAGGGAAAGAAAAAAAATACCTTGACGAGTGCGGGAGCGGGATCTAGGGCATGGCGTTGAGGAGTCGACGGAGGGAACCTTTTTTTTTACACTACACTTTACATCATCATCATTGCAGATTTCCTTCACTTATTTCAGTTTTGTGGTTTGGTTACGAATAAATACCAAGGGTTTTCCCCAAAATGGAGGGGAATAAAAAAGAGTATCAGGGAAAGGAATCATCAGATACATCAGATACAATTGTACAACAGATACAAAACAAACCATTATACCAAGTTCTGCTACAACGTATACGTAGTATATGCAGACATGTTCACGTGAGGTTACGGACATGTGTGGCTGCAGCTAGTGAGGTGACACAAGAAGGAAGACTTGCAAAAGTTTAAACAAATAACTATAGTATACATGGATGATTCGGTTCCGTACCTCCGTCCGTGAAGCTCGGGGGCTGGGGTGGGAGAAAGCCGATCTAGAGCCGCCCCCGGTCGAAGCCGAGCAAAGCCGGTCCTGGGCGTCGGAAACCGTTTGTTTTTCGCGTGGTGTACTATTCTCGGAGCGAGATGGTCACTTGACGCATTTTTTTTACGTTTTTACTTTCTATCCGCCATATGATGGAGACGGCCACGAGGACGAAAATCTGCGGTGACGTCTCTTACGAAAAGAAGTTGAGCCACCCCTTCCCCACGTCACGTCTCAAGTTTCGATACAGTGCCGGGGGGGTTCTTTTACGTAAATGGGGATCCAGTTACAGGGGAGGGAGGGGGGTATGAGTCCCGGGTGGGAGATCTGATAAGTTGTGAAGGCATCGGTATATATATAAAAGTACAGTACACAAATGTGCGGAATCATAGAGGCAGACAGACGGAACAAAGAATAAATGCGTGTCCGGTTTGCGCCGGGTATGGAGATGAGGGATTGGCGTCGTCATGGGACCTTTTGGAACCGTCAAACTGATTGATAAACTGGGAATGGAGCTGCTGGTGGAGGACAAAGCTGCGGTGTGAGTGGGCTTACATTGGTTCTTGTTCTGGATTCGGTTTAGTTGGAGTGCTTGTCAGATCGAATCGATGGTGTCCGGGATAGGACCAGCATCTCGGGGTTTCGGAGATGGAGAGGTGAAGCCAGTGACAGACATAATGTGGGTGATGGATGGGAGATGATGTGAGATGGTGAGTTGAGGTGGGTTCGGTGTGGCCGGGCCTTTTTCTTGTTCCTTTCTACTGTGTTTTGGTTTTGGTGTGGTGTGGTGGAGGGCCTCAATTTTTACGAGGTGTAAGGGGATTTTAAATCGGTAAGCGAACCGATAAGGCTGGAGATAAGAGATAAGAAATCGATAGGGGGTGGGTTTGCTGTGAACCTCGAGAAATCGACATGTTGAATGGAATATTCACGTATACAACAGAAAAGTCATATACCAACAGATACAAAATGAAGGACGAGAAACAGAGAACAAGACTGGAAAAAAGGGATGGGGGGGACGACAAAACCCGCAAAGGGGGCTGATTCGTGTCCCCCCTCCCCCCAACAATTCGACCTTTTTTGTTGCCGAGTTGTCGAAGCGTAATGCCTTCGCGTCGCCCTGCCATTAGGGATATATCACCAACTTTCGAGGTGGACGTGGGACGTGGCCCCTACTTAAATAATTGCCTCGATGGCCTCGATGGCCCCTCGCAGCGCCCCAAGCTCGGCCCTCACCTGCCGTTAAGTGCCACTGCTCCGGGCGCGCCAGACCCCTAAGTGCAGGTGCTCCAGCGGCACTCCAGCGGGGTCGAGCCCGACGGGCGCCGCTAGTCCACCGATGGTATCCACTGATGTTCCCCTAAGTGCAGGTCTACCCGCGGTGGAGACCCCAATTTTTTTTCGGGTGCCTTTTTTCTCCACTACTGGAACACACGCTGGTGTCATTGCCGTAGTCCGTTCCGGAAGCATTACTTGGTGGTGTAGTGAAAGGAAGAGTAGGTATCTATGGCTGTGTTTTGCGCTGACGAGATACATGAGGGGTAAGATATTATTAGGTAGAATCTAGAAGAATAATACAGTAAAAAAAAAAAAAAAAATCGCTATCAAAAATATCAAAAAAGTACCCCGCCAGAAATACCTTACACAAACCGCCGTGAGCACCTTGCGTCCCCCCTCCTCTTCTCAACCCTCACCCCCCCCTTCGGCCAGTCAACCTGGAATGCACTTCGGCGAAGCCCTCCGCAACCGCCACGAGCCGAGTCAAGCCCCAGTCGTTCTTGTTCCGGGTAAGATCAGGATCCTGGCCGCTGCGCTTGTCTGGTGCCATGGTTCTTGCCGTGGTCATGGTCAAGGCTGGCTTGCTGGCCGCGACGGAAAGGGTTTACATACCTTGACTTCCCCGTCTTCGTCCTCTTCTTTTTCTCTCCTTCTCATCTTCAGCTTCTCCTTCTTCTTCTTCGTCTTCTCTACATCTTCTCTCCTCTGCCCAGAGTCAACCACCTCCTCTCCTGTTGCATACCTCCCGTCTTACCTTTGTCCTTTCTTCACTCAGTCACGATGCATACGTCAATGATCAAGTCCAAGTTCCTCACCCACCCTGAGGACCTCGGCATCGTCGCCGTCGGCTTCTCCGGTGGACAGGTGAGTACCTCTGTCGTGTCCAGGACTTCTTTTGACCTTATCCGCTGACTTGGACTAGCGCAAAGCTGGTGTCGACGCAGGCCCCAAGGCCCTCATCGAGTCTGGTCTGCTTACCCAGGTCCGCGACGAGCTCGGCTACAAGCTTCACGGTGACGACCAGGTGCACCTCTACCAAGATCTCTTCCCCGAGTCCGACCCCCCCTACCGCAACATGAAGAACCCCAAGGCCGTGTCGGCCGTGACGAAGCGCATCGCCGAGCAGGTCTACGAGCAGTCGCGCCTCGGCCGTCTGACTCTGACCCTCGGTGGCGACCACAGCATCGCCATCGGCACCATTGCCGGCTCCGCAAAGGCCACGCGCGAGAGGCTCGGCCGCGAGATCGCCGTCATCTGGGTTGACGCCCACGCCGACATCAACACCCCTGAGTCGAGCGACAGCGGTAACATCCACGGCATGCCCGTCGCCTTTGTCACGGGACTCGCCAAGGAGGAGAAGCCAGAGTACTTTGGCTGGCTCAAGGACGAGCACATGCTCAACGTCAACAAGCTGGTCTACATTGGTCTCAGAGACGTCGATGCCGGCGAGAAGAGAATCCTGAGGGAGAACGGCATCAAGGCGTTTAGCATGTTTGACGTGGACAAGTATGTCATTCTACCCACCTAGCGGAGAACCATTACTGACTGACAAAACAGGTACGGCATCGGTCGCGTCATGGAGATGGCGCTCGCCCACATCGGCAACGACACCCCCATTCACCTGTCGTTCGACGTCGATGCGCTCGACCCCCAGTGGGCTCCTTCCACCGGTACTCCCGTCCGCGGCGGCCTGACTCTGCGCGAGGGCGACTTCATCTGCGAGTGCGTGCACGAGACGGGCAGCCTCGTGGCTGTGGACCTGGTCGAGGTCAACCCTCACCTGGCCAACGACAAGGACCCTGCCGCGAGCGAGACAGTAAGAGCAGGATGCTCGCTGGTGCGGTGCGCTCTGGGTGAGTCGTTGTTGTAGAGTTGGAGACGACGACGGAGGGAATAGACAGACAGACGTACAGACGACAAGAGTAGAGACCACAAGAGTAGAGGAGGTATTCGAGGATACACACACATGGGAGGGCGGAATCATTCGGCGCATGGCGAGGCCGGAATAGAGCCACCAGGGAACTCAGTCTCCAGGGCGGAACCGAGTTAGTTTATAATACCACAGCAGAGCATTGTTTATGATTACTACTCATATCAGAAATCGTACGAAAACATTCTACAAAGTAATCTGCGCATGTCATATGCATGTATAAGGGGGGTCTCTCTCTACGTGCATCAGCCCTCCGGACACGTGCAACAAGGCGGTGACGGCAACCATGGCCGGTTCGGAAGCGTCCCGGTAGCGGGGGGGAGTGGGGCTCGGTGGTCCGGCGCGGTGCCTGACAGCTGGTGTAGGTGCGGGGTGGATGGGTGGTGGGTGTTCCACTGAACCATAGAAGACTGATGGCCACCCGTCGCGCGTCGGGGCCCCCAGCCATGCCATTTTATGCGATGGCAGATGATTTGCCCAGCCACCTGAATGTCACTGACATTTTTTGGGATTTCGCGAAGAGGTAAATTTTTCTTAAGGATGGTGGTTCCCTTTATTTCTTGGCTTGAAGTTGAAGTTGTAGATGCGATTTCGACTTTGTCGGAATTTCTACTGGAATAAACACCAAAATCAACGCTCGAAATCCTAGTCGAAGCCCATCGAATTCCATCTTCCGCCATTAATTTAACCCCCCGCATCCAAGTCTACTGACGCGCCCGAACGCGCTCAAGTGCCAGTGCCGGTGCATTTCTTTAGCTGGGCGTCCCGCTATTTCTGCGCATCGCCCTGCAGGATCTTTGCGCTACGGCTTCGACGAGATTCTGAAGATCCTACTTCTCTCTCAGACGACTCGACTATCGCGGGAATCCCAGGCCTCACCGCTTACATCTTTACGGCGCCACGGAAAACAGGCGAGACAAGTGACTCTGATCGAACAAGTTCCCCGTCGCAGCCCGACGTGACATTGGAACCAGGGTGGTGGGAATTTCCGGCCAAGGTTGGAATCGAATCGAGCCTTACCGGCACGAATATAACTCAGAAACCACCAGCAGCACCGTTTGACGTGGCACACACGCACTAAACCGGGCCCAAGGCGCATCGCATCGCGCCGCATCATCCCCCTCCCACCCCCCTCTATTGCAGCGGACGATTGGTTTGGTTTTGGAGGTTGGGTTGTCCTGTCCTGCCCTTTTTTCTTCTTCTTCTTCATCGGCCAATCGTCGCTACACGCGCTGTTCACCAACAGCACACCACAGCTCACCCTTTGAGGGATAACGGGACTAACGACACCGACGAATCGGTTTTTGGGCTGCGAGGGATTACTTGTTTTTTCTCGGGAGGGATTGTACCTGCTTTCGACGTCCCCGTCATCAGGTAGAGGGGCGCATCATTATCGAATCACTCGCTCTAGTGCATTGGGTTCCCACGGACGGACCGACGGCTGGGCGATAGATCGATTCCCGACCCGACCACCCACCGAGCCTTGCATCGCCCTCGCCAGCCGATCGCATTTGTTGTGTTTGCATTGCGACTCTTTACAAGTTTCTACGCCTTCAAAGAGCCTCGTCGCCCCCGCGAAAGGTGCTCTTCGATTCGACTCGCAAAGCGATTGAATACCCCCGACGACCACACGATTAAGAAAGACCAAAAGACGCACTACGATACTCACCAACACCCGAAATGGCCGCCTCAACGCTGACGAGCAGCTCCTACTACGACCGCCGCGTCGTCGAGCGCGTCCACCGGTACCAGTGGCCCGGCATCCACCTCAATCTCTGGATCCTGATTATGCTGGTCGCCTCGTGCCTCATCATCGGCGTGTTTGCGTCTTTTATCGAAATCCAGCAGCGGCTTCTCCTGCCGATACCATGGTGCGTCTTCTGTTCTTGTTTTGTCCTACTTGAACCATCGCTGATGCGTGGATAGGTACTTCCCCTACTTCATCACCGTCGCCGGCCTCGTCGTCATCTTCATCGGCTTGATCCTCTGGCTCGTATACCAACGCCGACTTCTTCCTGCAATCGTTATGATCGGCGCGTTCATACTCTTCATACTCTGGTTCGTCGGGCTGGTCGTCGTGAGCATACAGCTTTGGGGACCTGATGGGTCGGTGTCGAGTACGTGTAATCTCGCCGTGTTCAACCGCGGCCCGACGGGCCAGAGTCTGGAGACCCTTGCGTGGTTGCAACAGAAGAGCATTTGTGAGTCTATCTGTGCTTGTTCTCGTGCTTGTAAAGGAGTGACGATGCTAACTGGCGTAGGTCAATCATGGCAGGCTGTCTTCTCGTTTGCGCTCGTCGGGGCCTTGTTCCTTCTTTGGATCATGGTTATGGCGTATCAGGTCTTTGCCGCGTCATAGGAAGACCTCAGGCCGATACACTGATGCTTTTTGGACATTGTATGGCCACTGTTTGGACATATGTCCGATACATACCTTGAGACGCCGGTTACTTTCGGCGGTCTTCTACGAGTACATGCGTGATGGATTAATGGGGAGCGTTTCCTTGGTGCGATGCATACACTGGCGTTATCTGGGTTGGCATTGATAGTAAAAGATGAGGCAGAGAGGCTGTGTCTCGTGTAATGATGAAAGACGAAAGATGAAGGATGAATTGACCATGTTTGATGCTCGCCTGTGCGCTTGTGCTTTTGCTATCGACTACGCAATCCGTCGACATCAGATGGCCCATCAGCCACCGTCAATATACTAAACCGACCGCATGAAAGGGTACCTCCGCAGTGGCACCATTCCATCATCGTCCCATGTTGCATCCTGGCCGACTGACGTAGAGGTCTCAGACCCCAGTGGCTCTCACGGGACAGTCCGGGGATGCCGCACATCCGGGCCAAGTCTTTTGACCAGGACGCTTCGTCCGGGGTTTATCTTGACATGCCAACATCGATTTCGGGGTCTTTACACGAGGGTGAGACCCTTTCTTGGCATCGTGTTCCTTGAAATAGAACCAAGCAGAAGCGATCCATGCGGTCTTGAGGAAGCTTGTCCGATGGGATGCAGCGATTGTGGGCAAGGAAATGCCTGGTTTCCTCCCGGGCTGAGCTTGTTTTCTCTTCGGCCAAGCTTCGACGAGGTCTGGATCCTGATTGCGTTGGTGTGGAACCGGTTGGTCGGACTGTCTCTTGAGGGTGTTGATCGTCGGTGTGTGCTATGTTTGGGTGAAGGAGGAAAGACGTACCGGCGATGACGTAGGGGGGTTTTTGCACCTGCTTTTCCGAAACTGGGAATTTGCGGGTGAGCCTCCCGGGTGGGATTAGGTCATGGTGGGAAGGTTCGATGGGGAAAGCGGGGGGAGGGGCAAGAGATATGATGCAGATGGATTTAGAGCGATGAGATGTGTATATAAGAGAGTGATTCCGGATCAGAAAATTTCAAGATTAGTACAAGATCATCTGAGTCACATCACATACACACACAAACACACAAGTTTTCATCAACACATTCAGCTATTCAATATGAACCCCTTCAAGAGCAACCACGCCCAGCCCGCTGGCCAGCCCAAGCAGGACCCCGTCGATAAGGGTGAGTTTGTTTTCACAGCAATACAATGAACTAGTGCTGACGTTTGAAGCTTTCGACTTTGCTACCAAGAAGGCTGGCCATGATATGCCCCGCAGCACGGATGAGAAGATCACCGATGCCGGCCGCAACATGTACGAGAAGGTCACCGGGTAAGTCGATAAAAAGTGTTTACATTGAGACACGGGGCATGGCTGACGTGTTGGTGTGCAGAAAGAAGGTGAACCCGAAGATTTCCAACTAGATTTGCCGTGCGTGCTGGACACAGCGTGGTGTTATGAGATATGGAGGTTATGATATCGCACGATAGTGTTTTAATCAGTGTACAACAATACTAGTGTACAACACAGATTTATTCACATTACTTGCCTGTTGATAAGTGATTTTGGAAAAAGGTGGTGAGTAAGTTATTGTGTTTTATGTTGTTGGCATGTCATTGTAAAAGCCGACACTTGCCCTCTTATCTGCACAAGCCTCAGTTGTGATTATAGAATCCTATGAACATGTATAGCAGCTGAAATGCTTCGACATAAATTCCTACACAAGTCATGTCGAAGCCTAAAATATGAGATTTATGTCTAAGTCTAGAACTAATGAAGTATTGTGCCTGATACATGATGTTTAGCCATCATAATCACAGGTAGATTGTAGCTGCGCACGTCTCTTATCTATAATGAGTTGGACGTATCAAAAATAATTCAATGTGACATTGTCTGGAAACAAGGCGGCACATCCTACTCATCACAATGAGACTTGTGGAAACTGTTAATTACATGTCTCGAGAACCTTGCCGCATTCCAAAGGCCAAGACGGCAGCTTATCTTATCACCAGCGACCGACCTGATGGGTGAGACGTCGGCAGGTGATTAAGTCATGGTCTTGGCACAATACCTCGCCGTGGTCTAGCTCACCACATTTATAGACATCCGGATATCCTCTCCGCCAGCCCTGCAAGGTCCAAGATGTCTGGGACGCCGTGTGGCATTTGGCGCATTGTTGGTGAGACGTGGACGCGACACGAGGGCTTGAGTCGCGATGAGTTTGAGCCATGTATGGAAATGAGATGAGCTTCCCGCATCCCGCTGAGGAATGCTAGAAACTGATAGTTACATTGGCTTAGTTCAGGAATGATGAGAATGCAACGGTGGCCATTCCATTTTCCTCAAGGCCATTGTATCCACGTACAAGGTACATTTGCGATTCTCAGTCAAAGTGGTGAGGTATTCGTATTCATCTTCCTTTCAAGTCCGGAGTAGTAGTGCCCCCTATTACCTGCGTCCATCACAGCCAGTGTGCGACATCACCACCACTATTACGATAGCCCACCCCACCGCCAATGGCGTGCAGCGGCTGTTTGCGGCAGGATGGAAGGCCTGCCGAGCAGATCAGGAGGGGGGAAAAGCACCGGAGGACGCCCCGTCATTGGCCCAAAGTTTTTCCGGCGGCGCCATCGCCTCAGTGGCTCGGGCGGGCCTTAAAAATCCAATTGAGGTGCTTTCGAGGGAAGAAGCCTCCACTATATGTAACCTAACTCGGGTGTCATAGCAACCACCACTGCAGAGACAAGGGGGCAGCCTACGGGAGGTGATCAGTGAATGGGCCTCGGGTGTTTTAGTGGGCTCCCTATGAAGGGGTCTTATCAGTGGTTGGAGCCACGAGGCTGGCAGGGGACCATAATGGGTGATACACACCCAAAGAAGCCCAAGCACTGCTGAAAGAGATACCCCCTCCAATCCCCTCCTCTCCCTAATTCTGGCCCCCCCGTTCCAAGGCCCGCCGCCTTCTGGCCAGACCCCCAGCATCACCCTTGGAGGAGCCACTTTCAGGAGCACCTCAGCAACCCCCCCCCCAAGCAGTAAAAACAGAGAAACAGAAAAGAAAGGAAAATAAAAAAAAAACAAAGACGAGGAGGTAAGAGAGAGAGAAAAGAACACACACGGCAGGAGGACCGAGCGCAACACCAAAAGTTGAAGCTGCATTTCTACGTTACATTCGTTCCCTCCCCCTCTTCGTCATTTTTGTACTTTGTACCTTCCTCGTCCTAGCAAAGAAGCTGCCACGCCACCTATTATAGTGCCTCCTTCCTTCCATTCCGGCTGCCGTAGCGCACCGTAAAGAACCACCCAAAACTCCAATTGGAAGGCAGCCGCCCTGCGAGTTCCAGGAACGCAAGGCAGGAACGGCCACCAAGGTACGTACTCATCACCAGACACACAGATATGGAAGTTGCTGTCAGTTTTGTGTCACTCTTGTCTGTCGCTCCTGCCGCTGAAGTCAAAATTCACCACGGACTCTCAGTACGGAAAGAGGGACAGGAACGACGAAAAAAAAAGAGAGAAGGAGCTGTCTGACATCCTTTTCCCCCCCTTCTAGCCACAATCTCGGCCGACCTCTCATATACATTGATTGATTGTACAATCACACCTCTGTACACATCGAATGTCAATTAATCGATAATATTTACCACCACCTCCGCCATACACACCGCTGACACACCAGCCGGAGTTCCTCGAGGACCGAGCATTCAAACAAAGAATTGTCACCCCCTCGACCCAGCCGGATGCATCCCCCGAACCGAACAGCCACAATCCACCATGGACGATGAGGGGAACCGGTCAAGGAGCCGCCTCGATGAGGATGCCCGTCCTACCACCGCACGCCGTATAGACGATCATAACGACGACGACGATAGCTTGCGCATCGACGAACCAAGCCCAGAAGACCAGAAATCTCGAGAGAAACCCGAGCTTCCTGAAGATAGAGAGGCCAGCAACACCACGCCCACCCCTGATCAGTCCCAGCGAACTCCCACAAAGAGCCGGCAAGACCATCATGATACCACAGAACCCGACCGCAAACCCTCTCCCAACCCCGTAAACGAACCCCACACCGCAAACGATTCCATGTTGCCTCCCCCGCGGCCTCAGACGAACGTCGTCCTCGACAGCAGCTTCGTCGATGGGCCCAACTATGACGACTCTCGCCATGGCGACTCCCTTGCCGAATCTGCCGTCCGCGCTCACCTGCAGGATGTCGAGTCCAGCTTCGTCTCCCGTCTATCGCCTATACCCACCATAACTCACGAGGGCGCAGACGATACCTACCTGTTTGACGGCGCCGCTTCGTCAAAATCTCCCGCCCCGAGACAACCCCCTGCGAGTCCTAGTCCTAGCCCGAGACCTGACAATGCGCAAGCTGCCGACAAGTCTGGGCTCGGAGACTATTCCGATCTCAGGCCGCAAGACTCGGCGTCTGTCGACATCTCCAATACCACGTCCTCCCTCGAGCAAATGTCATCGTCCCCCGCCGCTGCCGCCGCTGCACGCACAATCTCCCGCGCACTCTCTAGCGCGAGCAATAGGACAGATAAGCAGTGGTTGGATCCTCCCCCCGCTGAAGAGACGGATGAGGAGTGGTCGCTCTCTCGCGCAGAGTCTGCCGCCGAATCCGCCTCGGCAACCCTCCACAGCAAGTTATCCGATGGCAGCCTGCAAGGCGGCTCTGTAGATGCCGGCAGCACCCCCGGACACGCCTTACGCTACGGCAAGCGGCCTAAGTACCTGCGAAGCCGAGGCGCCAGCCAGCGCTCGTCCGTCTCCTCCTTCGTTACGAACCCCGATTCTCACGACGACTTTGAAAGCGAAAACACCGCCAACTTGGGCGCTGACTTTGCCCTCCAGACCGGTGGCGCTGCCACCACCACGAGCTTGCCCCGAAGCCTCAGTAGCATTCTGTCACGGTCGGTGAGCATGGGCAGCATGGTCTCAGGGCTCGACGACCCTGAGTCGTTGCCCAGCCAGCTCGAGACACTTGAGGAGGTCGAGGCCGGCTTTTCCCCCCACCAGACGCACAGAAACGAAGACCTCCTCGCGACCCCGAAACCTTCCAAAGAGAACCTCACCGCGCCTACCGATACCGTCATCGCTCGCCATGTCAGGAATGTCCAGGTGCCCGAGTCCCTGGCAAAGGAGTACAGGACAAAGAGTGGCTTCGTTACGCCTCGCAAGCCCTCCGAGGTGCCGCTCGGCGCTTCGACGCGCTCCGGTAAGAACCTGACGTTGAAAGAGCAGAGCAGCACGATTGAGCGCCTATCTAAGGAGAACTTTGATCTCAAGCTCAAGGTCATGTTCTTGAGCGACCGCCTTGATAAACTATCCGAAGAGGGTGTTAAGGAGATGATCTCGGAGAACGTGGAGCTCAAGACGAGCCTCGCCGTCATCCAGCGCGACAACAAGGCCCTGCGCAAGAGGGTCAAGGAGTTGGAGAAGCAGCTCAAGGACGACCTGGACCGTCCCGGGACCGCGAGAAGCGGCGATTCCTCCAACGACTCGTCCGACCAAGACGCACAGGATCGCGAGGAGGAGATCATGTACCTGCGAGAGCGCATGGAGGAGTACGTTACCGAGATCGAGAGGCTGCGCAACGAGAGCATGTCCAAGGAGGCCGACAAGCGCAAGCTGGCCGAGGTGGTTAAGTCTCTGGGCGAGAGATCGGGCGGCAACCTGGGCAGTCAGGAGGAGGCAGACGTATGGAAGGACCTCCTAGAGCAAGAGACGGCCCGTCGTGAGCAGTCTGACGAGGACAACCGCAAGCTGCGCGACGAAATCTTTAAGCTCAAACAGGAGATGAGCAGCGGACACGGCGGCATGCATCACACGACCAATATTTACAACATCACTAAGAAGCACAGACAAACATCGCCCAGTCGCCCGGTCTCTGGACTTTCGGGTGATCTCGAGACGAATGGCGGCTTCAGCGCCGCGAGCACATTAGTAGATGAGCTACGACGGGAGAGCGAGCAGTTGCGACACGAGAATGCCGAGCTAAGACGCGAAGTTGGTGCGCAAACATCCATGCTGACTTCGAGGAACCGCGAGAAGGAGCGGTTGTACCAGGAGATTGAGGATCTCAAGATGGCGCAACGACGTGGCGGACCTGCACCGTCAACCATTGACTCCCTCCTGGAGCGTTCTGCGTCCCGGGCCGGTGCGCACCACAGGTCCATGTCGCGAGTGAGCGCCAGCAGGACGCAAATGACCGAGATCGACGAGCTGGAGCGTGAAGAGCTCGAGACCAAGCTGGCCGATTCGCGAGACAAGATCAACGAAGTCAAGCTGCAGAACCAGGAACTCCAGCGCGAACTCGAAGGTTGCATGGCGGACTTCGAGACTGCCATCGAGGGCAAGCGACAAGCTGAAGAGATTGCCGTCGCCCTCCAGGAAGATCTCGATAACGCTATGAACGACCTCGTGGCGCTGCAGGCAGAAAGGGATGAAGCGCTCAGGGAGCAGGCCGACATGGAAGCAGAGTTCGAGTCACTACGAAAGGAGGCCCAGGAGGAGATCGACGCCCTCGAGGGCGAGGCCGATCAAAACACCAACGAAATAGAGAGGCTCAAGCTTGAGCTGAACGACAGAACAGAGAACTTTGACGCATTACAGGAGGAGATGCGCAAGATGAGCGAGGCGCTGGTCCGCCTTGAGGACGACCAGACTGCCAAGGTCCGGAGGATACAACAGTTGGAGCAAGAGCTCGCCGACGCTAACAAAGAATCGGAGGAGCTCGAGGCCAAGCTGCTTGAGTCCAACGACAAGTCACAACGGCTCAGTGTGCAACAGGAGTCGAGCCAGGGCGAGATTGCGTTCCTGCGCGAGGAGCAAGAGGGCGACAAAATCCGCATCGGCGACCTCGAGGCGGCGCTCGCCAACACGGAGCAGAGCCTGCGTGACGAGCGCGACAGGATTAGGGAGCTCGAACAGCGCCTCGCCACCGAGCGTCGGCAGCGTGAGATTGTGGCCAACAAGGAGAAGGAAGAGGTGCAGCAGTTCGTCAACGATCTCAACCGCGAGATGTCGGCGGCCAAGGACGAAGCCAGGAGGTTACGTAAGAGTCTTACATCCCGCGAAGTCGAGGCCACCGAGTGGAAGGAGCGGCTCATGGAGCTGGAGAACAATCTCAGGGAGGCACTGGGCGATCTTAACGGCACTCGCTCCAGTCTTCTCAAGGTAAGCAGCTTGTTCCTGTATCGCGATGGCGGTGCTAACGAAAGCAGTCGATTGCCAAGCTTCAAAGAGAGCTCGAGAATACGGTCCGCGAGCTCGACACGACAAAGGCATCACTGGTCGAGAAGGATCGTATCATTAAGCAGCGCGATGCTCTGCTCGAATCCCACGGCTTGGAGTCACGCAAGCTGGCGGTCGAACTGGAGAAGGAGATCCAGGCCCACCGCACGACAAAGAACCAGTTTGAGACGTTCCAAAAGACACATCAACACGTTTCGAGGACTGTCAGCACACAAGACCTACGCATTTCCGAGCTCGAGTCCTCGCGCACAATGGACAAGAAGAAGATTGCTCACCTCGAGTCAACGTTCAAGGACCAGCTCACGGAGCGCAACAACCTGTTGTTGGTGCTGTGGACGAGACTATCGGCCCTCTGCGGCACCGACTGGGCACACGATAACAGCCTCATCAACGGCCGCGCGCTGCCCTCGCTTGAGGCCGTCGCCACGATGCTCCCTGGCTTCAGCAAGAACTTGTTGGCGGCAGTGAAGACCATCGAAACCATGATGGGCAGCTTCTCCTCCCGCGTGAAGAGCGTTGAGAGGGACCTGTGGCGCGAATACCAGAGCCTTGAGAGCAACCTCGAGGCACGCACAAAGAAGTTGGAGCGGCTCGAAACCCTCGTGCGGAACAGCGCCGCGTCTGGCTCCCTAGGGGCTTACGAGCAAGCGAGAATGGCGCGGTTGGAGGACGCTTACCGCCAGCTCAAGGTGGAAAATGCGACGCTGCGAACAGCTCAAGATGTTAGAAGCAGAGCCGCGTACTCGGCGACGAACGACCCCAGCGCCGCCATTCCGGAGCCTGGCAGCGGCAGCCCTTCGCCCTCCGTGCCCACCGGTCCCCGCGAACGCGAGAGAAAACCCCGAAAGGCCGAGCGGACTTCACCCATGGCGCGCAGCGCATCCTCCCACACTATGACAACCCCCGGGTCAGCCAACCACAACCCCTTCGAAGCATCTCTAGCGGAGCGGGAAACCACGGATAACCGATGGATCTTTAAGCTGCGCGACCTCGAAAATAAGCTCAAAGCAGAGCGCGAGGGCAGATCGCAGGACCGTACGGCGGCGAGACAAAGGCTAGGGGGACTCGAATCAGAGAACCGCGCATTGCAGAGCGAAGTGGCGCGCATACGCAGGGCGAACGGAGCCATGGAGTGAGGATAAGGGAGCATCTCGAGTTTCCTTTGTAACAATTCACTGTCTGTATCACTAGGAGCCTGAAGAACGGAGTGGACGACTTTTTTTTTTTTCTAGTCTTTTTTATTCTTGCTTTTCTTCATCTTTTTTGCATCTCTAACGTCAGCGATGGATGGTCCAGCTGGGAATCTGGAGGAGTTTGCGGAGAACCGGGGCCGCCTTTTGGGATACTTAATACGGAACCTCACGTCTGCTGGCGTTTTTCTTTTTGTTTTTCAACGGCATAAAGTCTGCATATCAATGTGTGACGTGATGATGTATGTCTCTCTTCCGGTGAGGATGAGAAAAGTAGCAATGTCTCTCTCTCTCCAGCTACGGCAACCCGACGCGCCGGGCGGGCCTGGGCTCCATGTCGGACTTCCTTCCACGGGGGTCACACACATGACCATCTGCCCCGTGGTGATTTGACGGTTCAGCCCACACCCTTTCACAGCCTTCGGTCAGGATCCGGGATCGAGGAAGAGTGTGCATGGATGGGGCGTTGATGATGGATGGTGTACTTGCTGCGTGTAATCTGTGGGTGTTGGGTCTAGCGGGGCCCCGCGTTGGTTGTCCGTCGGAGCGTATTGTCGGATTACCCTTTTTGGAACCGCCGACTGTGCGGAGGGTGTATGTTCTGTGGGTTCCCGTCCCGGTATAAGAGGTCGACGACGACGAGTGTTTTGTTGATGGTGGATAGCTTGATTGTCAGTGCGGTTGAGTTTAATTCAAGAGTTTTCAGTGTTTTTCAGTGTTGTAGCAACCAATACTTGATCATATTCTGCATCAGCTTCTCGTCGAAAAGCAGCCGACTTATACGCATTTTTCATATTAACCTACTCCGAGCGACGGCACTCTACGATTATACGACGAACGACAACATAAAATGTCACGACTTCTCACTCTCTCCCGCTCCGCGCGGGTTTCTTCCCTCCCAGCTCATGTCTCTCAGCGACGAACCGTCATGATGGGCGCCATGGGTGCCTCGGCCACCCACGCGCCAAAAAAGGAGGGAGACATCTCCTCCGTCTTCGTCTCGCTCTCGGGCGAAACCAGAGAACCGCTGGCACCACGGTTCCGCGTGTTAAAACAGGACCTGGTGGCGGGCCACGAGGACGCCGTCGTCAAGTCCTGGGGCAGACTGCTCAGGTCGCTGAGGGAGGAGAACGAGATCATCGCCGCCAACGGGCCCGGTATCATCCCCAGTATCGAGTTTAGCGACTTGAAGAACGACTTGGAGAGGTTAAAGGGGGAGATTAAGAAGCGCGGTGCCGTTGTTGTCCGGGGGGTTGTTGATGAAAAGGAGGCTAGGGGGTATAAAGAGGAAGTCGAGAACTACGTCCGCAAGAACCCTTCCACAAAAGGTATGTCTTTTTGCTATTGGTTTTTTGCTTCGCAATTAAGCATCAGTTTTACTCACGAAAACTACAGCTTTCCCCGCGGATAACCCCCAAGTATACGAGCTCTACTGGTCTCACCCCCAGCTCAAGGCCCGCGGCCACCCCAACCTTCTCAAGGTGCAGTCGGCGCTCATGCGCGACCTCTGGAACAAGTCTCCCTCCGCCGCCATCTCCCTGCAGCCGCTCACCTACGCGGACCGCCTGCGCATCCGGCAGCCCGGCGACGCGACGTTCGCTCTCGGCCCGCACATTGACGGCGGCTCGCTCGAGCGGTGGGAGCGCGAAGGCTACGGCAAGACGGGCACCTACGACGCCGTCTTCCGCGGCGACTGGGAGTCGTACGACCCCTGGGAGGTCAGCGCCCGCGTCCACGCCGTCCAGGACCTGTACAACGGCGCCGGCGCCTGCAGCATGTTCCGCATGCTCCAGGGCTGGCTCAGCATGAGCTCCGGCGGCCCCCGCGAGGGCACGCTCCTCGTGAACCCCCTCGTGCGGCACACCACCGCGTACCTACTCCTCCGCCCCTTTTTCCAGCCGTTGAGGGAGGACGTGGAAGGCGACGAGTTCCTCAGGGAGGACAACTGGGCGTTCACCGCCGCCGAGAACATGACTTCCGAGCTGCACGGCGCCACGGCGGGCCACTGCCAGGAGCTGACGGGCAAGTTGCACCCGCACTTGGAGCTGGGCAAGACGATGGTTCATGTGCCGCCCATCAAGCCCGGTGATTTCGTGGCGTGGCATGCGGACTCGATTCACGCGGTCGATACGGTGCACGAGGGCAAGGGGGATTCGAGCGTCATGTATATTCCCGTGTGCGCGTTGACGGACCAGAACGTGTGGTATTTGAAGAGGCAGAGGGAGGCGTTCTTGCAGGGTCTGCCGGGACCGGATTTCCCCGGTGGAAAGGGCGAGAGCGAGCATGTTGGAAGGCCCGGAGAGGAGGCGATTGTTGGTGCTGATGCAAGGAGGGCGATGGGTTTGGAGAAGTTGATTGTTGCTGGGGAGGGCGAGGGTGAGCGGGCTCTGATTGAGAGGGCGAATAAGTATTTGGGTTTCTAGGGGATGTTGAGGTGGTGTTTGTGTAATAGTATGATTATAGGTGTAAAATTGGGTATTTCATGACTGTAGTAAGGTATATTACGCATGGAAGTTGGTCTGTATCTCGATTGGCCTAACATAATAGCTGTGATCTGATATTTTGTTACTACTGATATGTGATCTACCGTGATCGTTTCCTTGGCTAACTTCAAGTCAGAAGGCCATAAATGTTTCATACTTCAGACAGCAGAGCTAGTTCCTCTGTGGGCTACGGCTCCCGTGATGTCCAAACCAACTAGATTGGCGCCGAGGAATTGTCTTTCCGCTGAATTTGGTTGCCAAAAAGAACCTTTCATACTGATCAGCACATAGTTCTCCACACTTGGGCTTCGATAGCTGACCCGGAAATGTAGGTTCTTCCCCATATCAACCAAGGCGATTGACAGACCCCGTGAAACTAGTGTTAGCCACCTCTCCGCCATGTAGCCGTCGCTGCTTTTTCCTCTCCTGGAGGATGTTTCGCTCAACCTTGTCAGCCTCTATGCGGACCAGTACTTTTTCCTTCCGTAAGGCGTCTAGCTTTTTCTGCTCGGCTACCTCAAGAGCATATTTTTGTACGTCATTGAGTCCTTCCCTGGGGTCAAACTTCTTAACCTTTGCTCGGTCTTTTGGTACTAGCGTTTCTTGGATCTTCTGCTCCTTATCTGGGATGCGGAAGACACCAATACCGGCGAGGAATTCGGCAAATTGGTCGATCCGTGCACCATCCCAAGTTGTGGTTTGTATTTTGTATCCACCGTGGATGAACTTGTGTGGCGTATTAGTGATAATATTGTTGCTGATCTTTTGTGGCCTTATGGCTTCCTTCGATATCAGGGCCAAAGTTTTGACGTCACGAGTCGGTTGGCCATCTTCAAGATGCATTCCCACGAAGCCCCCAAGGCGTAATTGAGAGGATTGAGTCCAGGTAAGATGATAATTTCTTTTAATGAAAGCAGACATCTCTTTGGGGTCGCTATGGAGGTCAGTCCCACCCTCAGGGAAGGACGACATGGCTTCGTGCGCCGCCTCAGCAGTCTCGCCCTGGCCACCTAGAATAATTCGATCAAGGCCTCCCGCACGTTTGGCCTCCCGAAGGATAATCTGAGTGATGTAGGGAACAGCTCCCATTGTCATGCCAACTGCCTTTCTGTCATCTGGCGAGAGATTGTTCCACGGCCGAGCATGAGCTTTTCCGAATGGGAACACCCAACGCACTGAAGGAAACTGTCGACGTAAGGTCTTGTGATTTTTGGTCAACTTTTCGGACAAGACTTTGCGCCGAAGCTCCTCATCGGTTGTGGATTCTGGGAAGCGATGTAGAAAGACCACGGTATGGGTATGCTCATGGCCATGCCTGGCATTGACGACTATGGGTGGGGGAAGTTGCTGGCGGAGGGCCATTTTGATGGGATGATGGGACACAGCGATTGACTGAAGATACTATTTCCGAGTTGGAATTAGAAGTGAAAGAGAAAGGTCATGTTTTCCCTCGACCTTGGTCCCTTTTTACATTTAACGTCATTCTTGTCCCATGTCAAACCTTGAAAGCAGGGAAGACGAACCCAAGAATGTCCAGGCTGGGGGTTGCTTGCCAACCTGCAGCAGGGTCCGTGCCAGGTCGGCCTCCTGCAGGATGTCTCAGGTGGTGATGATTGATGGGCGTTGAAGTCACTTTCCTACTCAGTAGTCGATAGGTCGAGATGACAGAGATAGCATGGACGATTACTCCGCCGCTTGGAGGGCTACAGATACTGGAATTTAGCGGAATATCGTTGGCGATATTAGTGAGTTGATAGCGAGAATTTTTCGAACTCTATATATGGCGTTCTGAACCATATCGGATCTCGGTAAGATATAAAGTAGCTGGTGAATGTCGCAGGAAACAATGCAGTAGATTTCAAGCTTAACGCTACTCTCCACGTAGGTGATCTGGTTTCCCAGGGAACGTAACTCTGGTTTAGGATTTTGCTATTGTGGTAGGTTAACGAAGAGGGTATAGAATAAGAAGACAGCCCAAGGCATCACCTCAAGCTGTTTTTACAAGCTTTCTTCAAAAAGGTCTCTCATAGAAATTATGATTTCATTATCGATGGATTGAAAGAGCCAGCTCATACATCACGGCTGTAACCCAAGGAAGACCAGGAATCGTTATTCCAAAAGGATGACAGACACTGTTGGCGACAGTCTATGATGATTACTGTCCCTCGCGAAGGTACTTTTGATGAAATCTACTGTTGAGTAGTGTGACATTTGATCTCGTCAGATCAGGCTGCAATAGGGCATGAGAGCAGACTTCCTATTCCGTATGAGGGCGTCTGGCCAATCAGACAGGGTAGGTTTTGCTGATGTCAGATTCGAACCCAGGCAACTTAATCCAAACACAAGAACACCAGCCGACATTGCTCACTTACCCCGCTTTGTGCGCTTAACCATCCGATCAACACAAACTATAATCAGCAAAGACACATTAAGGTGAGTAGAACGGGCCGAGGCGACTTTTACCGTTATGGAGCCACATTCTCAAGGTCCGTCTGCGCCACTGAGGATCCTTTCACTGGGTGAGACTACCGATTCACGCTGTATTCTCTTTGCTAACAAGTCTAGATGGTGGTGGCGTTCGCGGCATCTCTAGCCTTCTTATCCTCGAGCATTTGATGGAAGAGATCCGCAAAACCAAAGGCCTTGAGCATGTTCCACGACCGTGTGACTACTTCGATATCATTAGTGGAACGAGCACTGGAGGGTAATACTATTCACAACTGTGCAGTCACTTCTTCTACTAATCCATCTCAGAATCATTTCCATCATGTTGGGAAGGCTCCGCATGACTGTGGACGAGTGCATCCGAGAATACCGGGATGTGGCTCAAAAGGCCTTCACACCGAAGCGAAAATCGATTCTGCCTGCCTCGCCAAGCGGTGTATTTTCCGCAACAGCACTTGAAAATGCCATCAAGTCGACATGCCGGAAATTCTGCCCAGAAGAAGTGTGTGCTGCTAGGCGGCAGCAAAGCAAACCAAGAACAGGGACCTGCCCTCACGGCGAGATGAAATTCCGAGATGGAACTTGTACCAAGACGTGCGTGCTGGGTGCTAACCTACGAAAACAGTTGCAGCAATACTAACAGCTTGCAGTGTCGTTCTAGCTATTACGAAGGATAATGTGGATGCTCCGCCAACCCTTTTCACTACCTACGATACGTCAGCCGACTTTCGAGATTGCGCCATCTGGCAGGTGGCCCGAGCAACTTCTGCGGCTACTACTTTCTTCAAGCCTATTGGGGTTGGCCGCGATGGAGTTGAATTTGTAGACGCGGGGTTTGGGTATAACAATCCCTGCGAAATTTTAGTCAACGAAGCCCGACGACAGTTCCCGTCGCGGACCAACCTTCAGGTCCTCAGCATTGGCACTGGGCTTGGTGACGTTGTTGATATTGGTGACACAAGAATGGGTATCATTCGCGCGTTAAAGAGCATGGCGACTAGCTCGAAGAAGGTGGCTGCAAGCATGGATGAGCAGTATGGTGGCAGCGATCAGTACTTTAGATTCAACGTGGAAAAGGGCCTCGAAGACGTTGTTCTATCCGACTGGGAGAAAGCGAGCAAGATTTCCGCTCACACCAAGAACTACATTCAAGAAAGGCGAAGGGCAATTGAGGCTTTCGTTCGCCACTTTACGAGAGGTGTTGAGAAACAGGAGGCTACAGTACCTGAACTTGGCAGAGAGATTGAAGATGAGTCGAAAAGTTAGTCTTGTGGCTTATCTTGCGAGCTTTTCTAATTCCATCACAGATAAAGTAATACATGTTCTACCTCTGAAACAAAATGGGCGCTTCGTAGAGCGACCGGAAACAGAACATCTCAGACGAATGCTGTTCGAGCACAAGTGCCAAACAGTCGCCCTCGTGGGTCTCGGTGGCGTGGGTAAGACTCAGATCGCGCTTGATATCGCCTACTGGGCGAAGAAAGAACAACCGCAGTTTTCGGTATTTTGGGTACCGGTTTTGAGTCACGCCAGCTTTGAAAAAGCCTTTAGAGACATTGCTAAGGAGCTCAATATCCATCCAAGAAACAAAGACGAAGATATCAAGGAATCAGTACAAAGTTTTCTGAGCTCAAAGGAATCCGGTTCCTGGCTCTTGATCGTGGATAACGCCGACGACAAAGACCTTATGCTTGGGTCTTCAGACGACAAGAAAGGCTTGGCTGACTATTTGCCGCAAAGTGAGAGTGGACTCACACTATTTACTACTCGCGTCAGGGATATAGCTCTGGAAGTTGCGGAAGACAATCTGATCGAGTTGCTCGCAATGAACAAGAGCGACGCCACAAGTCTCTTGGAAAAATCACTACATCGCAAGAAACTTCTTGTTGATGATACCGCAATAGGACAGCTCCTGGAATTTTTGACATATCTACCGCTGGCCATCACGCAAGCCGCAGCTTATTTGAATCGGAATCTGTCAACCTCAATTGCCTCGTATCTTAGATTGCTGCGAAGCACGGAACACAGCGCAGTTGAGTTACTGAGCCGGGAGTTCCGCGACACTTCTCGATACAAAGAGTCACAGAATGCAGTCGCAAGAACGTGGCTGGTTTCTTTCGAGCAGATTCAGAAATCAGACAGCTACGCTGCGGAAATCCTATATTTTATCTCGCGTATTGAGCCGAAAGCCATTCCGCGATCAATTCTACCCCAGGGAGAGTCAGACGAAAAGACAGAATGGGCAATTGGCACCCTCTGCTCATACTCATTTCTCACTGCACGAAATGATGATGAAGCATTTGATATGCACAGTCTTGTGTATCTAGCAACACGACTCTGGATAAAGCGTCAGTTGATCGAGGATCAAGTTATTACAACTGCTGTCTTGCATCTTGTGAATGTCTTCCCTTCCACTGACTATACCGACCGCGATATCCGGAGACAGTACATGCCGCACTCTTTGAGAGTTTTGAATGAAAGACAACATGTTGAAACAAATGAAGAGTCTGATCTTTGGTTGTATTGTGGGCAGTGCTACCTGGAAGAAGGGCGAGCAAAAGACGCCATTTTTTGCTTCGAGAAGTGTTTCAGTTGGCGAAAGAAGCATTGCTTAGAGGATGAAAACTCTCTACTTACCTCGCAACACGAACTCGCACGGGCATACCATGCAGACGGGCGAGTTAAAGAAGCAATCAAGCTCTTAGAGAATGTAGTGGAAATTGGAGCAAACACACCAAACGAAGAGCACCCAGACCGGCTTACATCCCAATACGAACTAGCAAAAGCATATCGATCAGACTGGCGAGTTAAAGAAGCAATTAAGCTCTTAGAGAATATAATGGAAATTCAAGCAAACATACTAAACGAAGAGCACCCACACCGGCTTACATCCCAACACGAACTTGCATCTGCATATCGATCAGACGGGCGAGTTAAAGAAGCAATTAAGCTCTTAGAGAATATAGTGGAAATTCAAGCAAACATACTAAACGAAGAGCACCCACACCGGCTTACATCCCAACACGAACTTGCATCTGCATATCGATCAGACGGGCGAGTTAAAGAAGCAATTAAGCTCTTAGAGAATATAGTGGATATTCAAGCAAACATACTAAACGAAGAGCACCCACACCGGCTTACATCCCAACACGAACTTGCATCTGCATACCTATTAGATGGGCGAGTCAAAGAGGCAATTAAACTACTGGAGAATGTAGTACAGATCAAAACGAACGTATTAGACGAAGATCACCCAGAGCAGCTTAGATCACAGCACGAACTTGCACGGGCATACCATGCAGACGGGCGAGTTAAAGAGGCAATTAAACTACTGGAGAATGTAGTACAGATCAAAACGAACGTATTAGACGAAGATCACCCAGAGCAGCTTATATCACAGCACGAACTTGCATCTGCATACCGATCAGAAGGGCGAGTTAAAGAAGCAATTAAACTCCTAGAACATGTAGTAGAAAGACGCGAAATAACACTTAATAAAACGCACCCATACCGACTTGGGTCACAACATCTACTCAGATTAGTATATCTAGAAGACGGGCAAGTAAAGGAATCAATCAAGCTACTCCAACAAGTAGTAGAAATAGAGGCTGAAATACTTGACGAAGGGCATCCAGACCGACTTGCATCGCAAGAGGCCCTCCTCGACGCGTATGAAGCTTTAAAACTGTTGGAATCATAAGATGTGCGTACATGCATAGGAAGAGATTCTTGTCAAACATCAATTCTGTATGTGACTGAAGGGAAAATTGCAGTAGGGTAGGTTAGAGTAGGTGAAAGGGAAACATCCTGTCTGATTGACCGTAATGTTGATAGACGACACCAAGGTGTCATCTAAGCCTGGGTGGTTAGGCATGCCAGGCTATCGCTAATAAGGCAAATAGTCTTACTAGGAGATTTTATAACGTCAGGGCGCGATAAATCAAATACCCAAGGCCGGCGTATCTCAGTAACTCATCCGTTCCGTTTTCGCTGATGCTCTTGCATGTTCCTAGGTTCCATCGAAAACGACTAAATATTCAGCGATGGGCTTCCTTTACTGGCTTCATAAAATAGGCTGAATAATGTTAGATAAATATTCAATTTGGCATGACTCCTGGAGATATATAGCTATTTCAAGATTCAAGTGCTATATCTGCCCTCGATTCAGTGCCTGGTAAATGCCCAGATTAATTGTTCAACAATTTAATTAGATTCCGGAGTTGCGAAAGTGGAAACTGACTCAGCGAACGTCATGTTCAACATCAAAGCTGCCTTGTTGGAGAAACAATTCTTAAGTTTCAAAAAGCTTCACGAAATGCAAAGTTGAGCGGGCAACATGAGTAGTATCTTATCATCATCAGCAAAGACCAAAATAAGGGATAAAAGGGTATGTGCCCTATATGACCTGGGAATATAGTCAAGATCAAAGATGGCCTATGAATCACTTGTGCCTAGGATATCGGGACTTCACTCTTCAGGAGAAATCCATTGTTCAGGAGTACACACCCCCTAATTTCGTAATCATCAGAATACCAAAAAAGCGTACCAAACACCGCCCATGCATTTTGTCTAACCCTCTACACAGCCCAACCCCAGCCCTCACGCCGCAGCCTTCTTCCGCAGGATAAAGCCGTAGTAGTCAAACGCGCTCTCGCCACCCGACAACACGTCCATCTCGAGATCCCACAGCCCCTCGCTGTTCAGAAGCGGTCTCATGAAGTGCGGCTGGCGGTACGTAATGTACAAGAACACACCATCGTCCTTGAGGGCGCGGTGGACCTCGCGCAGGTAGCGGCCGGTGTTGTCCTTGACGTCGTCGGGCGGCGACCAGGGCGAACCGTGGATCATGGCGTCCATGGTGCCCTTGTCGAAAGCAACATCAATGGACGCAGTTGGCGCCTCATTGGGCATGTCGCGGACATCAGCCCAGCGCCACTCGATACCGCCGACGGCCGAGTGACGCTCCTTCATGAGGTCTACGACCACGGTGGAGAAGTCCAGGCAGAGCTGGTTCCTGTAGCCCCGTTCCGAGAGGTCGGCGGGGATTGTCTGTGTATGTCAGTCCTGTCTCACTCAAGAGGCTATCGATAGAGGCACTGGTGTATGAGGGAAGTAAGCATACGCTGTCACCCGATCCGAGGTGCATGATCCTCGGGGCCGTCTCCGGGGCACGCTGAGAGAAGAGGTGCTTCTGGAAGTACGGCTCAAGGGCCGCGAAGGTACGGAACCATTCGTGTGTCGGGTTGGAGCCGTCCGACTTGGTGTACCGTTCGTTCCAGAACTCTGGGGTGGCCAGGGCCTCGGCCTCACTGAGCTCGGCGGGCATTGCGTGCGAGGTGTTGTTGGCGCTGTGGATAATATTGATAAGTGTTACGTGAGGCCGAGAGCAAGGGGTCTGTGAGAGAGCGTATGGGAGATGAGCCGTGTGGCTGGTGGTGATGATGGTCTCTCAGCTCCGAGGGGCTGAAAAAAAGATTGTTTGCGGTGCGGCGCCGGTGGTGGGGGCGGGGCATCGGCAGCGGCGATTGGGATGTGTTCCGATAGTGGGACCAACTTATGTCTTATTGGCTATGACTAATACAGCGGATGTGATATCTCTGCTTAGTCATTGGTATCCAAGCCTCCTGAAGAGCCACAGATTGAGCCACAGATTGAGCCACTTGATGAGCCACAGAATGAACCCCTCAGTGAGGGGTTGATGGGGAAAACAGAATGGAACAATCTGGTGGCTTCGAGGATCATGGTTTCATCCCTTGGAGATGTGACGGCCGCATCATCTGATGTGGTTTTTGAATTACGGATTCACATTGGGATCAATGCTACGTGATAATCAAGGGCAGGAAAAGTGTATGGCATTGCATTGAGCTGCATGCCTGGAACAGATACTCACAACAGAGATGATTGATTCGCCTTCATATGCATTTTCACATAATATCACATCAGTCTCGTAGCAAAAAGTCCAATGGAGATGAAAGTCATAAAAAGGCACTAAATTATGCCGTGTTTATTCAATTGATTACTTTTCCTATCCAATCATGCTCAATCCCGTCTATAGTACCGGGCGCCATCCTGTGACGATTCGCTCATCCTCTCACCAAAACCATCCCCTTACTGCTGCGACTTCTGGTGCTGCTCAACAAAAGGTCCCATGAAGGGGCCGAGGTAGTCGCCCTTGCCAATCTGGACGCCCTCCTTGCGCAGGATGCTGTAGGCGGTCTGGACGTGGAAGAAGAAGTTGGGCAGGCCGTAGGCGACGAGGTAGTCGCGGGCGCGGATCTGCATCTCGCCCTTGCCGAAGCCGAGTCCGAGGGGGACGAGGGCGTCGGTGCGGGCCTCGAAGGTCTTGGGGTCGGCGGCCTTGACGAGGGCGAGGGTGTGCTCGACGCGGGAGCGCAGGTCGGCGATGCCCTCGAACTTGAACTCGTACGCCTCCGGGTCGGTGCCCTGGACGCGCGCGACGATCTTCATGGCGCTGTCGGTGGCGACGTGGTACTGGAAGGTGAAGGGAAGCATGTCGTCGGCCAGCTTGGCCTCGAGGAGGGTCTTGACGTCGATGCCCTTCTCGGCGGCGTGAGCCTCGGCCTTGGCCAGGAGGTTCAGCAGGGTGTTGAGGCCTGCGGTGAGGAGGGGGACGGAAGCGTCGTAGAGAGAGTAGGTCATTTTGGCGGTTGAGTTGGGGTTAAGAATGGGATAAAATGTTGTTTGTATTATTTTTGTTTCAAGGATGGAAAGATGCTGATTGATGGCTTGATACAGATAGACAGATGAAGCTAAACTAGAATCTGGGGGGCTATCGCGGCGGCTTTATATATTGCTACGAGGCTTGTTTATTAAACATCTGAAGCACGATGCAACATTCCACCTGTCCTCAAAAGAGCGGTGGGAACCAGAAAGTGGTGATCGGGCGTTTCTGTCGAGTTCGACGAGCGGGTCTGGTTGACTAATGCGCCGTTACGGACTGGACAGCGCAGGACCGGCCCGTGAGACCTGGAGGCAAATGTCATGGCATGGGAAACAAACATGGGAAGGATGCGTTGGATTCCGACCTCACTGGGCACCTTGTGGCCCCCCTCCTGCGTCGGTCCCTGGGTTAGTCGGACCGCGGAGGCTTTGTCTACACACCTTGCCCCGGCTTCATGCCAGTCAACGGTCGTGGTCGTGTCTCGCTATGTCTCGTCTTACCATGTAGATCGCCGCTGTTTGTTCGCCAACCGAGAAGCGAGAGAAAGGGGGAATGTCACCGCCGTGGGGAAGAGGAGCACAGAGACGGGGCGGCGTTATTATGGCTGACAAATTGAAATTGCGGTTTTCTGTTCCTCCGCTTGCGGGATGCCCCATTTCTGCCTGCGGGGACTTCGCATTATGTTGAGCTCGGGCGATATTGCATCCGAGCTGCTGCAATTCTGACACTGGCATGGGGCTGAAGTTGATATCCCACCGGTCGAGCAAAAAAGTACGTGATGTTCAAGGTGAAGGATGGAGGTTCACCGAAATGTGAACGAATGCCACCCGACGGGACGGATCGCACGGTCTGGGGTAAAAAGAACGCCAGTTTAGGACTGAGTTCATGCCCAAAGGCGATCAACATCAACTCCAAAGGCTAAATGGCCAATCGGGCATTTCCATCTACAACAGCCCCAGAAGCTTAAACAGACAAGAAAGATATGTTATTGTCTCGTCATGGCATAAGGCGATTGCGTGCTCTCTCTGGTGTGGGAAATCAGGAGAGGAAAGGTGTCCTAGTGGCAATCGCTTGGAAGATGGTCCTGGCTGCGCTATTCCCGGGAGCCAGCTATGCAAGGGCGAAGATGCATCGGCTAGGGAGCCTACCAAGTCAAACGTGCATATCTGTACTTCCCACAAAGATGACGAACATGGAGACATTGTGTATGCTTTGTAATCGAGAGACTACGGGATGTTTGACGGCTCCAAGCCGTCAGAGCCTTTGCGCCTAAGCCATACAACAGTTGTACACGGTCGCTGAGGCGGATGTTTTTCTCGCATTTTAGTCCGCCAACACGGACGAGCATTTGTAAGCAGGAAGTTGACCTGCGGATCACGCCCTTGGCGAGTAGGCATTGTCTCACCGGTTGCCTTGGTGTTGAGACTTGATGTTGATCAAACGGGTCAACAATTGGCGAGGCCAGTCAATGCTTTTGTCGGCAATTTATGGTAGGCTAATACACATAAGCACGAAGTTTCTCCATTCACAGTGAGTTTTGGCGGAGGAAACCTATTCTTAGTTCAGACTCATCGTAGCGTCCACAGTAGACTGAACATACTTAATTATAACAAGGAGCATCACCCACTATCGTAATTCAACTGGTCTGGATACAATGTCTCCCTGTTAGTGTCTATTCCCGCAGGGTTTTCAACCTGCTTGTTCGCACGCAACGGCCCGCATTCCATCTCATCAAGTGCCCATGGAATATGTAACTCTGCATTTCCATAAGCTTCCGTGTTCCCCAAGGCCCGGACTCATGACTGGTCTTGCACTCTCAAAAAGTAGCTGATATATTTCGTGCCACAGAAGTATGCCCCTGACATTTGATGAAATATTCTTCCGATCAAGCCACGAGCCCAGCCACCCCCGCCTCCGTTGATTACAATAGCACGGCTGTCCCAGTCAAGCCCCTGTCGCAAAAGCTCTCTCCCCTGGTTCTAGCGCATCTAACCCCCCTGAGTCAGCGAGCACCCTCATGAAGGTAGCGCAACGTGGCCGCTGAACCAATCGGTGTCCCTTGGAAACGAAAGTTAGACCTTGTCGATCGCGAGGTCACCGGCCCAATTACCTGAATTTACTCTAACTTTACTCCCACCTTCATTTCAGACTGACTTTCTGTGCAAAAGTTTCCAACATCGATAAGGTGTGAATCTTCAACTTGGGCCCACCTCCGCGGTTCATTTCCCGAGTGAAGCGCCTTTACCAACCCTGTCATGGTTCGCGTCACTGACTTTTGACGTCTCTCGGCAGGTTCACATCCCGTCTCCAGCTCCGCGCTATCGGTTATTTGACCGAGCAAATCCACCAAGTCTATCCCTGTAGACAGTTCTCGTTATCTCAAACTCCTGCTAGCGGCTTCATATCACAAGCTTGATTGTTCATTACCGCGTGAACTTTGCTTCAGGAGAAGCAATGTCCAGCCTATCTTCCGTAGCGTCTTCCCCCACGGGGACGGTACCCTCCGTCTCAGGAGAGTTTGCCCAGCCTGTTCAATACGCCGCGATGGTGAGTTATTTTGATGAGCAAATATCCTTTCTCATATCTGTCAATTATGCCAAGCTGTGGTCTGGCAAAAGCCCATTGTTGCCGTAGTTTTGTGTTCTCCGTCCGATGTGACATTTATACCCGTCGATATCCTGATTTCATTGCCGGACTACATCGCTCACTAGTGTATTGAAATTCTCAGAACGACGCGCCCCAAATGTCGGTCCAAAGGTACTCCCTTCCCCAGCTTCCCTATGCCTATGATGTGAGTACCACTGTCCCTGTCAATCTCGTTTCCCGACCTGATCCTTCGTCTAGGCCCTCGAGCCGCATATCTCGGCTCAGATCATGACCCTTCATCATGACAAGCATCACCAGGCCTACATTACTAACCTCAACGCCGCTCTCGGTAACTACTCCAAGGCCGTGGCGGACGTCAACATCCCCGATCAGATCGCCCTCCAAAATATGATCAAGTTCAACGGCGGCGGGCACATCAATCACTCCCTCTTCTGGAGGACTCTGGCTCCCGCCAGCAGCAAGGATGCCTCGGACCCCGAGGCCTCCGCTCCCTCGCTCATGGAACAGGTCAAGTCGACATTTGGCAGCCTCGCCGGCCTGACGACTGTTTTCTCCTCGACACTGATGGGCATTCAGGGCTCCGGATGGGGCTGGCTCGTCAAGGCTCCCGGAAGGGATGGCGGTCTGCGTATTATCACGACTAAGGACCAGGACCCCGTCGTCGGCGGTGAGGTTCCCATTATTGGTATCGACATGTGGGAGCACGCTTATTATCTACAGGTGAGCACCTCTTGGATGTGAACATACGAGAAGACTGGCTGACCGTCGCAGTATCAAAACGGCAAGGCGTCATACGTGGACAACGTGTGGAAGATCATCAACTGGACTGCCGCCGAGGAGCGTTTCAAGGGCAACCGCGAGGAAGCTTTCGATATTTTGAAAGCTTCTATGTAGGATGGACATGACCAAATTCAGCCCAAGTCATGGAGTAAATACCCTCTTGAGAGGCACTGATAACAGTGTGGCGAGCTTCTGTACAAAATCTCCGTCCTTGGTGTCACTTTTTTAGCGTGCAAGGAACATTGTATTGGAGAATGAAGCTTAATTCGTTTTATGTTTAAGAACATCTGTGACGGCGTTACTGTGTCTGTCCGTGGCCGTTCAGCATTATGGTCGACATTTCGTATGCTGCTACCCTAGAGATGTCGCCTACTCAGTTTCTATTCCCCGCGACAATGCCGAGCAGCGGGCCGTTGGGCTCACCCGCCTCATTTGTGACGCTTGCCTGCTGAGGAAACGCCATGAAAAGCGCCTCCCAATGGTCATGATACTTGACAATTATGCCCCCATCCTGGTCCCGCCCATTGTACTTGGCGAGCGTTCCGAAATACCCTTGGTTCATACGAACTTTTACAACATGTAGGCCGTTTTTGCTTCCTCGCTCTCCCCAGACCCAGACGTCCGCCAACGCCTCGACAGCCGGGTCGAAGAAGGAATGCAGCACTTCAACAACGTCTTCTGCGCTTTCAGGCTCTTCGTAGACTGCGAATTTGCCCTGATTCATCGCAATGAAACCGTCCGAGATCATGTCGAGGGCTGGTACGTGGTGGGGGCTCTCTATCGCCGCGGGGATCTCGTGGAAGCCCGGACTGAGGTTTGCGAGGAGAAAACTATCCGTAACAAGGGGGGCAGTGAAGTTGCGGTCGATCCAGTAAACGATACGGATGTCGTCGAGGTCGGGCGCCTTCATTTCAAGGTTGACAAATATGTTCCGGGAAGGCAGGGGTGTAGGAGTGGGACTGATGTAGTATTCATTGCCGTCTTGGATGGTGAGTAGGGCGGAGACAACGGCTTGCTTTGAGTAGCCTCGGGGTGCAAAGAAACGGACTGGGGAACCTTTCCAAACACCATATATGGGCAGCTTGATAGAGGAAGTAGGAGAAAGAATAATGGCGAGGATTAAGGAGAGAAAAGACAGGATTCGGGCCATGACGTCTGCAAGTATTGACTTTGGATGGACTACGAACGATCCTTGATGGATTCTTCGTTGTTTTGGCCAAGGGAAGTGGCAGGCGCGTCAGAGAGTGGTGCGTTTAAATGATGCCAAATCCCCTGAGTGTTGAACTATGTGATACAATTTTCGGGCATCTGCATGTTTGTCGTCTTCGATCAATGGGGGCCGTTCCGCGCCGGTCAAATGTGGGTCCTACCGAATCTCGGCCGGCTGAGACAACAAATCTAGAGCATGTCTTTGACCGAATGGTTAAACGGATACGCAGGTTAATTTGATTAAACTATTCTGTCAGCCGCGAAACGAGATGATACTTTACAACCATAGTATCGTTTCAAGCTGACGCCCGTATCTGACAAATATTCAGCTGACTTTTTGATGCAGAAAGGATAATGAGGAACAGGAATTCAAATCGCCAAACCTCCTATCCCTAACATCGCGCTGATGATTCTACGAAAGAAGAGTACATGAGAAGAATTCATTCATGAACACCAGTCGATTTTGCCGTAGCTTTCTGCCAACCACGATGCCCAATTCCTTGTCAGCATTTTACCCGGCCTGCAGACATCAGCTCAAGAAGGCTGGCCGATTCCCCGCACCTGGTTGCAAAAGGGTGTTGTCAGTCCAGAACTGCCATTGGCCGTCAGTGGCTTGTGCCGAGTTCGAGGCGGTGCCCGGAACTCGATGACTGGTCATTTGCGTGTCCAGGTATCAATGCAATGCATTGCTGCCGTCTGTCCATGCTGTGCGACACAACGCCGACACACCAGGGCGGACGGACGACATCTTTGGGTGCCAACAATGGCTCATTGTTTATTCCTCCGCACTTGAAGAATCCAGTAGATCCCGCCGAATGTAGTCAAGGGCGAGATCACGACGAGGCTGCGTCGCGCGGGCATACGCCACCTGCAGAACGTGTGTGTGGCAGTCTCTTTTTTCTCCAGCGAGAACATCTTCTTTTTCTGTGCCTCATTGGCCTCGGAGCAGCCTCATTGCGGCCCAGGCTCGCCTGATACTGTATTCGGTGCATGATGGTGGGCAAGATGAGGCATGCGTTGGACACCGGTGAGCAACAATCAGGCTGTCTAAAGATGTCATACCATTACGAAGGTGAAGCGTTCACCAGACCCGGGGAGCACAAATACTGCCCTCGTGCCCCGACTTATCGGCTATCAGCGCCAGAAGAACTCATTCGGCTTCACGTTTTGGACAGGAGTTCAATCTCCTAGCTTTTACATGATGAGTATCGACGCCGTGGAAGAGCTGAGAAGCTCTCTCAAGAAGTAGGCGCAACGTAATGACAGCCCACAGATAAGTGAGCTAACTCAGCGACCAGTCTCTATAACGACCCTGAGTTTTCGGATCTTACCATCGCGACCGGCGAAACCGAGTATCACGTTCACAAGGCTATCGTCTGCCCAAGATCCGACTACTTTGCTGCGCAATGCCGTGAAGTCAAGTCCAAGGTCAGAAATTACTTTACCTCGTCACTTCGGCTGCATTGAGTAACATGACGTGCTTGTAGGCAGCCTCCGATGGCTATCTGAATCTTGCCGACGACGATCCCCAGGCCGTCGGGATGGTCGTTCGCTATTTCTACCACCTCGACTACCCATCTGAGTCCCCTACTGACGGCCCGCTTGTCAATGGCCATGCACACGTCAACGGACTTACCAACAGCCACGTCAACGGTCATGCCACAGACGAAGACGGCCTCAATGGCTCCGTCAAATCTGATGAACAGCCCCTTGACAAAGACAACAAATCAGAGGAGCCCCTAGAGCCTCTAGATGATTTCCTCCCGCCCCAGCCGCCGAGACTAAGCAAGAAGCAGAAGAAGCGCGCTAAAGCCAACGCCAAACAGGACGCCGGTAGAGTCGGTTCTCCCGACCCCCAGGGGGACCCTGTCTCGTCACCGATTGCTTCTGAGATGATTTCGATCAGCCAGACGCAGGATAACCATAGCGAGGGCGGTGGCGCTGTCCTAGAGTCCAAGCCGGCGGCTCCTTCGCGCAACAATAGCATTGTTCTCGACAAGAGTGATTCATCTGTAGCTGACAGCACCAAGAACCTAGTTCTGCATGCAAATGTGTATGCTCTCTCAAGAAAATACGGCATCGCAGGCCTTCGGTCGCTGGCATTTGCCAAGTTTCAAACCGAGGCCGATAGCCAGTGGCATACTGAGGATTTCCTCCATGCGGCAGAGAAGGTCTACACTTCTTGCTCCGATAATGAGGATGACCGCGAGATGAAGGATGTAGTCGTTGGTATGATTTGCCGTCATGGCGAGTTGATGGACAAGGTCGAGACGCAAAAGGTCATGCGCACATTGCCTAAGGACTTGATGTATGACATCCTGATGCAGGTTCGGCAGCAAGGCGGATTCGCCATCTGAAATGGAGTAGGGCTTTTTTTCTTTGTGTCTAATGATTTATGACGATGGTTCGGTTTTGGGACATTGCGTTGCTTATCAGGCTGGTCTGGTGCATATTGGTTGCCGGAAAACATGCAGAAACACGAGAACAGTACTTGTAGTAGCTACACAAACACGAATCGGCTGCAAAGCTCATTGTGTACAAGGACAGTGAGTTACACGCTTGCAAAATTTCCCAGTTACATGCGCTCGGCTGGCTGCATGAGATACTTGACATTGACAAAGCCTGTGCCCCATCAAAGAGTATGCAGCCATCTAGGCCGGTCAGCACCGGCCTTGCCCCTTTTGGAAGTCCGCCGCCAGCACGTTGTGGCGTCTGCATTTTACTGACATTAGACGATCCCAACCCTGTAAGCCATCGTAAGACGCGTTGGAACCAGGGCGAATGACATTGGCTCTGAAGATCAAGCTAAATTATCGCGTGTGTGCTGACCGTTGCTCCAAAATCAGTATTCTAGTGATGGTCCTCTGCGGGAGCGGCACAATTATCACATTCTAGACTACAAGATTGCTTCCAAAGAGTGCACTCATGAGCTTTGTATTGCAGATTAAATGGTCATTAACGCGTTCATTCTTAATGAATTTCCAGTATCAACTGCAGGAAACCTTTCATGTTATCCTGCCTGGAAATAATTCTCTATAAATGCTGGTATTCGTCCTCTCCCACTTCCATATTTTCGCCTTCATAGCCTGACCTTACTCTTCAGGACTCTTTATTGACTCTCCGGTCATGTAGTTTTCGATGCTCATGTCTTCAGAAGGCTGCTTGCCTGACATGCTCGTAATATCCGTCATAACCGTGGACAATTCATTATTCGATTCGTCAAGAGATGCATGGGACTGCCGCCGCGAGCCTGCTTCACTTCCCATAATACTAGCCAATATGCGGCTTGCGTCGGTTTGTGCTGGCTTCTTAGCTTTTAGTGCCTCATTTGTGCCTGCGCTCACTCGCGCTTCCTTCGCCGTTCTGCCTCTTGGTGTGCCGCCTCCAATTGTAGGCGGGCGGACATCTTTCGCTTGTGTCCTTGTGAGGCGTCGAATGATCCCGTTCGCACCCAATCGCTCAATGTCTCGATTGTGTGCGTCAAGTATTTCCATATACTGCTCCCTGTCACGTTCGACATGACCACCAAATGCAAAAATTCGATTGAAAAGCCCCGGAAACAGCCGATGAAGCATCAACCTGATCGCCGGTAGGCTTGTGACCGCAATACTTGTTGCTACCTCCACCCCGGTCCAGAGCAAGAGATCGACATAGTCCCATGTGATGTTGACCGAGTCTCCGTACAAGAGATTGAATCTAAGGCGCAAGCAACTTGCGATAATAATAACGATACCGAGACTGAACATGGATATGATGGCGATTTTCCGACGGGCCGTCGATTTGACCTTGATGATGAGCGGCATCGGCATGATGAGGATTATTGCGTCGAGTGTAATACTGATTACGCTTGATGTCCATGATAGAACATTCAAGTTAACGCATTTGACTTGCCCTTCAAAATCGCCTTTCCACCCTTCCCAGTTGTATGATATCGGCCTGCATTGGACGATGGCAAGGACCGCCCACAAGGTCGTGGTAGTAATCACAATGACTAGGAGTATGTGGCATAGTCGGCAAAACCCCTCGTAGGGGAAAAGGCGTAGATAGAAGCATAGTATTGAGACTTTGGTGAGCCCTAGAAGGATGAGATATATCGGCGCCTCAATATAGAACAACTGTACACCCTTCGTCAGCGTCAAAATGTCCAGACCACTACCTATATGGCGATGGCATTATTACCTTGAGGGCCCAAGTAAGAGTAGCCTCATCTGCCCACCAAATATCGATCCCGAATGACAGTTGATATACTTTTCACGTATCAGCAGGATTTCTTCTGCTCCCCAGAATCTACTAACTGTGATGCCCAATCGAGAACCAGCCAATGTATAGGATGCATGTGATCGTTATGACGCAGTCGTCGGTACCGAATCTTCGGATAATGCAAGACTTTGAATAGAGGCGGATTACGACGCATATCATCGCCAACAGATGCATCGGGAGAAACGGCCACACGTCTTTTTTTCGATCTCGCCGGGGTCTTTCGCACATGATGTCCCATTCTCGCAATGTTTCTACCAGACGGTAAGTAAATTAACCAAAATCCACAGTCCCGCGCGACGTACCAAATGTCGACAGCCGAGGGCAAGCCTTGGATATGCACTGCGTCACAGCCAAGTCAAAGTTGCCGTCTCGGCAAATGCATTGCGCATTCTCCCATGAACCACACATCGTCGGAATCGCCCTCTGCCAACAAGCCATCTAAAAAAAACACCACTCGCCGTTTAGCAATATCCGACCCAATGGCATGGTCTGCACCTACCGCACAATCCGGCAGCCTGCTCTCCCGCTGAGATAGATCAATCTCCCCCAGACATCCTACGAGGAGCATCGCGAAGGCGATCCAGGTTGCCAAGAAGGAGGCGGGCCCCATCTTGCACACATAGCGACAAGGTGGCATTCGACCACCAGCGGATTCGAGGAGGTTGAAGTCGGGCTTGTGAAAGGATGTAAGATCGAAAAAGGCTGATTGGTAGCCGCGGGGTCTAGAAGTTTAAGGAACACTCTAAACTTGAGCCGAATACGGCACTGGGGAGATCAATGACTCGCAATTCGAGCCATCGCTAGTGAGGCACGAGCAGCTTGCCGCCGATTGCAAACTCTAATTGATTTAGAGTGCTGGTTGGCGAGGTATAGCCACATCTCACTGGCTTTACGGACGGCCGTGCAGCCTCCCGAGACGTTTCGATGCGCCGCTATCCTTCGGAAACTGTCTGTGTGAAAATGGTGATGACCTGCACGTGCTCAAACGAAACGAGGAGCTGTTAGCGACCAAACATAATCAATGAGCCCGAAACCGCCGTACGTAGTGTTGGCGCTAACTGACTGTTGTTGATCTTACTTAATCCGGCTTATTGGTGATCTTTCAGCCCCCCGATGAAATATGTCAGCTAAACTCACCGAGAGCTCGGATGGAGCATGAGAAAGACGCGACGACACGTGGGCGACCTCGAATTCCCAAGACATATCGGGCATTACTCATCGAATTCACCACTTGGACATGTCGCTGTCTCAAGCAACATTGACCCCTTGGTCGCGAGGCCGGAGAAGCCCATCCATCTTCAAGATTTCGGGTGCGAGAAAAGTCAAAGTCAAAGACAAGCAGGCTCCTAAGATTTTCAAACACGCGTAGGCCATGACATCACACAATCGCGGATCGCAAGTTGGACAACTCATGAGGATTGTATACACACAATATGGGCGATGCCCTTGCTATTTATTTACAGACGAAAATTGAGTCAAATGACCCAGCTATAAACTGACATGAAGATATTTACTTAGAAGCGGTGAGAGCGGCGGAAGCGCTGGAGACGCTTCAGCTGTCTAGTAGAGCGCTTGCAGCCGGCCTTGCCCTCGTTGCCAGAGCTAGAGTCGGAGCCGGAGCTGGACTCGGATCCAGATCCAGTACCGGAACCGGAACCAGAACCGGAGCCAGAGCCAGAGCCAGAGCCAGAGCCAGAGCCAGAGCCGGAACCGGCACCACCCAGAATCTGCTTGGCGGCGTGCTCGGCAGCAACCATGACAATGGCCTGGGTGTTGCCGGTAGGCAGGTCGGGGTGGATGGAGGCGTCAACGACGTACAGGTTGTCAGTGCCCCAGACCTTGGTGTTGGTGTCAACGACGCTCTTGCCGTCGTTCTCGGTACCCATGATGGCACTGCCGACGTAGTGGCTGCCGGTGGTGTGCTCGGAGATGAGGCTCTCGGCGGTGACGTTGCCGGACAGGGTGAGAGTGCTGTTGGACTTGGAGGCGTAGGAGATGATCTGGTTCATGAAGGAGGTGATGGCTTCCTTGTCGCCGTCGGTGGTGAGGTAGGGCTCGGTGATGAACTTGGTGGCTCCGTCGGCGGAGATGCCGAGGGAACCGACGGAGGTCAGACCGTGGGTAAGGTAGACCTTGATCTTGATGGTGTTGTTGCTGGGGGAGTTGACGGTGCCCTGGACGTAGCGCTTCTGGCCGTCGGAACCCTCGACGCTGGTCCAGAAGTTGAGACGCTGGCCGGCCTGAGAGAGGAGACCGGAGCCCTGGGCGAACATGTCGACGTCAGTCTGGCTGGGGGAGGTGAAGGCGGTGCTGGCCAGAGAGTTGAGGGTGGACTTGGTCTTCAGAGTGACGGTGAAGATGGGGTGGTCCTTGAGGTTCTGGCCAACGGGGAGGTCAATCCACTGAGCCTCAGCAGGAAGGGTAACCTGGGTGGAACCGCTCTTGACGGTCTGGATCTGCTCCTTGGGGCCGATACCACTGTTGAAAAGGATACGGGGGGTGGAGAGGGCACCGGCGGAGAGGATGGCGGCACCACCGGCCTTGAGGTTGACGATCTGGCGAGTGTTCTTGCCAGTCTCGATCTCGACACCGGAGATGGTGGTGCCGTTGCGGACAGCGCGGACGACCTTGGCGTTGAGCTGGAGCTTGAAGTTGGGGAGAGCCTGGGCCAGGGGGAGGTAGTCACGGACGGGGCCGCCACGGAGACCATTCTCGATCAACCAGGGGGGGTGGGTGAAGACAGACTCCTTCTTGTCGGGCTCGGCAAGGGCGTCAACCTCGGACCAACCGTTGCTGGAGAGCCACTGGGACATGACATCGTAAGCGCCCTGGTCGTAGCGCTTGCCGTCCTTGCTGGGCAGAATGGTTCCGGGAGTACGCTCGTAGAGCTTGTTGGCAGACTCCTCAACCTCGCTCCACTTCCAGCCGGTAGGCCACTTGTCGTCGAAGTCATGGGCAGGGGGCTTAACCCACATCATGGCGTTGACCATGGTGGAACCACCGAGAATGCATCCAGCCATGCTGGCGGTGTCGGTGCAGTACTCGTCGGTCTCCTTGGCGGTTGAGAGGTAGTAGCCCATGGCGGGGACATCGTACTGAGTAACGGTGTTGTTCCAGTCCATGGTAGCCTTGCCACCGGTGGAAGCCAGAGAGACACCACCGCGCTCGACGAGAAGGACGCTGGAGCCAGACTCGGCGAGACGCTGAGCAACAATCAGACCGGCAGCACCACCGCCCGCAACGATGTAGTCGTAGGTGGCGTTGGAGATGGTGGTGGTGATGTTAGCGGGAGTCGCGGGGGCGGTTCCGTTGCCGCCGGTTCCGGGGGTGGTGACGGCGTCGGAGGCCTTGCCGGCCCAGGTGGCGTAGTCAGCGGACTTGGCATCGGCGAGGTTAGCGCCAAAGAGACCGAAGCCGGCGCCGTGGTAGTTGAGAGCAACGGAGGAGCTGGTGGTGTCGGAGAGAGCAGTAGTGCTGTAGGCCCAGCCGAAGGTGGTGCTGTCGGCAGTGCCAGTGAAGGAGTCAGAGTTACCAGTGATGCAACCCTCGCACAAGAAGGTGTAAGTGAAGGCGGTCTCGTTGACGGAGATACCGGACTCGATGGGCTTCAAGGTGATGCTGGAGTCGGTGACAACATCGGGGTTGGTGTATCCGGTAGCCTTGCGCAGAGAGGTCTGGACGGACTTTCCGTTGGGCCAAGCAACGACGAGAAGCTTGTTGGTCATGGGACCGCCGAGGGAAACGGAAGCCCAACCAGCGGTGATGGGGGCAGAGATCTGACCGATGAAGTCCTTGCCGACGGTGGAGGGGAGGGCGACACCGAAGGAGAAGCCCGACTTATCGGTGTAACGTTGGAAGCTGATCTCAGTGGCAGAGTCGACATAGGCCGACGTCTGCTGGGCCGTGGCCGCGACGGCCAGCAGTCCCGTGGTAAGGAGGGACTTGAACATGGTGAAAGGATCGTGGGGGGTTGTTGCTCGAAAGAAGGTGTGGTTGTTAAAAAAGGTTCGTGAAGAGGAAGAATGGGAGGAAAAGAATGGTACACAAGATTGTGTCAAAGAGAGAGTACACCCGTCACAGAGGGCAAAGAAAAGGTAGCAGCAACCAGCGCAAAAGAAGAAACAAAGTTTGTGGCAACGATGAAGAGGGAGAGCAAGAGAACTGCCATGAGAACAGAATCAGATATTAGTATTATATCTATCTCCCCCTGGTCTACATCGTAGCCCCCTGACTGTCAACGACCCAAATCGGGACAAACGGCGACGGGCCACGCAGCCCCGTCCCTGTTTGTAGACCCCATTGAGGGCCCAACAAGCTGAGATCCATGATGATCTAGCCAAGGACGTTGGCGAAGTCGGGTCCCGGCAACGTGGACAGTGGTAATGCTACGTAGTAATTAGTATCTCGTGGGCCGATGATGGTAGGCGTGATTGGAGCCGGGGTTGGAGCAACATACCAATTGGGGGTTGTATGATAGCAGGGCGAGTCAGGTAGACAAGCCGTGAGGGTCTATCGGGTGACGTCCGTCAGGACGGGAACCCGGAAAAGAGACCAGGACACATCCGTGCTAGGTAATCAGTGCCGCCGTTAGGGCCGGTACTGGAGGGCTGCCACGATGCTGACAGGACCCAAGAAGCGCGCAATAACGACCCTTTTCCTCGGGAAGACAGGGGTTCGCCGACTAAAAAGATGCATGGTCACAGCGTCAAGAATTTTTCTTGTATATATGATGGCCTAGGCGAGTGGAGTGGAACCCACATTGGGGGACACTGGACTGCGGATATATTAAAACAGACAAGGTTGCTTCAATATGCGAAACGCCAGGAAACGAACGGTCGTCCGAAGTTAATAAACATGGAGGAACACCACTGGTTGACGTAGGGGCCGATGTGGGGAGTAGCTTGTCCGGGTAACAAAAACAGCCTGCTTATCCAATTGGGCTGAGCCTGTTACAAAGATATATCATACGTGGTATGGCCGTCGATAATTTGTATACTACGAAAAGGGGATATGTCGCATGAGCCACACAGACTTGGGGGGGGCGAACATTTATCCACCTGCACCCACACAACGTGGTTGCACAGGGAATGAGGCGAGATCAACAAGATTGTCGATCCAACAGAGCACTTCTCCGTAATCCTACTTCTTCATGATGAAATCCGAAGTTCTCGCGTCCCCCCGCTCAACGACCCAGAATCGGGTGAGGGAGTTCCAGAATCTATTGTCATGATCCATCAGCCGCTAGGCATACTGGGGCTACCGTCATATGCCCTCCTTAATCTCCGACTTTTTCTTCTCGCCCCTCAATGCTGTATCCTCATGAATGCACCTGTTAATTCCGCTGAATCCACGTTGACGGCACACTCAGCCGTGTTTGGTTTTGTCGCAGCATGTTGGTTTTTTCGCTGCACGTAAGCCACATCTCAGCCACATGCCAGCCACGATACGTTGACAAAAATCCAGTCTGCTAACCCTAACATCCCATACAATAGAAATTGTGGTAATAATTGCAAGCCGTTACGATTCTTACCAAGTTCTTGAAACCATACTGCTGGCAAGGGTCAAAAGTCGTGATGCTTAGTTCGCAGTTTGCTAAAATTTGTGGCGGTGGAATACCAGCAAGCATCATTACCTCACTGTACCTCTGTGTGGCACTCAACTTTCGGCTCGAACCGTATGTAACCCGCTGGAATGATGCTGATCAATGGTTACTACTCTTGGGTGCTTCTGGGGAATGACGGAAGTCAACGGCGAATGGATAATGGTCTTTATTCCACCCCTCATTCTTGCAACCTTTACAAGCAGATCGCTGGACACATCATAGCCAAGAACCTCGATTGAAACCAATCCCCTCCCTTCAAAAAAATAATCATCCCTCTTCAATTGGCCGACGCGCGGCTTCAGTTGATATACTTGCCTTGGCACTCACCCAATATAAGAGACAATGCCCCGCCAATGTCTTGGGTGGAGAAATGATCATCATCACAGGGGATCTCACCAGAATTGCCCCACCACTATCCCTACTCAACCCCTTTGGCCTTTTCAAATGTGGCCCCGAGACCTAATCCACCTTGATCAAATGTTGGCTGGAGTTGGCGCCCAGCAGATTTGACCGGCATATGTCCGATATAATCGACTCCTGTCACGGATTTTTTTTTTTTTTTTGATTCAAGGTGGCTCTTACGGACGGCAAAAGCCAACGGAACTACTCCGTAGTAAATATTAGTCTCTTCACTCCAGTTTGTTACCTTTCATTTAGAGAGCACGACCACGGGAAGCAAGACGTACGGATAGATATTTTTTCTTCCCCTTCGTGGACAAAGAAGGTAACCTTTCCTCACGGCAGGCATAAATATTAACTCTTACCTATGCAGCAACAATGATAATACTAATTGGAATTACGTTGTTGCTGCCTTGCTACTCAAGAGCCTGTCTGAATATTTCAAACCATGTCCAAGTATAGAGGGACTACAGGGATATTCTCTATCATGATTCAAACTAGTAGATACTCCTAGACCCCCTTTCGTCGAAGGGGGGTCATCTAGGATAGTTGTGGTGTTTACCACCGGTCTCAATTCAACAAACTCACTAACGACTATAAACTCAGTAGCAATAGCCACCCCAGTTGTCTCTGTTGGAGACCAGTTGTTTGACAGTCGCCTTCATTTCCTCAGTCCAAAGGCTTTGCTCTTAGAAGTCGGTAATAATAAATCACCAGAAATTGGAGTCAGCTGGAAAAAGACAAATATGACAGGCTCATACTAAGCTGAACGTTAAGGGGATTCTAGTGCGGATCACCATTGCCAGTAAGGTAGGTCTTCCTGCTGGCAATGCCGCACTGACGTACCTTAGTGCAAGTGTCACCTCGTCCGGGAGTCCGGCTGCCAGCTGACAGTTAGGAACAGCTTCGAAGTCTTTGTAGATTCAGCGACAGATAACACCTCCTAAGACTTTAGGATCAGCGAGTTTCTAATTCTTTTTTGTCAAATACGATGTTTCCTACGTCATTTTGGTTCATATTGAAGGCAGTTAAGAGGCGCCCAAGGCTAAACTGGCCGAAGAAGAGGGGCCAGCCAATCTGCTGCGATCATTCTCATAGGCTGCAATCGAGGGTGGAGATAATCACTGGGAGTGATGATGGTATGGTTGAGAGTTGTGGCAATGACACCAGCAGATGCTCCAAGGGCCAGATGAACGGTGTATCTCGTAACAAGACTCAGAAAAAGGTACAAATGATCAATGAGCTAAATGAATGGGTGATTGACATGTATTTATCTCTCAAGTTTGAGGTTTTTAGAAGATATTAATGATCGCCCTACTTATGTAGCTTTTGGTCGTCTGTGTTGCTCTTTCTCACTTACCAACTCTCGAGGTACCTCTCAAGATAACATTTGATAGTCTCCTTGTTGATCTTGAATCTCAAGAGAACTAAAAAAAAAAAAAAAAAAAGGAATTAAAAAAGTTATTCACTCCATTTTGTTAATCAGATAGAAGGATTTCAAGAACTGATTACGCAAGTATAATGTATCCTGCAAAGTGCCTGTATGAACATCCTCTGATTGCCATGGTCGAGTGTAATTTTGTCTATGCTGTGACTGCCCAACCTCGTTCACATTACACTTCCATATTGCGCGGCTTGAGTTGGTATATTTTGAGGTATTCTTACGTGGTTTTACTGGGTATTTGAAAATGCGACGGTGCATTATTGGGTTGGTCTTGGCACCCATTTTCAGGTAAATGACAGTAGAAAAGACTTCCAGTTGAAACTGACACACAATCTGTTCATGAATAGGGACGATATGCAATGAATGTCTACTTTATGTCCTGTTGAAATAGCGGTTTTGTTGGTTCTGACTCTGTGCTTTGGAAGTTTGTTTTCGGTGGAGAAAAAGGTTGGAATCTGTCTCCAAACGGGCTAGTTCGCTGTCCTCCCCTTGTCTGTCGGGCAGTAATACCCAATTTGAATTCTCTAACGATACAGGCCTTCCTCTTTAGACCAGCATGGCCGAGCACGCCATCAGTATTTGAGGTCGCTCATGGCTTTTCTACCGCTAAAGATCCGGTCAATTATGGGCGTGCTTAGCCTTTAGAAGGTAGATGGAGCCCAAGATGGCGGTAACTATCTTGGCGATGTGGATTCTGAACTCGCACCATCATGAGAATTGTGTTGGTCCACTCGACCAGTCCCACCAAGACGTTGCAGCAAACGGTCAAAATTCTTCTCCCAACACATTAACAAGTCTCGTCATGCTGGGCTTTTATCTAGACGACAAGAGACGCTCAGACGCCAATTGAAAAACAAACTCCTCCCTACAATTGTTGTCTGTTGTCGATCCTAGCTACTAACCATGTATTTTCCACTGCGTTCAACTTCAGCACACCAAATCACAATGTCTTCCAACATCAGCTGTCTAGACCCCTCTGCTCTACCCCCATTTAACAATGTGCCCGATTTGCCCAGAAATGTCAGCGTCGGCTTTGTGTCCGTCGGCAGGAATGGTTCGCACGAGGCGATGAGTAGCTGCTGTTCACCCCAGGCCGTCAATATCGCTAGCGACTGCTATTACTGGTGTGAACTATCAAAGGGCGGCCTCGAGGGCTTCGGCTCGTGTCTTATGCGTCATGGGATGGAGAAGGGCATCGTCGGGATGCATGTGAGCAATGCCGCTAGCCCTACGACTGGGCGAAATTTGGCAGGACTCTTACTATGGGTGCTATGTGTTACAAGCGCGCTGCGCCTGTAGTGTGGTCCCAGGAGGCCAGGGGAGGTGACGTTATGCCTATATGCGTGGGAGAATTGCCAGAACTCCAAATCACGACATGAATCTTTTCAGTTGTAAGTGGAACGAATTGTCCATGCTAACCACTAACTATATTTTTTACTGATCAAGCCTCGGTATAGCTAGGTAGGTGGGATTGGAAGATGAAAGAACCTAGATCAAACACCACGCAGTGCGTTTAGCATGGGACGGGCGATGGATTTGGGATTTTAATAAATATGCGTTGGAATCTTTATACTCCTCAAGGCATGGCAGTTTCGAGCAAAATCGGCGTACCATCCGTAGATTTCCTTCTGGCAAATTGACATAAAATCATCTTCGGTAGCTATTATACCCAGTAACTTATTGTCGTTGGTATTTCTTAGCTGGTCGTGCGTGGAACGAGCGAGGACCAGCGCTATATCGCGAAATTCTTTTGACAGTTCTGTTGACTTTGCTTATGAAACAACGGAAAGTGCTGAAGGTCTTTTGTGGGCGTTATGCCATAACTCATGTGAATATGGTTTCCCATCTAGTATCATCCGTATTCGTGTTAATTAAACAAATACCCTTGACAGTGCTGCTCTGTGCAAGTTCAATAATAAACACCCCATGAAATATAGGAATGTGTGTCAAATGCGCTTAAAGGTTAAATCAACAACACATCCTTTTCTTATTTATGTATAACTATTTATGTCGTGTTATAATCTGCGTCCAGTTGGCTATCACGTCCAGGTCACATCTTGTCGCGAGTGTATACCAGATCGGTGAAGTCCTATTACAGCAGTATTATAGACAGATAGAAAAACATTCAAATATTTCTCCTTCTATCAAGCATTTAAGATAGAACAGAGCATACTTATGCGAAAGCGATGTGACGTATGGCGGGTTACTATAAAGAACAAGTCTTAGCAAAGTCATATAATGCCTAGCTTAGTTAGAACTCGAGACCGTGTTCCTGTGTAGTAGGCATTAGTAGATTATACAATGATGACATTCCATCTTATGCACATTCTTGTGCAGTTTGTCGCCTCCTCGCCGTCTCAATTTAAAGATAAAGAGTATTCCATTCAACTGAAAGAATTATTCAAAAATCGCTACGTTTGAAACCACCTACACAATCCGATCCGCAGCAACAAAGCGTCTTGGAATTCAATCGCACAATGATCTATCCTCCGCCAGGGTATCTGTCACTCCCTAATTATCCCACATGACTTTCATGCTTGCAGGGAAAGGTCCAATCTTGCCCCAATCCTCCGTCAGGTATTGGTAAACACCACCCTCTCTCTTCACCTTGCTCAGTTTGCCCTGAGGTCCTGGAACGCGTCGCAAGTTCTTCCTCCGGAAAACAGCTCTGAACATCTCGATGATGGCGACCTTGCTTGCTTCATCACCCAAGCAGGCGTGCGGACCAAGTCCGTAGTGGATGTATTTGTCCAAAGGTCTCCGAGGGTCAACCTCAAGCGGCGACGGGAAGTGCACCGGGTCTCTGGCAGCGGAGCCAGTCTTTGATTTGGTTAGCATTGGCTCAGCTTTAGACATTTGGAGAAGAATGGGGGCTTACAAAGCTGACGAAGACCCTGTCGCCTCGGTCAATATCAACCTCTCGGCTCACAGTTTCACCGTTCTTGTCAATAACCTCGTCCATGATGGTTTCGCTTGTGGTAGCAACGCGGTAAGAACCGTAGGCTCCTGACAATCGGATACCTTCCATGGCATACCCAAGAAGCAGAGCATCGTTGTCCTTGCCCGAAGGGGACAGGGCGACTTCATGAATCTTCTTGACGAGCTCCGGGTGGTCAAGATAGTAGTCAACAGCCTGAGCAAACTTCATGATGTCAGCAAGAAAAATTCAGCCTCGAACGAGAGGTAGCTTACCACTTGGGCTTGGTTCGGTACCATTGCACCGGCTGTTGGCAGGACATGGCCCCAGGTAATGTCGTGAGCGTTTAGACCTGTCTTGGACAAACCCTTGATCATGTTGGTTCCGTAAGCCGCGAGGGGGTCTCGCTTGTCCACGGAACCGCTGAAGAAGCCCCTGTAGCCGATTGTGGTAGTGAGCTTCACATTCCTCTCAATCACCTTGCCGAGCTCTGTCGCCACCCTCTTGGCCTCCTGCCTGAGTGGGAAGGACTTGACCTGGTCGACGTTGAAGAAAATACAGTCAAAGAGGGCAGCCAGAATCTGATACATCTCGTGTTCGGAGTAAACTCCCTTGCGGTTCTTGCTCGTCTTCAAGGGCAGGTTGAACACCTGGGAGGCAAAGTGGACGTGTACAAGGTTTCCAACGTCACGAACAAGGTCGACATGAGTTTGCTTAGCGGTCTGGGCGCCAAGCTGGTATGACTTTTCCCTGAGCAGCTGTTCCGTCATATTGGCATAGAAATTCTTAATGTTGACGCTCCAGTCACCCTTGTACAGTTGAGCGTCCACGCGCTCTATCAGCGCCTTGTGGCCGTGGTCGTCCTCTGGCAGCTTGGAAGATTTGCCGTTCTGAGCCATGAGGTACTCAAGTCCTTCGTTCCAAATAACTCTGTACTTGTCCTTGCTGTTCAGAACATGTTGGGCACCTCTGTAGGATTGGATGTTGACGCGCTTGGGCATCCGTTGTGGTTTCGAGTAATCAAACTGCTCGTATCTTCCTAGGTCGTGGAGAATTTTTTGGTTCTCAGACGGGATGACCATAGGGTAATGAGCGTAAACTGAGTTGCCCTTGAAGTGGTTGGGGAACGCCCTCAGGAAGAGCTTATAGAATACGCAGCCATGGTTAACATTGAGATCGTACTCGACTTCCTTGTAACCCCAGTTTGTCAAATGGCGGGGGTTGTAGTCGATTGTATAGTATCTGTCACCTCGGACAAGGCAGACTGCGTCGGACAAGACCACACGGGAAATGGTATATGTAGGCGCAATACCCACACCTGGGGTCATTGGGCTCTTGGCCTCCTCGGCAACAAGGCCAGGGTAGAGTTCAACGTTATCAGGGTGCTGGTACAGATGTCTGAGGTGCTCGGATACTTCACGGTCCGAATTGATATCCTCAAACTTCTCGTAAGGCTTGAGGCCAAAATGCTTGCGGAACTCGTTCAGACCCGCAACATTCCAGTTACGAGCTTGAATAATACCCATGATCTCCACGCTTCTCATCGACTGAGGCACATTGCGAGCGCCGAACGAACCGGCGCAATCTTCGATGGCCGAACTGATGCATGCGACCAAGTCGTCATCGTTGAACGTGCCATCTTTGTTTCTCTTGTAGCCCCCAAACTCACGCTTACCGGGGTCTGCTTCGATCTGTTTCTCGAGCTGTTTGGCCATGTAGTCGAGCTTTTCCTTTGATTCAAGACTTCTGAGCTTGTCTCCGTAGGCCTGTTGGATCCATTTGTCGTCTTTTTCTGAGATGCAAGAGTGCCATCGGTAGCAAAGGTTGAACTCAGCTGAGTTGACATTGCCAGTGCCGGATTCGGCACCGTCGGGAGTTCCGGCGTTGAGTCCGGCCTCCTGTCGCGGATCAAGTGTCCATGTCGTATTAGTGCGGTTAAGATTGACAATGTTTCGGACATAGTCAACAAGAGTAATGTTAATGTACAGACCGCAAGTGACCAGTCGTGCTGTCTGGAACAATTCTTCGTCGAACTCTTTCTCCGCCTCTACATCGCCTGCGGCTGGTCGTGTAAACCTTCCGCCTTCGTTAATAGCAGCAAGGTTCTCCGCAACATGGTTGTGGAAACGGTTGAACATAATCAGTAAGACACATACACCTGGGGGCATGCCATTGAGTCGCTTGTCGGCAAAACTGTCGGGCTTAAGCATGCCATCCCTCTTTGTCCGAACCGAGTCTTGCATCTCCTGGTTGCTACCGTACAGGGGAGAGAGGTCAAGATAAGCAGAGGTCTTTGAGATATTCGGGTTGTCACGATCTGTCCAGAACAGGTCTAAGGAACAGTCAATATACGATCCACAAAGCCACATTTTAATCACACAGTGACCTACCATGAATGATGATTGTTGCCCAGTACCAAAGGATGCTGGATACGTTGTTCGGATGCTTTATGAAATGGCGTCGTCCCATGACGGAGTCAAACACTAAGCCGGGATCGGGCATGGCACCCAAGGTGACGAGTCTGGGTTTAACAGATCTGGCGTAGGGCTGGCACGCTGCGCCCAGTTTTGGCATCAAAGGGTTCTTGAGATATGTTAGATCGTGCCGTACTGCAAGGCCGAGATACTTACATTGTACGAGCCGTCAGCTTGACGGTACTTCAATTTCAGCTCCTTGGTATCCAAGTACAGTAGCGGCGGATGTTCAAGTGATCCCCATAACTCCTCGATGAAGGAATTTGTCAACATGTCGCGGAGTCGAGACTTGTGGGGAAGCTTAGCAACGACCTGAATGGTGCGCTCCATGATCATGGTTTTGTCGTCGTTGACTTTCTCGACCTGAAGCTTGTTCTTGATAATCTGCATGATCGTCTTGAAGTCTGGAAAGAAGTCAACGATAATAATTCCTGACCTTACCAAAGATGTTCTGCTTACCTTGAATAGTCAGCGGCTTGACATTTTGCATCCCAGTTGGACGCGTCTTGTCGGCGGGGTACGATCCATCACCAAAGAGTACGGGCAGTGGTCGCTTTGATTCCCGCAATGCCTTACGGAAGCCAGTGAGTTTGGTATCATATTTGCCATATGCTGGGTCGCCTCGACTGGGTCCGACAGGATTGACATCCTTAGGCGGAGCTCCATGATAATGTTCGACACCATTTGCGTGCTCGTGCTCCTCGACGTCGCCGCTTGAGTGGCTCCGACGGGGTTTCATGGTGACTGTAAGAGTTTTGGTAAAATATTTAGTGTTTGCGCGATCTCGCTAGGAAACGAGGCACACTGCAGCCGTGGCCAGGATGTCGTCGCGGTTTTATGGAAGCAGAACACCGTACCCGCAGATATTGACTACATAAGTCCGGCGGCATTAGCTGTCTAACTTCTCCTCACAGACACGGTGTCATAGCCGTGGCGCGTAAAAAAACAAATGAATATTTGTGGTAGACATGACCGCCGTGACGGCTCGCAACTGTCTTAGATGTGTCTAAGACAGCCCCCACACGGACGGCATATCGGCCGGATGTGCCCTGCAACCGTCCGTGGTGATCCCGTCCCGCAGCGCTAGAGGAGACCAATGTCCCAGCCCAAATGTCGATCAATGCTTTTGCCAGAAGTTGCGCAAATTTTTGATTTTGTCCGTTATGTAGGCGCCAGAACGCCGTTGACGAATCATGAAGCTGCATTTGGACCAGTCTGCATGCCAAGGCAGCCTCCACGACATGCATAAAACCAACCATCGCTATACTTACCATTCACGAAATGACAAACATATCTAAGCAAGGAATCCTATTGGTAAACGACAAAGGGCTCTAGCTGCGTGTATCTATGCACCTCTAGGTTCGTATATGCCGTGTTAACACCATCAGAGGTTCAGCTTAAACACAAAAACAAAGTGAGCCACGTAGCTTTGCGTTGCAGGTGAGATTTCACTTCATGTGAAAGCGCCTAGTTGAGGACGGGAAAAGACCGTTATTTCGGCAAGCGTTCGGCCGGCTCATTCAGGCCCGCGCCTTAGCCGCCCTTGCTAGACCAGGATTGTGATGTGAGATGTGTAATAACCTGGAACGGTTATAAGCCATGTCTCACCAAAAGAAACTTTCATGAGACAAAAGCTTTCAGCTCCGGATGATGTCACGACCCTGCGAACATTGGCGCCGCCTCTGAGGCGAGCAATATCACTTACGCCAATGGCTTTTGGTGTTGTCTCACATTCCCCATGTTGTGCTGACTCGCATCCCTGTGTTGCCCCGAGTTTTTGGAGGGGCTGGTAAATGTCAAGTTCCGCCGGCGATGTACGATCTGAGCCATACCCATGCCGTATCAAGGGCCAAATTTCGACCATTAGGCCTAAGAAATGTCTCTCCAATTCACACCGAGGCGCTCGAAATACGCATGTCTCGCTCACGGCCGAATGCAATTGCCCTGTTAGCGCTAGGCTTGACCAAAAGAGGGAGTTGCAGCTGGTCTGCTTCTGATAACAGTTGCAAGCTGCTGATCTGTTTCACGACCGACACCTCGGGCCTCTATCACTCTGCAGTAAAGACGCTGATCAACCGAGGCCGAGATCGGCAGTTCACGGTATAGCGGCAGGCAATCATCGGCAGCATCATGTGAGACAATCGTGGAAGGCTGGAGTTCCCGAAAACTGCGGAGTTGTGGTGCACAGAAAACATCTCAAGGGCATGCCGGCTCGTGACGCAAGTCTCACTCCAACTATGTCCGCTTGCATATCCCTCACGATTATTCGTCAAGGGCTAGCTATAACACTGATTTGTCTGAGGGGGTAAATGGAATGCAAAGATGTCCTAGAGGCACACGAGGGTGCCCCGGTTTGTATATGAATGAAAATCATCCACGTCCACGTTGAGACGTATCTGATTCCCCCAAACTGTACCGCGCTGCCGGGACTGAGAGACAACAGACTGTTACTGTTCTGCAAGCCGTCTTTTGTTTACGATGCATCCTCATGTGCTCAGTCACCCCAATTGGAGGGATGCCCAGCCTGCCAAGGATAGAGCAAGGGCTGGCAGTGGTGCTGATGATGCTGCATTTCGTGGCGGTCAGCTCTGTGGTCCTCGACGGAAGCTGATTCTTTGCTTCGATGGGACTGGAAACAAGTTCCGTGGCGATGATAGCGATAGCAACATCTTGAAGATCTTTCGCATGTTGGACAGTTCAGCGAATGACCAGTGTAAGTTGTCATTTCACAATCCGTCGGCGTGAATGAGGCTGTAACTAACAATGAAGACAGTCCACTATTACCAGCGTGAGTGTTGTAGTACACGATTACAGGTTGATAGATGCTCACAATGTCGCAGCTGGAATTGGAACTTATGTTGTCTCTGACACCTTAACACACAACGGCTTACGAGCCAAGTGCAAGTCATGGTATCAAATGGCCAAAGACTCGGCAATCGGTTCCTCTTTTGACCAACATGTAGTGGGTGGCTATCGGTTCTTGATGCGATATTACTCTCCAGGGGATGAGATCTACATGTTCGGCTTTTCGCGGGGAGCCTATGTCGCTAGATTCCTAGCAGAGATGCTAGACTTTGTCGGCTTGTTGGCGCATGGTAACGAGGAGATGGTCTCCTTCGCATGGAACTCATTTTCTCAGTGGCAGGCCAGAAGGAGTAACTCCACACCACAGGGCAAGGAAGACCGTGAGAAGATGTATCAGTTCCTTAAAGGGTTCCGGGAAACATTCTCACGGCCAATCCGTCGCATTAGATTCTTGGGACTCTTCGACACGGTGAACAGTGTCCCCCGCTTCGAGACTGCATGGATGCAACGCAGTAAATTCCCGTACACGGCAAGAAGCTCCGCCAAAGTTATAAGACACGCCGTTAGCATTGATGAGCGTCGTGCTAAGTTTCGACAAGATCTGATATATCAAGAACCCAACAAAACCCACAAGAAGCATGCAGCTAGGCGCATGATGGAACACAATCCCTTTAATGAGAAGGTGCAAGAATTTCAGGAAAAGTATCGTCCAGGGCGACGATCAACTCTTGCACCAGAAGATATAGTTGCCGCCGAAGATCGTGGCAGGCGGCGAGTGAGTGGTCAGGCTGAGGATGCTGACCACCCCGCGCCTTTCCGTAGTCGCTCTAGATCCAAGTCAAGGGCAACGGAACGGTCACAGCAGTATGGGACTGAGCATGACGCCTCATCGATCAACTCCAAACCGCCCATGGCCGATCTAGGTTATGACTCGGACGACGAAGAGCAAGATGTCGACGAGGTTTGGTTTTCTGGAGGACATGGTGATATCGGAGGTGGTTGGGACGCGATTGCAGGCCATAAGAACGCTAGCCATATTCCACTGGTCTGGATGGTGCGGGAGGCCATGCGAGCAGGTTTGACGTTTGACATTGAGCAGCTTGAGCAGCTGGGCTGTGTTGAGTCAATCACTAACCCCGGGTTCGATTACGATCCCTCACGTCCCACATCTCCCAAGTCGCCCATCAAGCCACAAGATGTTCCCACCGTTCCAGCGATCCACGTGGATGCCCCATCACCACTGGGTTCTCCGGTTGCATCCCCGACTGTGTCACCGACGGGATCGGCAACGGAGCCAGTCGATGAGGAAGCAGACCGTTTGACTCATTCACAAACTACCACTCTCTTCAGGGATATGCTTCGGACGGCGCATGAGGCAGAGATACACGATTCGCTCGATTTTCGTTGTGGAATGCACCCAGCCACTGTATTCATGTGGCGTCTCATGGAGCATTTGCCGTTCCGGCGACTCGATTTGAGGCCTGACGGGAGCTGGAAACCAATTCGTTGGCCTCTGCCGCGAGGTGAAGTCCGAGATGTCCCTGATAAAGTGAGAGTACACGGCAGCGTAATTCGGAGGATGGAGAGAGATAGCACGTACAGACCTGGTAACCTGATTGTTGGTGGAGGAGGCAGAGGGTGTAGGGTGGCACCCAAAGAATATGGTATGGGCCAATGGGTGTGCATCCAAGGCCAAGGTGACCCTATTGACGAGATTTGGGTCCGGAAGCCTGAGAAAGATCAAAATATGGCATAATGACGACAAAGACAGGACCCCCTCGGCATCTCTTCTGCTCTGCGTTGTTATCACTTGTAATAGCAATTTGGTCATAGTAAATAAAGTGTTATGATTCACACATCGGTGAGGACAGTTACGAGGACAGTCAGTAGCGCCTAGCCTACGTGAATGAAATGATAACATGTACATACCGATAGAGGCAGAAACACAGTATCATGACTGATGCATCAGTAGAGATAGGTATCAGAACAGCCCGTGACGGACATGGAGCTTGTGAAGAGAATTAATTCAAAAAGTCATTGAAATCAGTAGTATTTTTTAATCTAATTCCCTTAATCCTGCACAAAAGTGGCTTCAAATTTCAAGATGAGCTGTTCGTGAGATTCGCTGAAGCTCATTTCGTTTTTCGACCTCCTGTTGATGCGCGATTTCCCACTCCTGAACCTCGTGTTCGGCCCGAGAGACCTCAGTAATGAGCCACGTTTCGACGGATACATCAGTTGTCACATCAAACTTATCCTGGCGTTCCCGAAGGATTTTAAGAATGTCCATTATCATGCTGCGGAAGCTCTTCTCGGGAAGTTGCTGCCCTGTCATGTGGCATTGCCGCCGCAGACTAGCTGACCAAGAACTCTCGATTGCACACCATTCATCGGCAAACTGTCCGTTATTGGATAGAAATGCGGTATGTGTTTTGAGTAACTTTTCAAAATCCTCGATTACTGCTTTATTCTTGCGACTGTTGAGCTCTGTTGAGCTCGACGCAACGAAGTAGTTGGCTTTGCAGACCTTTCTCATCAATTCCGTCGTTCATGGCGTTGATGCGGTCAGCCCAATGGTTCTGTTCTTGGGTGATGAAGCCAATCAGTGGCTTTCGCATACCCAAAAGCTGACGCTTCGCACTGCCTGGAGTGATTTGCCGCCGACTCCTATCGATGTCGTCGTCAGAGCTATGGAGAGGCTGTTGAGTTCGCTGTTGGATTTTCTTCTGAATCTCCTGCTGAATTTGCGCCTGAGTTTGTCGCTGAGATCTCTGCTGGGTTTCCCCCTGGGCTTGTTGCTGGGGTGGCTTTGAGGTTGGCTTTGTTGTTGGCTCTGAGGTAGGCTTTGAGGCTGGCTGTGGCGCCAGCTGTTGGGTAGACTGTTGAGCCGGCTGTTGAACTGGTCGTGAAGATGGCTGCCCATGAGGCCGTTGCGCTGACTGCGAGGTTGGTTGTGAGGTTGATTGCAAGGTTGGCTGTTGGGTGGGTTGCGAGGTTTGTGACTGGCAGCTTGTTGTTGTGCTCCTTGTCTTCATTTTGGCTTTTCTGCGGGAGGAAGTAGACGCTTGCGCGACCCGTGGAGCAGAAGTCCGTTTTGGTGTGCCCACTATTGAGGAAGTCTTTGAGCTTTCTGAAGCAGCAGACCTTGATACCTTCGCCGCAACAGATCGCCGCAAGGTTTGGACAGACGAGAATTCCCGGGGTGTCACACCCCGCGCTGGCGAAGCAGCCAATCTTTGCGAAGCTCGAGATGTTGCAGACTGCTGTGGATCTTTCACGACAGGAGTTTTCTGTGTTGCTTGCGAGGCAAGGAATGGATGCATTGGAGGTAATCTTTGTGTACCCCCTACGTCTGGTTCTTTTTTTAAAGCACAGATTGACGACGAACCAGAAGGTTCAACAGAGTTTGTCGTCTGCAAGGCGTTGGTGGTATCAATAGTCTTCAAAGATTCAAAAGAAACCTTTTTCTTAGACTTAGAAGATTTGCCGTTGTGGCATAAGTCATTGGCTTGGCTAGACCCTGCCGAGGTGACGGAGCCTGGAGGTTCAGGTTTATGGTGAGATCTATGGTTAAAACACTGGTTATTAAGCTGATTAGAACGTGGTTAATGAAAAGTAATTGTTCGTGATGCTTACGAGAACATTGATTGCATTTGAGACATCATGTGTAATCAAATGATATGGTTCGTTCTTGTTCGCTGTCTCTTTGCACCGACGAAGATAAATCTCATCCAGAAGTGCAGCATGAGCTCCTAAATTGCTTCAGAATATATTTCTCCTAGGTTAGTGAGGATAGAGATACTTTCGTAAGTGACTCCATGTTTGCATAGTGCATGGAGCATAATTATCAGCTCATCACTAAACCCTTCTGGCGAGAAACCTCGTCCAACAATTTCTTCGAGTCTGGTAACTCGCCAAGTGTCTTCGATTACCTCTATCATGTCCTCAATTGTATGATGACGCATGATGCTGTCTTCTTGGGTAACAGGAGCCATTGGGTCAAGTGTCGAAGAAGATACGTCTGCAGTTTGAAGCAGACAAAGACAATGGCGTATCGGCACGATGGCTGGCGAGTCTTGGTCTTTATGCCTCTTGAAATCCCCAAACTGATGGAATAAGCTTTCGATATTCCTAATATAATTTGGGCCAATGAATGCATGAGTTTGATAGTGTCACCTTTAATGCACTATTTGCGTTTACTCTGGCAGTGGCATTTGATTGATTCTCTAGGGCGATAGGTTCATGAAATCTGTTTCTTACTAAACATGATTCGGTTAGCTTCGCCCTTGAAGCAAAATTTGCTTGATGAAAGGGCGAGTACGAGGGATAAAGTGGATGGGAAAACATTGTGAAGCATTTATCAATCAAAATGTGGGTTGAAATGGCCGTTAGAAACACTACCATACAGGACCAGTAATAGTGCATTGCACTTGGCAAGCACTGGCGAGAGCAACCTTCTTCTCAAAATTCTTTCAAGGACAGTAAAACCATATGGCTGAAATCAGGGTTCAAGGGAATGGTCTACTAAAAATTTCATTTTGCAAAGTTGCAGAAGGGCGTCAAATGAGGTAAAAAGCTTGCCATAAACCTTGCTAAGACATTGTCTGACTGGACCCCTGTTCTCTCTCTTCCCGACAAACTCCCTGCCCGCCCATGATGTGTGTGGCTAGATCATTCAATTAAAATTTCTTTATTGAAACATACTTCAGTCCCCCTTATACAAATACGTCTCTCAGTTAATCCCTCGTCACTCAGTTCATGCCTGCACCAATGAACTATTGCCCATCCTGTCTTTGTGAAAGAAGAACAAGCGCGCAACACAAGGGATGCTGACATTGCAGCGACTATATAGCTGATTGCATTCCGAAAGGTTCCATCACAAAAACTGCGCATTTAAATGGGCGAAAAAGGTTTGGCATTTTGGATAAGCCTGTACGATGGAATGTGAATTGGGTATATGGCCCTTTATATAGGTCCATGCCTAACAAATGAGCTAATCCTTTTATCCTTACGTTCCCCCTAAGACAAATTCTGGTTGACGCTGTTTCTCAATACATGCTTCTTGAATTCAATCTTGCAGTATACATTGATCGTATCAAATCGCCATGGCAAGCAGGCGGTTTTCTAACTGCATAGTCCAAGTGTTTGCTTCTGGTCATTGTGTTGAGGATGTTAGTGTAATAAGATCGCGCAGTCACCAGACTAATTACTGTTCAAGTCATTTACGTCATAGCAGTCCGTAGTTGATGCCTGTAACGTGACCGAGTAGATCGATTCTTTCTCGTGACGACAACAAATGTCGATTTTGAATAAAGTACAACAAGGTAAGCAACTAGCTCCCTTTGTTATCAAAAGTAAATATTGTACTAGTCCTCAAAAGCAAAAAGTGGTGTTTGATATTATACTATATTAGCATCGCGCCACGGACAATGCATCGTCCGCTCAAAGATGCTCGGAGAGGGACCGGACCTCTTCACTAAGGCTTTGGGTACACGAACCAGCAGGATCCATCGTATGGTGACCTTGAATCGTTGAAGTAACAGTATCCACAGAAAACCGCTCCCACATCGCGAGCTCGGGGAACGTCCGATATCCCATGAAGCCGCAAGCAACTAAAATGGCGGTAATCGGCTGCGACGGCGAGCAATGAGTAACAACCGACAGCCGACACGAATGGGTTTCAATATAATGTGGGACTTATTTGAGCCCCATGTGGAGACCGTTAAACGTCTGCTCACCCGATGTAACGGCTTATACTTGCAGATCTTTCGTAACCCGGCAGTTTGCGGCAATTGATGAACGCAGTTATCAATCTCATCTTATCAGATGCGATGTATGGGGCAGCCCACAGCCCACATTGAGTGCCAGGAACTGATGAGATTTCCCTGGAACTGTGTATAGCCCCATTTGGAGACCAAGTGGAAATTTCCAACAGAGGTACCAAAACAAATCAGGTTCAAAATGAGCGCCCCGAGGATTTTGAAGAGCTTCCGCTTGAATTGCCGATGTCGGCAGCTCTCGTGTTTCTTTGTAGTGGATAGTGTATAAATACTCAATATCTATGTCTTCGGTCCCCTCCATCTGAGTCTTGTCAGGCACTTCCTGTCCAGCCCAAATAATACGAAATGACTCGGTTCCAATATTTGGCCAGAGCCATCACATTGCTCGGCTTTGGCCGCCTGGCCATGACGCAGAATGGCACGACCAACCCGTGGCCTTGGCAAACCTACCGCTCCGAACCTACACTGCAACCACCCTCGCTTAAGGTCACCCAAACAGGAGATATCGCGGACGGCCATTTGTTCTTTGATCAGTCCGGCTCAGGTGCCCACAACTATTCTATGTTCATTATGAGTAATGACAATGAGCTCATTTGGGAGGGTGCATACGGCGACATCTCCGCCTACCGGCCTCAAATTCTGGATGGTGAACCTGTCCTCACCTACTTCACCGGAATCACTTTTCCGGAACCATACGGCTTTGGCTATGGCGCTGTCTTCATTTTCGACCAGACATATAAGAACATCATTAACGTCACCTTGCCACAAGACAAAGACGGCTTGAACATGCAAACGATTACAGGCTGGGATTCTTCTGGCCTCACAAATGGAAGTTGGATCGATATGCACGAGAACTTGATTACAGCCGAGGGCACCATGTTCATCCCAGCCATCAATGTCACACAGACGGATCTAACATCTGTCGGTGGCCCGGCGAATGGATGGATTGCTGACTCGATGTTCTTCGAGGTGGACGTCAAGACAAGCGACATTCTATTCCAATGGAGCCACTTGGATCATCTAGATGAAATCCCCTTGATAGATTCCGCCGCAGTCTATCCGTTGGATGGTTTGGGTCTTAACCAGTCGTACCCCTGGGGTCCGTTCCATATTAACTCTATTGAGAGGTTTGCCGATGGTGGTTTCCTGGTTTCATCGCGGTACTATTGCTCAATTTTCAAAATTGCCAGAAATGGATCTGTTGAATGGACATTGAACGTGAGTTATTCAATATTCCAGTCAAACAATGATAACTTTTGCTGACAGTTATAGGGCCGCACTGGGGGCTCTTTTGCCCTTAAAAATGGATTATCATTTTGTTATCAACACGATGCTCGCATTCACGGGGAGGGAAATGGCACAGCGCTTATTTCGCTCTTCAACAACGATAACAGCGGCGTTGCCTCTGGTGTCAATGAGACATCGGGTATCCTCCTTACTGTAAACACCGCCACCTGGGAAGCTAGTCTAAAGCAAGAATTCATCGACCCAAATGATACAATTTTTGCGGTCTCGCAGGGCAATATGCAAGTCCTGAATGACGGCACTGGCCATGTCATTGTTGGCTACGGAAGTACGCCAAAGATCAAGGAGTTCAATGCAGACGGAGAATGCGTCTTCACAGCACAGTTTGGAGAGGACAAACTGGTTCAGAGCTACCGAAACTATAGGTTTCCTTGGGTTGGCAAGCCTTACTACCCGCCAAAAGCGTTCGCGTGCGGTAATGGTAACCAAACTGAGGTTTACATGAGCTGGAACGGTGCGACAGAGCACAAGAAATGGGCAGTGTTTGCAGGCGATGACAAGAACGCGCTGAGTGAGAAAGTGGCAGTTGAAAAGTCCGGGTTTGAAACCAAGGCTACATTCTCTGGATTAGCTCAATTCGTAAAGGTTGAGGCAACGGGCGAGGATATTCCCACTGGTACAAGTGAGGTTATTGAGGTAGTTGGCAAGTGCTGAGAGATGCACGGGGGGGTACGCTATAGCTAGACCTTTGACAGGATAATTCCAATCTCTAGAGTCGCACATAGGGGCTTTGAGGATGCAAGAAAATCCTTACCTTGTTACAGAGATACGATGATTGAGATTCACCATATCTAATGAAAGAAAAATTGGAGCTTCGAACTATGGACTGATAAATGAACAAAAGCAGTTTTTAGCTGAGATCTTAGCCGTGGTTGAATTACCTCGTCGATGATCAGGTGTATGGCTGGGTAACAAGCCATATCAAACTTATCCGAAGAACAACGGTAAGCATTTTGGCCCCAAAAGTTTCATCTGCTTTGGTTGGTGATGTTACCAGTTACCAAGCAACTGCTGTCAGCCCCAGGCACTGATGCTCCCACATTCGATGCTTCGGTACCAATCAACAACTGGAGAGGAAATTGCAAAGTCGCGGAACGGCGACTATGACAGCTCCTTACTGCCGTAATCTTTCATGCGCTCTGCTACCGCGAGGGTATGCCAGCGTCAATGGACATATTGAAGAAACAAGACCACTCGGATAGTAGAGGCACTGCAAACTGATATTGTTACGTTGTTGGACCTGCTCATTTTATAGTTCTGATGTGAATGACAATGTCAAGGGATAAATAGAATCATGTCATGTTGGAAACTCACATTTATTCCGTCAAAACACGATGACTTGCGGAGGTACCAAGGCTGTTCATAGTATACGACTCGAAAGATTGAAACGCAAATGGACTAGAAGATCGATAGGCCAGCATCGGACCTGCTGGCCTTTGTCTAGAAACGTAATTAACCATCAGAAAGACTAGGGTTTGAGCATCTGCCGAGATTCCAATATGATTGATTCCTCAGGACTAGGCTAATTGCGTTTATCAAAATAGACTGGTGGGCCCTGGAATTGACCTTGGCCATCTTTTAAATATCTCAAATGCTCCGCATCCAGCTGAGTGAGGGCTTCCATGGACTTTTGCACAGTCTCATCTGTCATTTGACCGCCGAAATGCCGTGAACGTCCCTTGAGATTGAGTCCCCTAGCCGTAATAAGGTCATTAACTGTCGAGACCGAGAAGGCATAACTATTGTCTGCTAAAGTAATGTCTTCGAATACGTTGCTTCGCTCATTGGCTACTTCACCAGCTTCACCTACAACTTTTATACACTGGCTGATGGTCTCCTTTGTCTGCTGGAGCAGATCCAGTTGGACGGCGACAGACTCGGACAAAGTTTCGTTCAGAGACATGGCTTGCAGCTGGCGATCAATAAGAGCCTCATGCGTCTTCAGATTCTCTGCAAGAGTTTTAAAACTCGCTTTAGCATCGCTCAAAGTAGTTTTGGTATATTTGTGTGTCGATGGGCGCTCTGAAAAATGGGCAGGCTCTTTTGATGCTGACTCGGCTTGAACAATAAGTGCAGACAACTGAGCGCACATATTGAGGCCTTGCTGGGCATTCTCTTTCTCCTCTAGCATTGCCTGCCATTCTAAAGCCATTTCTTTGACGGCTGATTTGTCGCTGGCTTGGAGACGATCGATCCTATTCTGTACGTCTGCAAGATAGGTCTCAAGGTCGTCTGTGGTGTCCGAAATCATGTCTTTGTAATCTTCAAGTGCCTCGGGCGATAAAGCAGCAATACGTCTATTGTTGTTAAAATTGAGCATATTTGGTATTTGATTATTCTATCGGAATAGATTTGAATTACTTACAGATTCGCATTTGCTAAAGCGATGTTGATAGTAGACTTGTAGGCAGCAAGCATGTTCTTAAAGTCAGTAATATCTCCTTGAAGATATTTCTGCGTGATCCAATCCCGGAGGCTTGGACGCGAGTCGTTCGAATGTTTCGTACATCGTTTGATGATCTCGCCATACTCTTCACACGCTTTACCGCAGCGTTGAAGAGGACGTTTTAGTGATTCCAAGTCGATGTTTGGATGGTCAGAAACAGTCGCAAGAAGTGCATTCAAGACCCCAATTAAATCGCTAAGCTCTGACTTGAGCGCTCTGGCATCTTTATGCTGGCTCTTTAAGCCCCGGACGAGTACGAGGAGGTCCGTACATGCTTTGAGAGTAAAGCCCCCCACTGCCAAAACGCTTGTGAATATGGTGAGCGGATCCATGGTGTTGCCAAGCTAAGAGATGCCAACGATGACTAGTGAGCTGCGAAAGAGTGTTTGACTGCAATCTCCTGCCCATAGATCTGACCTTGGTGCGTTCTTAAATGTCTTTTGATGTATACCCTCTTTCAACCATCAACCAGGCTGCAATCTTGGCTCAAGATGGGCTGTTGGCGCTTCACGAAACACATCATCCCCACAAAATGAGGGGCTCAAATAAGGCTGGCGAATCAAAAAAAGATGACGGCTTGGGTTAAGCCTAATGTCTGAGAACTCTTGCAAATCGGTTTACGTAACCAAAGGAATGTTCGCAGTGTGCGATGAGAATATTCTGCTAAAAAAAAAAAATACGCATTTAACATCTACAATACATCACGGTTCAATACGGCTTCGTATCGTTTTTTGCCACGTTCAACCTTGCAAATACCATTCAATGTTGATGTTGGCGCATGGAGCAACCAAAATATAGAGTTCTAGCTCAACACTCTGGACGCGTTACATTGCATTACGCGCTATGTACTGTGTACGAGCCGTTCACGACCCACATCTGGCACATCAAATGGCTAGCTAGCTACATGTGAGATTAATTCAGACTCTAATGCAATATGATCACCAACTATAATACTTTATTATCGACAAGCTCGCCTCAGTAAACTTTCTGTAAACAGACTGTAAGGGTGCATCAATTTTAATCGCACCACGACGACACCGAATCAGGGTCGGCGAAACAGGTGTGAGCATTGTTGTTTGCACAGGGAAAGCCGTCGCGGGCAGCTGAGAATAGGCAAAAGGACGTCGTCAGTTATCCGTGGCGGACAAAGCCTTCATGGAAATTGTTACTTACCTTGTTTGCACATGTCTTGCATCGTATCGCCGTCAATAACGTTGCCTCCAGGGCCGACTGAGGTACACTGCGTCAAATGTAAGCCGAAGGTTTCGGAAAATTGGATGCCGTGATTTCACGGTTCTGAAGGAAGCGATAACTCACCCGTCCACTCGGAGTGTCGTATCTCACAGAGTTTTGACTGTCAGGCCACTGATTGAACCAAGGTTAGCGGAATGAGGCTGTTTTAAAAACGAATTGAATTGATATACCGTTTGAAAAATGTGACGGTTGTAAGCATCGCAAGCTTTAGTTGTAATTCGCCAGATGTAGCTTCCGCCATTGTGGCAAGTACAGGAGTAATGCCATCTTGCGTCACTTCGGAATTTTTAAGTGTTAGTGTGCATTCAGCCATATCAACGTCAACGTGCCTATTTAAGCAGAACTAGAAGGGCTATGCTCGCGTCAACGAGTTTGATTGAGACTTACACAGAAAGTGCAAGGAAGGCGAGAGCTGCCAATGCGGATGACTTGAATTGCATTTTGAGAGAGATAAATGCAGGTCGATAACAATATAAGCAGGATGAAAGATTCAAGTAGATGTGAGACCGAATGTAGTCTTTCGAATGACTTGCAAGTTTGGTAGGGAAAAGAAACGAAAGAGTGCGCCGTAGATGCTTTATATTAAGATTGTGGAGGAACTCATTGCTGAAGTTCGGGACCTAATTGTCTTACCGTCACCAGGTGGTAAACCAAATCGTCTGAAGGGGAAGATCACCGTGCACCGGCCTGGCCCGTCGTCAGCTATGGCCACCGCTTCCTTGCGTTAGAATGCTTGGATTGACGCCATGTTGCAACGGAAAAGCGGCAAGGAATGATGGAGAACAGGATCCGCGGAACCCGCTGGTCTCCGCTCACAGTAAAGATCTTCCAGTAGATAGACACTTTAGATTAAGCTCTTAGCACTGCTGAATTGTCTTTATCTTTGCAACGTACTTCTGGCGAGTCAGAAACCATTTCAAATTGACAATCAACTCCAAATCTGACGCCGAATTATTGCTTTTTGGGAAGCACGTGGTTATCTCATCATCGCGAACAGTTAGGGCCCTTTTATCCAGATAAAGCCTAGACTAATTTAAACTGCCTGTTGAGGGGATTGTGGCCTTGAAGTGGAGTGTAAATGACTAGTGGTGGAGGTTGAATACCGAAGATACGAAGGTTTCGGGCGTTTCCTGATATTGCGGCGGGAGATACCGTGAGGGTCTAAAACATATAGTCGGGCGGTGGCCCCATAGAATAGATTGCATCTGGTCGGTGATCAAGATCTTCGACCAGTAGCAAGAGAAACGCAACGCACACGCTCTTATTCTATCATTTTATCCGAAGTATCTCAGACATAAATGTGATCAAGGTCCAGCACTGATCAAATTATCTTTAGAGGAAATACTCATCTGGGATGTTCCTTAATGGGACAAGCTCAGTAGGATGGCGGGCACGAGGCTCCGTTACCCGAGACCTTGACCAACTGTTAATCTCTATACACTTGAGATATACTACAAGTACCCTCACATGTGGGAACCATGGATGCATGTCTATCGACCAGATCTCTCATGATCAGCTCACCGCAAAAGATTATCCACCAATATTAAATCAGAGCGCCATTACCCATTGTTTGAGGCCTTCCGTTTCTAGAAAGGTGTAAACACATTACGTAGCGCACGTGTTTTTCTAACAAAGCAGTCAATTTGTTTGGGCCATGTTCAGTGTCGGTTACTGACTCATAATGCTGGTTTTCTAGCGGTATCAAAAACCCGAATGTTGTGATAGTAGGGGCTGTGGACAACTGCGAGAGCTGCCTTTGAGTGGGTGATCACCATTGGCAATCTAGTTGTTCACGTGCCTGTATGACTCGTTCAAGACTCGATCTGGCCATTACATCCAGCCTCTTCATGAGTTTCGGAGTTGCAATGAAGACGGATGGGCGAGCGGATCATGGGTACGATGATGGCTCTTTGTGGAGTCAAATTCAACCATGATCGGGTAGCCGGAAAGAAGGGCTGCGGACATCAAGGGACGTGAATACCTCGGGACTGCGCGTACTTTCAGAGATATAAAAAACCAGTTGATCTCGCAAATTGTAGCCAACTTCGAGCACGCTTCTCTCGCAGACCACTCCAAGAATCACCTTGAATCACGAAACAATGAGAATCACACCTTCACTCGCCCTCTTTGCGCTCGCCGCGGCTGCACCTGCCCCTCAGGCTGCCAAGAGCGATGCCGACAACTTGCTGTCATCCATCTCGGCTTTGGACCTTGCTCACGACGACGTTATTCTGTACGGCGTCAATGGCGAATACAAGGTCATCAAGGAAGCCGAGTTCCAGAACCTCACTTCTGCCGGCGTTCTGACCTACGGCAGTGGCGACGAGGTCAAGGCACGCGATCTTTCCGATTCTTCGTCAGTGCTTGAGGCCCGAGACTGTGACGGACGTAATGTCGAGTACGAGATCACCAGCCAAGCCAACTTCCTCGACTGGGACGTCCAGATCTCCCCTGTCATCGGAGCTCAGCAAGCTCCCGTGACTATTGCGGTCGCACGTGGCTACCAGGTAGCCAACTCAATTACCATCGGAGAGACTGCCGGAATCTCCGCCGAAGGCCTCTCTGTCAGCCTCAAGATTGACTACCAGACGACATGGACTACCTCTGATACCACTACCATCACCTACACCGTCCCTACCGGACAGTACGGCGTAATCGTCAGTCAGCCTTACGTCCACCGCATGTACGGCACCGCCTACAGCTCGTGCGGTACGAACGGTGGAACCACGGAGAACTGGATGTCCACAACCCATTCGAGCCAGACCTACGGTAGTATGAACTGGGTTACGGGTGTCTTCCGCCTCTGCGCCAGCAAGAGGTACCCTATTCCCTATTGCAACGGCAGAGGTAGTCACCACTAAACACCAAGATGGCTTGGTGTTTGGCAATGCTATTTAAGTCGCAAGATGCGAGGTCTACTCAGACATTAGTCTCAAGTATAACTGGAACGGATTTTTTTCATCACGAGCGGAATAACATTAGTATATTCCCAGTTAGTCAGCACTATGATGGTTGGTTTCATGGCTCTTAATGTAAGACCTGAATACTATACAGCTCCATAAAAAACAAGTATTCTTTTATAAAAAAGCTTTATTAAATGGACTGGTTTAAATTGTGAGGTTTTTATTCGACAGAATATATTTCGGAGCTCAAATTCAAGGTAGCCAGTCTTTCAAGTACTCCTGGAAGTCTACATGATTTTCAAACAGACTTATTACGAGAAATGTATTGAGTTAGAATCGCTTGCTTAAATGTAAGCCATTTAAGAAACCTAGTAACGTACATGATAAGCGAGTGAGACAGACAAGCGAGTGAGACAGTAAACCAGACCTTCGCGACAATAATATCGAAATCTATAACAAGAAATCTTAGATTGATTAATACTACTCGGATTCCTGTTCTTCGGATGTTTCCTCAATAAATTGACATGTTCTCGCGTTGTGGCCTGTATTCCCGCATACGCCACACCGACGATGAGTCGTCTCAGACCTCACTTTGCGACCACTACTCCGTCGCGTTTCCTCTTGTAGTTGCGTGTCTGCCTCTCTTTGCGACTGTATATCCTCTCCAGTAGATATAGTAAGACTTCCTCCTTTCTGTAGACGTGTTTTCTTAGCCCTTCGACGCCGACTTAATATTGCATTCTCCTCTCGAAGGATTTGAACCTCTGACTCTAGTAATGCTACCCGATGCCCTAGTCCTTCTGTCCCTCTGGCTAGCTTACTCACAGCACTATAAATTGATGCTGGAGAGCTGCTTCGGTGGCGTGAGATTCGACTCTTAATAAAAGTAGACTGTGATCTTGCTTCGCTTGGGTTGCTCGGCGTCCTAGAGATCCAAGGGTCTGGTGTCTGAGGGACCCCCTCCTCAGGCGTTGGCGTTCGGAACTTTACATCCAGCTTTGAGAGAACACTTTCTGCATTCAAAGGGACAAGTCCAGCTCCTCGGAAACCTCCCTGGATATTTTTCCTCGTAAAAGACTGCTTAAAAGCTTCGTGAAATGCTGCAAAGAAATCTTCCTTCGAGATATGGGTTGTGCCTCGCCGCATCTTATTCTCAATTTGCCGACCGTAGGCATTCTTTAACGGCTGAAAACAACCAACATCTAAGGGTTGAAGTAGATGAGACGAGTGAGCCGGCATGCACAGTGTAATAATGTTGTTTTCTTGACAAAAGAGCTCGAAGGCTGCGGAGTGGTGACTTTCATGACCATCAACAACGAGGAGGCGATATTTCCCAGACGTACGTGGTTTTGTATAAATGTCGAAGTGTCTGATCCAGTCAATACCTCTCTCGTTTGTTGTCCATCCATTTTCAGACGTTGCAATAGCCCAATCGCCCGGAAGAGAGGTTTCTGTATACCAGCTTGAGAGGTGATACTGGCCTGCAACGATGATGTATGGCGGGATGCTCTCCCCTTGGGAATTAATAGCCTGGATAACTGTAACCCATTCCCTATTGCCAGGCTGTGTCATCTTCGTATTTGAACGCCTTTCAGCACTTGTAACAACCATTCCAGAAGCAATAACGCCCATCATAAAGCCGGTCTCATCAAAGTTGTAGATATCAGCATCAGCAATACCATACTTCGCAATTGTATTCTTCACAAGCGAAAACCAGCCACGAATCACCTCTGGATCTTCGCATTGAGCTCTCTTATAGTCATACTTGCGAAAGAAACGCGTCCTAAGCTGTGGTTGTCGCTTGACGAAATTAGAAGCCCAGCGCTTCCCAACTGGAGGCGCGTCGCGCTCTGCGAGAAGTCGATTGGCCATTTCTTCCACACCACTCAGCCGGGGAGGAAATGATCGCGCATCTAGGTCGAGAATATACTCAACTATTGTCTTCTCTTCTAAATCTGATAAATTCCGTGAATTAGGCATGCTGTCGCGTCGTGAGACTATTCCCTTTAGTCGCCGGCTTAATGTTGCGTGACTGACTGTATAGAGTGCACCTGCGGCCCGAGCACTAAGTTTTGGGTCATTTCTCATTGCTTGAAGGGCAATTTGTAACCTTCTTTCAATACTAGCTGATTCCATGATTTATTGTAGAGGAAAAGGTGCCGGTCGCGTCAAGGTGCGACGGTCGCGGTTTACTGTCTCACTCGCTTGTCTGTCTCACTCGCTTATCATGTACGTTAGCCCATACTCATTAGTAACTGACAGTTTTGTCATTTATACTTTTACCCTATGTAGGTAGTCTTACATAATCTCATGTAGGGATGTTACGGCTAGTCTATCCCTTTGACTGCGGCAAGACGCCATTTTTGCCAAGGACGGAGTAAAGCCAAACAGGGCTCCTAGTGTTACGGTCAGCTATCCGACAGTAGGGTCTGCTAACAGAAGTTGGGGATTGACGCTAGTAAACAGTATTGTCGTGTCGTAAGTCTGGTTCGTAGGTCGTAGGCTGTGTCGTAGATCGGTAGTCAGAGGCTAAGGTGATCAATCTTAGGCTCAACAAGTATTCGCAGTGAAGGTAAGCTGAAAGTATCCTGAGGATGAATACAAAGTTGATTGCTGAAGAGCTATGGAAGTCTGACTATGAGTCGAGCTCAGGTCATACTATATACAAGTCCGAACAGTACCCTTTGTTTGTTTTACCGTTCCTGATCCTGACGGGGTCCGTTCCTCGTTCATACGGATCCCGTATGTGCCAAGGACGGACTCCGTATTCTTGGCGTACGGATCTAATCTCTTATCTTATCGTCACGTGACTTGCACCATAGTTCTTCCGTTCCCGAGTGAGTCCCTGTTGTTCCCGTGATCCTGCAGTACAAATGTCCTGTTCTAGCCGCCCGACGCCCAAGTGGGTCGTTCAGCTGTTATCCTTGTTTACGGGTCGTAACATCAGGTCCCCTCTCCAAAGGTCTTGTCCTCAAGACCCAACATAAGTAGGTCGTTGGTCCCAGGTTGGGGATCCGTCAATCGTGCTTCCTGATTTACCTATGATGCTGACACTATGTCAGGTCACGTTTCTGAAAATCCTGCGATTTCCACTCTTCGTCGTTATCGTCGTTCCCTTAACATTGCGGAGAACGGGTTTGAGGTCATGCCTTGTCGTCGCTGTCGGTCTAAGGGATTGCGCTGTAAAATGCTGCCCGGTTCCTTGGTTTGTGGAGAGTGTGTCGCGGTGGGCGGCACTCGTCGTTCGTGCAACGCTTCCGATGATGCGATCTGTCAACGTTCGTGTGGTTTTGGGTCCGTTTGTTTTTTGCTCGTGCTAATTCGTATATAGTGGAACGTCTGATGGTTGAATCTCGGCGTTTGGACGATGAGGAGGAAAAAACCGAGGAATTGTTTCGAAAAAGGATGGAGGCGCTGCAAAAGGCGCAGGCCGAAGTGAATGAGACACTTGCGAAGTTGGATCGTGTTCGCAAGGCTAAGCGAATAGTGTTCAAAAAAGGTCGCAAGGAGACCTCGGTGGTGGCTGAAGAGGGGGTAGCGGAGCCTTCTCTTGCCGAGTCTTCCTTGGTTCTTGAGGCATAGTCGGTGGGTGCTTTTGGTGCGGTAGACCTGGATGCCGTCTTCGGTGATTGGAATCCGGGTACTCTAAACTTCTTATCGGGGGAGTCTTAGTTGGGTTCGGGTGTTCCTAGGCGAATAAATGGTTTTCCTTGTCGCGGTCTGTCTGCCTCTGCTGGTGGTCTGACATGTCTGTGTAGGTGTTTGATGCGTTGGTAACCAGTGTTGTCTGTCGGGGTTGGTGTCGCTGGCGCTGCTGGCGTCGTTTCTCGTTCTTGGTGTTGTTGCTAGTAGGTCGCGAGTTCGTCCTTCGCATTGGTGATGTTCTTGGCTGGTTCCCATGTGTTGTCTTCGTGACCATATCCTTTCCACTTGATGAGGTATTGGTATCCTTCTGGTTCTTCAAGGTGGTCGATGATTCGTTCGACTTCGTACTCTGGTTCGTTGTCTTCCACAATGATAAGGTCGTTTGTCTATGATCCTTGTGGTGCTGGTTCGAGTAGCGAAATGTGGAATGTTGGAAAACACTTTATCGTGTCGGGTAGGTCGAGTTCGTAATTGACTGGTGAAACTTTTCGGAGGATTTTGAAAGGTCTGAGTTTCTTGAAATCTAACTTGTCGTTTGGTCGTTTCGTTTTGATATTTCGCCGTATGAGATAGGCGCTATCTCCCTCCTTCAAGGTTAGTCCCTCAATCCTTCGTTTGTTGCTGAATCGTGTCATTTGTTGTCGTACAAATTCGAGTTCTTTTCGTGCGTTGTCTTGGATTTCCTTGATTTGGTTGGCTGTGGCGACGGCCTTGATTGCTGCAGACGTGCCTGATCGTGGTTCTCCGTATGCGGTTGGCTCGAATCCGTAGTTGAGGTAGAAAGGGGATTCCTTGGTGCTTTCTCCTATTGCGCTGTTGTAGGCAAATTGGGCTATTGGTAGGAGTACCACCCAATTGTCCTGGTTGTAATTGACATAGGCGCGGAGGTAGGTTTCGAGGATCTGGTTGACTCTTTCTGTTTGTCCGTCGGTCTGCGGGTGAAATGCGGTAGACATTGCTTGCTTGATGCCGAGTTGCGATGTAATTGATTTCCAAAATTTGGAAGTGAAGATCTTGTCTCTGTCTGACACAATTTCCTTAGGTGTTCCGTGATTGGCGATGATGTACTTGAGGAATGTGTAGGCGAATTCTTCGGCGTTGCTTGCTTCCTTGTACGGGATGAAGTAGGCGTACTTCGTGAGTCTGTCGACGATGACGAGAACGCTGTCAAAGTAGACTCCCGTAAGGGGTTCTCGAGACTTCGGTAGTTTGACAATAAAGTCGAGTGATATAGAGTGCCAGGCGGTTTGCGGCACAGGCAAAGGTTGTAACAATCCATAAGGTTGGTGTCGGGCTGGTTTGCTTTTGAGGCAAACCTTGCAATCCTTAATTGCTATTGCGACACGTTCTCTAGTGACCTTTTCTCTATATTGTTGTCGTAGTCGTTTCCAGGTTTTTGTGATTCCTTGGTGACCGTGTGCTGGCCGAGCGTGGAACTCCATGATTGCTTCATCGTCCAGTCCGCTAGTCGAGCTAGCACTAGATCGTCTGGCCATCATCAAGAGTTTTGTAGCAGGCACGAGGTCTCTATTCTCGTTGTGTTTGAGAATCACCTGGGTCTCGTTTGGTACCGGGACATTGTAGTCCGGACGTCGGCTGAGGGCGTCGGCCCTGCCGTTCTCTGATCCTTTCCGATAGATGATTCGGAAATTGAATTCTGAGAGGAATTCTGACCATCTGATTTGTCGTTTATTAAGTTCCTTCGAAGTAGTGAAGTAGGCTAGGTTCTTGTGGTCCGTATACACAAGTACTTAGTAGATGGTTCCTGAGAGTTAGGGTCGCCATTCCTTGAATGCTTCGATGATTGCCATGAGTTCTTTGTCGTAGATCTGGTAGTTGAGTTCTGATCCGCGGAGCTTGCGTAAGAAGAAGCCACAGGGGTGCAGGCGTCCTTCTGAGTCTCGTTAAGATAATTGTGCTCCTAGCGCGAAATCTGAGGCGTCTGTTTCTACTTCGAATTGTTCTAGTAGGTTGGGAATCATCAGGACTGGTTCGCTAGTAATGCGGTCCTTGATTGTTTGAAAGGCGGTTTCTTGTTTTTCTTTCCACTCGAATGGTTAGTCTTTCTTGCTAAGGTCCGTAAGGGGTGCGTTGATTTTTCCGTAAAGTCCGATGAACTTTCGGTAAAAATTGACGAATCCGAGGAATCCTTGGACTTCCTTGAGGTTCGTCGGTGTCGGCCATTCTTTAACGGCTTGAACTTTCTTTTTAGACATGCTGATATGTCCGGGAGTAATAGTGAATCCGAGGTATTCTACTTCTTGGGTGTGAAATGTGCTTTTCTCAGGTTCAACCAGGAGTTTGGCGTCTTGGAGGGCTTGAAGTACGAGGTGTACGTGCTCCTTGTATTGTTCCATCGTTGGTAAGAAGATGAGGATGTCGTCAAGGTAGACGACTACGAAGATGTCCACGTATTTCCTGAGAACTTGGTTGATCATGTTCTGGAAAGTGGCTAGGGCATTGGTGAGACCGAAAGGCATGACGAGGTACTCGAAATGTCCTCTGCGTGTTCTGAAGGCGGTCTTCCATTCTTCTCCTTGCTTCATTCTGATGAGGTTGTAGGCACCCTTGAGGTCTAGTGCCGTGAAGTAGTTGGCTCCGTGGAGGAGTCGTTGTAGTTCTTCGATTAATGGTAGCGGGTACCGATTTTTAATCGTCATTTCGTTGAGCATTCGGTAGTCGACACAAAGTCGTAGTTTTCCGTTCTTTTTTGGTACGAACAGGATTAGGCTTCCTGCTGGTGATGTTGATTCTCTGATGTAGCCTTTCTCGAGGTTTTCGTCGAGGTATTTGTCGAGGGCTTCCATTTCTGTTGGGTTGAGTCTGTAAATTTTGTTGAACTTGGGTTCCTTCCCCTCCTTAATGGGGATTTCGTGATCGAAATTCGTGTGTTCGGGCAGTCCGGTTTCCAGTTCGGCTGCGAAGAGTTTTTCGTAGACTCTGTATTCTTCTAGGATAGACAGAAGTGGATCGTCTTTTTGTTCGAGATCCGTTTGCTTCAATGGTCGTGATGCGGCTTCTTTCGCCTTGAGGTAGCAGATGTATCGTTTTGCTGTTCTTTGGTGGGTGGATCTGTTTGAGGCCTGGGTTCTGCAGGGCTGCTCAGGGACTAGATCGTCGTTGTCCCAATGGAGTTGGCCTGTTCTCCAATCTATCCGTGGGTTGTTCTTTTCCAGCCATGGTATTCCTAACACAATGTCGTATGCACCGAGTTCGGCAATGTCGAATTGGAGTTGTTCGTTTCGATCCAGGTAACTCATCTCGAGGGGCGCAGTCTCGTTTTTGATGGTTCCTCCTTCGTACTGGACTTGTTCTCCTTCTATGTTGCTGAGCTGGTACGTGTGTTCCTTCTTCTGCCATGGTAGTCGTAGTCGGTTCACCGCTTGGGGTGATACAAAATTCATTTCGGCTCCGCTGTCGATGAGCGCGATGGTTGTCGTGTCGTTGATGGTAACTGCGAGTTGCAGGTGTACTTTCTGGTCTAGGAATGCTAGACAGATGGACCTTGTCGTTGTTGCCTGTCTCGGTCCTTCATCGGTAGGCGAGTCTAGTTTTTTGACTGCTCTAGTTGTCTTGGGTAGGTGATGTGCTTCCCTTCTCGTCGTGCCTTCGTGAGGCGATTTTCCTGGAATCGGAGCCTCGGGGGGCTCGATCCTTCTTGTAGGAGTCTGTAGGCTTTTGCCTTTTGGGTTGCGTGGATGAGGCATTCGTCCGTTCGACATTCTTCCCACTTCATGTTTTTGTCGTGGGTGCACCTCATGGGGTATTGTCGGCTGGGGGTGAACGTGGCGATGTTGCCGTCGAACTTCCTGAGTTCCCACCCTGTGAGAGTGTGGGCGGTGTAGACGTTTCGTAGGGGGGTGTTGTCGTATTTCCTGGGTTGGAAGTGGTGTTCGTATTTTTCTCCCATGTGCGTCTCGCAGTGGTCGAAGAAGCACTGGGCCCAAAAGAGGTAGCGATGGCTTGGGTCCGTGATTCTGAGGTAGGGGTGATCTTCGATCCTGAGTTGCGGGGTGTAGTGCGTCCTGGGTCCCATGTTTGGCACGCCATAAAGTTCGATGAATTGCTCATCATTGTGCTGATTTACTTGCTTGTGTGCAATGCGTTCGGGGGTGTTGTCCTTCTCGGGTTCCTCTTCAGAGCTGGTGTCGTCCACACTGGGGGTGAGCCCATAGGCGATCTCCGTCTGAGCACGTTGGCAGGCAACGTCACGAGGTTCGTCCGAGTCGTAGGGTGAATCTTCTCCTTCTCCGAACGTCCAGTTGCTGGTGAGACTGAGGATTTGTTGTTCAGTCAGGGGGTCGTGCTGATATTCAGGTTCCTTATCCGAATCTTCTTCGTTCTCGAATTCCCTAATTCGATTCATTTCGCGTTGAACTTATGCTTCGGAGTCTCTGATCCTTTATCGGGTTTCTTTATCGTAACCCATGGGATTGTCGTAGGTAGCTTGCCTTGAGGTGATGCGTGGGGCTGACGAGCCTGCGGGTTCAAGTTGTTATACTCGTAGCCTCCCGTCAAGTTATTCGGTGGTTTTTCTGATCATCTTGCTGTTGGCCCGGGAGGCCATTGCAAGGGTTTTGCTGGTAGGCCAGTGTCCTGTCATTTCTTTGTCGCTGAGGTATACAGGGCATTTGTCGTCGTAGCATCCTGTCCACGATAGGGATGCGTGGGGTGTCTTAGTTGCCATACTAGCTTGCTTAGTTCGCTCGGGTACTGGCTTCCAGTTGGGCTTCTTGGGTTGTCCGCAGTCTCTGGCGATATGTCCTATTTTTTCGCAATTGTAGCACTTGGGGTTCCAAGGTTTCTTGTCGTTGCTCTTGGTAGCGGCACTGAGGTCCATGGGTCCGCTGTGTTGTCCATAGGAAGTGCTTTGTCGGGTGTTGTTCCAGTTGTTGCGGGGTCTGTTGTCGTTCCGCTGGTTGTTGAACTTGTGCTGAGGCTGCCATTGGTACTTGCGTCCTGAGTTCGGGTTTTGTCTTTTCTCTCCTCGTTCCTTTCGTCGTTCGTAGAGGCGGTTGTCGATCTTGATAGCATGTTCGACGTAGGCGAGGAAACTGGGGGGTGTCTCTAACTTAGCCATTTCGTCCTTAACGTCATCTTTGAGTCCTTGGTAGAAGGCGAAGACCTTGCTTTCGTCGGTCATGTGGAGTCTTGCAGCTAATCGTCTGAACTCGGCGGCGTAGAGCGTGGCTGACTTGGTTTGTCGCAGGTGTGATAGGTCTCGCTCGGCCTGCCTTCGCTCATCGGGGTCGAGGAAGAGGGATTCCAGGGCTTTAACATAGCCTGCGAAGCTGAAGAAGATGCTCTTCACCTCTTCGCTATATTTTTCGACCGGGTTGTCGAGCCATTCTTGTTGCAGGGGCTCGAACTAGGCGAGGGCTCTTCCTCGTAGGAAAGTGGCCGCGTGCACCACGCGTTCGGTGTCGTTCTGGAAAGTGTTGATGTGGAAGGCTTGGTAGGTCCGTACCTGAACCAAGTGTCCTTTAAGTTGTCCTGGGGTCCCGTCGAAGGTAGAGGGGGTGTTGAGCTTGAGGCGTTCGCGTCCTTCGACCGGGGCGGAAATCACGTTGGCGGCAGCTCGAAGGGTGTTGACTTCCTTCTCAAGTTCCTGAGTCTTGCGCGCTTGCTCCTGAAGTTCCTTGAGAGCAGTGGCGTTTTGGTTGAACATGTCGCGCATCTCCTTGAAGTCCTTGGTGGTTTTGTCGAGCTGTCGTTTGAGTTCTTCGGTGTCGTCCTCGCTGTCTGAGTCGTCCTTCATTTTCTGGTCCTCGACTTCCTGGGCCAGGCTCTGAGGAGCTTTTCCTCCAGAGGTGGATGAGGATCCGGGGGTAGGAGACTTGACAGAGGCGCGGGAAGACATTCTGTACTGTTTAGTAGGTATCAATAGTCAACTTACTGAACAGGAGCAATCAAAGTGTTACGGTCAGCTATCCGACAGTAGGGTCTGCTAACAGAAGTTGGGGATTGACGCTAGTAAACAGTATTGTCGTGTCGTAAGTCTGGTTCGTAGGTCGTAGGCTGTGTCGTAGATCGGTAGTCAGAGGCTAAGGTGATCAATCTTAGGCTCAACAAGTATTCGCAGTGAAGGTAAGCTGAAAGTATCCTGAGGATGAATACAAAGTTGATTGCTGAAGAGCTATGGAAGTCTGACTATGAGTCGAGCTCAGGTCATACTATATACAAGTCCGAACAGTACCCTTTGTTTGTTTTACCGTTCCTGATCCTGACGGGGTCCGTTCCTCGTTCATACGGATCCCGATTGATTGATTGATTGATTGATTGATTCCTACACGGTTATGAAGCCGCTCTTATGCTAGCAGCTATGCCCGGAAAGCGGGGTTTGGCAGACAGCCGAAGCATCGACGATAAACCGCGACGCCCCACTTCGCCCTGTTGTTGGATCAGGACCAGCTGTCCCCAAGCTCCCACTATGCTATCTATTCTTGTGTGTTTATGCCCTCTGTTGAAGATTGTTGTCCTCCTGCCTGCTCTCTCGCTTGGTGTTGCCTTCTAGAATCCTTCTTTCGCGTCCTCCTACTTCGGTTCTGTTGGTGCTAGGCACCATGTCTGGTTCTGTATACCTATAGTCTCCCCCCAGCCCTCAGCTTCGTCTCTTTATCTTGTCCGCATCCTCTCAGACTCGCATGTGCTATATCTCAGTTGAATCTGTAAATCTTTTTGTTGCCTCATGCTGGGTTCCTATGTGGCTCTATGTTTCCATCTTTCGACCACCACCTCCATCCACCGCCTGGAGTCGGACTCAATCCGCAAAACACAATGCTCCAACCGCTTCGATTCGTCCGATTACTAAGTATGAGAGCTCGTACACAGATTCCGCAGACATTGTCATACGTTGAAGGGGCGACAATCCTTCTTCGCGGAGGGGGCGACAGGGGACCAATCTGTCTGCAAACTGTAGTATTTTGTGGCATCGATCGTAGCATGCCTGGTGTCTGGTGCTTTCTCTATGCAGGAGGTGATACCGTTCTGTCGGGCTTGTCGTCGTTGTTGTCGCGGGACGTTGCAAACTTTGTCGGGGGTGATAGGCGACCCATAACCTATCGGTGGCTGTGGTGTTGATGTTTGTTTGGGCTTGGTCGTTGTGCTCACGTGATAGCCCGTGACTCAACCGCGGTGGTGTCGATGGTGTTGTCTATTGACGTGTCATACTTTGTGGCTTGCTCTCGAATTTTTCGTGGTCAGAGCCCGCCCGCGGCCACGAGCAGGCTCTTTGGGAGCAGAATCAATGCCGAGGATGACATTATGCCCAAAGTGACCTCTGAGAGCGCGAGCGGGCGTGGTTTGATCAATTTGATGCTGTTTTCAAAAATTTCGTTCTCGCTGTTGTTGATGTTTTTTTCATACGGATCCCGTATGTGCCAAGGACGGACTCCGTATTCTTGGCGTACGGATCTAATCTCTTATCTTATCGTCACGTGACTTGCACCATAGTTCTTCCGTTCCCGAGTGAGTCCCTGTTGTTCCCGTGATCCTGCAGTACAAATGTCCTGTTCTAGCCGCCCATATATCTCTAAAACATCAACAACAGCGAGAACGAAATTTTTGAAAATCGGAGCAAAAACGGCCCCAAATACGCGTGCTCGCGGCCACAGAGCCCCCTTCGATGCAATGCCATCCTCGGCCTTGATTCTACGTCCCAAAGGGGCCCAAGATGGCCGCAGAGCACGCCCCGACTACAATGAAAAACTTGAGAGCAAGCCGCAAAATACGACATATCAATAGACAACACTGTTACCACCACCACAGGCGAGCCACAAGCCGCTACACGAAGCACTAAGACTGCGCCCAAACAATCAACTTCAACACAACAGCCGCCGACAGGTTTTGGGTCACCTGTCACCCCCGACAAAGTTTGCAACGTCCCACAACGACGAAGATGAGTCCGACAGAACAGTATCACCTTCCGCACGGAGAAAGCACCAGGCATTAGGCATGCTACGATCGATGCCACACAATACTACAGACCACAGACAGACTGGTCCCCTGTCGCCCCTTTTGCGAAGAAGGATTGGTGTCCCTTCAACGCGCGACAATGTCTGCGGAATCTGTGCGGGAGCTCTCATACCCAGTAATCGAACATGTCGGAGTCAGTGGAGCATTGTGCTTCGTGGAAGACCCTTGGGCCAATGTAGTGGAGGGCAATAGTGGTCAACAGGCAAGAAACAAGAGGCCACATAGGAACCCGGCAGGAGGCAACAAAGAATTTACAGATGCAACTGAGAAAACGGCACATACAAGTCCGGGAGGATACGGACAAAACAAAGAGACAAAGCTGAGCGCTGGGGGGAGACTGTAGGTACAAAGAACCAGATACGGTGCTACCAGCACCAACTGAACCGAAGCAGGAGGACGCAAAACAAGCATTCTAGAGAGCAACACAAAAGCGAGAAAGCAGACAGGAGAGCAACACACTTCTTCAACAGAGGGCACAAACACACAGAATAGAGAACATAGTGGGGAGCTTGGGGATAGCTGGCCCTGATGCAACATCAGGGCGAAGTGGGGCGTCGCTGTTCATTGTCGACGCTTCGGCTACCTGCCAAACCCCGCTTTCCGGGCATAGCTGCTGGCATAAGAGCGGCTTCATAACCGAGTAGGAATAAATCAATCAATCAATCATGTTCTAGCCGCCCGACGCCCAAGTGGGTCGTTCAGCTGTTATCCTTGTTTACGGGTCGTAACACCTAGGTCTACCAAACTGTTACCTCATGTACTCCAAGTCAGAATGCATCTATTCTCTTGAACTTCCAGTAATTTGATTTGTAATGGCGATTTCTGCTGATATGGAACGCTACATTACAACGGCAGTAGGACGAAAGTGCATGCAAGGTACTGCTCAAGTTTGGACGTACTGCGGATAAAACGTGGCTACCAAAATGGGGATTTCTAGGTTTGGCAAAAATGGCGCCTTGCCGCAGTCAATGGTATAAAGAACCTCACAATTATGGTGAAAAGTCCTAGGCAGTCATTTAAACAGTTAGCTGAATAGAAAGTATTTGCATGCTGAAGGTGATGGTTCCGTTTTCAGACGTTATGAGATGTAGATATACTGGTGTTTTTCAGCTTCAATAACCTTGGCAGTTCCTTAGGAACCATATCGAACCCTCTTTTGAGCACTGCTTTTGTTTTCCATTTCTTTGGAACAAGAGAACAGAAAATCTTCGTAGCAACGGCTATCTTTCCTAGGTATCAGCAAAATTTACCTCCATGTTGGGAATATATTGGGAATGAGACAGCCACGATAGCTCTATTATTCCGCCGACGCACTGATGCTCAAGTCAAGCAATTTTGTTGTCTGCAGATTGAGCCAGCGTCGCCATACAAGCGACGCATCCAAGTGATACTGGCTCACGTACTGGCAGTAAGACAGCTGGGCTTACTTTGATGAGCATGGTATAAGGTCAACTAAATGTCCCCTGTTTTACAAATAATCAAGCCAAGTAAAATCTGCCGAACTTCCTAGCTACCAAGAGTGCTGTTACATGCCTTTACATGCCTTTACATGCCTAGTATAGTGGATTCATCAAGCTGTAACGATAAAAGCGGACCCATAATTACGCTACTATGATTGTGGTTTATATGTTTCGTTACACACCCCCTCAGATTTGCGGGATGCTCCGAATCTGAAGCTACCTAATTCTCTGGGCGTTCGGGTACACGGCTGAGATCTCGTAGACAGCCAATGCGCTTTATAGCCAGGCTTGCATTGGTCCGAGTTTTGTCATCTGTTCAAAACTAGTTCCATGAAACGGGTAAGAACTCTGGGTTCGGGTGTCAAAGCGACAATCGCACAACAGCACTACAGCACATAGGGAATAGATTGGACTCATGACCGTAACCGCAAAAGTAAAACAAAAATTTGGCTGGCATACCTGTGATTTACATGCTTAGTCGCACGCGTTCATTTTCAGAGGCTGGTGGCGCCACCAGGTTGCCTCTGGCACTGGAAGTTACAAAAAGAAACTTGATCACCAACGAGATGACACATTTTTACTTGGGGGTACATCGTCTTGGAGCCAGCGAGGTTAGCGCATGGTGTTCCGAGTCGGGGATTAGTCGAGGGGCAAAAGAGTATCTAATGACTGGCTATAAAAATGAGAATGAGAGTAGATGAGTAGTGAGTTGGGATAATGGAAGAAAAACAATAAAATGAAACGCATCATGAGGTTTCAGAATCCCCATTCCCTGAACAAATTTTATCCAGAGAGACCAACATCTAACAACGAAACACAACTGAAAGTAGAGGTCAACTTGTGGCCGGCTATTCTATTCCTAATCGAAGACTTACTTGCTCTTTGTTCTATCAATTGCACGGACGTCGCCAAGATTCCATCATATAGCAAAAAGCTTGGGCAGTAGCCTGAGCTTCTCCAGACCTTCAACAACAAATCAGTGATATGCTCTACACTTAGCCCGCGTTTATTACCGTGACCAAATAATGATCACTTTATTTTCCTCAAAGCTATCGAAAGCGTTTTCAACCACTGGACTATCATCCAGTGCAGGCTCTATCAGCCCCGCTGGGCTGATCGTACCAAGGCAATCGATTATAGAGTTGCGGAATATTAACTCATCGTGTTGGTCCCCACCCGCGTAGTTTTTTCCACAATCACCCATGAATTTAAAATGACAGGACTTGATGCAGGGATGTGTGCAGGAGCCAAGCTACCTATTCGGCAAACAATGCCGTGCAATGACATTCCCACGCTCCACTATTCCTCTCTTTTTGTAAAAGCGTTCCCAGATCACCCCACCATTTTGACCAAAAGTGCTTTAGCAAATCTAGTTTAAACCGATTTAACGCTCCTTTTGTCATTTACGCCGATATTGAGGGGACAACTGCCTCACATAAGGGGAAGTCCCCCTTTAAGCAACGTGCCATGGTTTTGAAATAGTATATCTGAACCAACATGTCCTATTTTTCGTATTCATTTTGCTCCTCAGACCTGTCTCTTTTGCCGTTCTGTCACTCTCATTTTTCTCTTTGAAACCGTTTGCAAACTCTCATTCGTTTAGTTTGCATCCATACACACATTACGCTGGCGTGATTCTTTAACCCAACTTTTACTGAACCAATTCCAGCACGCTCATTCGTCAAAAACAACCAAGTCGAGTTTTCACTCACTTTTCAGGATGCATTTCCAAACTGTTCCCCTTCTCCTGAGCGCCATCGCGGCAGCTACTACCGTTTCCGCTCAGTCTGTGGTCGGTAAGGCTTACGGTTTCGCCACCGGTGTCACTGGTGGTGGCTCCGCTGCCGCTGTCACCCCCAGCTCTGCCGCAGAGTTGGCCAAGCTTCTTTCTGACGACACCCCTCGCACCATTGTTATCGACAAGACCTGGGACTTCACTGGTACCAAGGCTACCGGCGCCGGATGTGACAGGAAGACCTGCAGTTCCAAGAACGGAGGCCAACTCTATCTCGGAACCCTCTCCTGCGGCGGCTCGGACAACGTCGCCGTCAGCTCCATCTCTTACGACAAGGCGGGCACCGAGCCCCTCATTGTTGGCAGCAACAAGAGCATCATTGGAAAGAATGGCAAGGGAGTCCTCAAGGGCAAGGGACTGCGCATCAAGAAGGGCGCGAAGAACGTCATCATTCAGGGTTTCGAGGTTACGAACTTGAACCCTGGCATTGTTTGGGGTGGTGATGCCATCGACCTCCAGGGTGGCAACGACGGTGTCTGGATCGATCACATGAAGATTTCCCTGGTTGGCCGCATGTTCATCGTCACTCACTACGACGGCTCCCGCGTTACTGTCTCCAACAACGAGTTCGACGGCCAGACTACCACTTCCGCCTCTTGCAACGGCGACCATTACTGGACCATGATGTTCTACGGCAAGGGAGACCAGGTCACCCTCGACAAGAACTACTTCCACGATGTCTCCGGCCGTGCCCCTAAGCTCGGCGAGCCCGGCGTTACCGGCACCTTCCAGGCCAGCAACAACTACTTCAAGAACATGAAGGGCCATGCTTTCGACATCTACTCCGGTGCTAGCGCCCTTCTCGAGGGTAACGTCTTCGACTCCGTGTCCACCCCCATCACCAAGCAGGGTGCTTCCGTTTCCACCGTCTTCAACGTCAAGGACTCTGCCGCTGCGTCCAAGTGCTCTTCTACCATCGGCCGTGCTTGCCAGGTCAACAGCCTTGCCTCCAGCGGTGACTGGCCTTCGCTGGCTGGCACTGGAGCTCTCTCTGCTCTTGCAAAGGCCAAGAACTACCTCGTCACTCCCGTCGCTGCCAGCAAGGTTGCCAGCCTCGTCAGTGGCTCCGCTGGTCCCGCCAACGTTGGTTCTGCATCCAGTGCTTCCAACGCTACTCCCGTCACCTCTACCCCTGCTAAGGAGTCGACCTCTGTAAAGGAAGAGGCTGCTGCCCCGGTTGCTTCTACCCCTGCCAACACCGGAGCATCTCCCGCTCCTGCCACCGGTGCCGAGGCTAAGGCCTGGGCTCAGTGTGGTGGTCAGGGCTGGACTGGCGCAACCAACTGCGCATCTGGCACTACCTGCGTCAAGCAGAACGAGTGGTACTCTCAGTGCTTGAGCAGCCGCAAGGCTAGATCCATTCTGCGTCGCCGCCAAATTCAGGCTTAAGGCTTTCGCTCATCACCACATTGCTTGTTTTCGTGATGGAAACAATAGCGTGCACATTTGTCCAGTAAAGAGGTTGCCAACCTCAGTATATGTTTCGTTTCGCTATATACTTTATTTCTATTTGAGCTAGCTCAAGTCATGAATTTAATTCAAAAATCATTCAAAATGTCCATACCCGAACAATAAGTGAAATGAGCAAATGCCAGCAAAATATCCTATCAAGGCCAGGGGTAGTTGCCTACAGATCATCCTCATGAGGGGAACTAGCCAATACTTTTTCTAGACAGCCAGATAAGCTGATTGCAAAGGACTGTCTCATTGTACCTCTGAATTTTGAGTCTGATATAGGTGCTAGCAATCATCTGGATATCAAGAACGCCGGAATGCAGCTATGGGAAGTTTAGGGGTTCATAGCCTAAGGTACAGTCATGTATCTGATGTGAAGGGAAAATGGGTGTAAAATCAGGGACGATGTATCTGTAGCCGACCACGCCTCGAAGGGATGGCAAAGAGTCGCAACAAGTGATGGGGCCCAAGTTACCCTTGCAAGTTACCCATGAAACCATTTTTGAAGCTATACATCATTCGGGAAGGAGACTGTCCACAAATTTCCCAATCGAGGCAATATAGCCACGCTTGTTTGAAATACACGATGTTGCATTCTAGACTAAGTGAGTGACCCATTTATCTCCTGCAGACAATTACCGGAAAACATAGACTGACCACTTGCTAGCGAGATATCCACAAATCCAAATCCTGCTTTTGATCCTTCTCAATCTCAAACAATTCCTATCAACAAGCCAGTTTACTAGTAGCTGAGATTTAGCGGATCCAAAAAGCCACGTAATAGGAACTATTGAAAGTGAAAATACAGAAGTGCATTCTCATACAGGCACAGTGGCAGGGAAATAGCCATTTAAATATCGGACCTAACTTTGGTACTTTAAAACGACAATTCTCGTGGCTGCGGATCTCCAAAGCACATTTGGGACTGCTATCCTACGGTGCACGCTCTTCTCTGTAGTACTCGTCTAAAGCTGGGCAGCGCAGTTTCTTGTAGCTTTGAGCTAAGTGACTAATACATGGAAGCAGTGTTCGCCGGTGTGTTGACTGGTATGACTGGGTACGTGCTGAAAGTGCAAGCAGGGGATAAACACGACGGTTTCTCCATTACCTTGCCGAAGCTTTACTTTGTCCACAGTCATTGTCGTGACTGCTCTTAATACTGGGCCGGCGAGCGCTTCACAATACTCTCGAATTCAATCAACAGCACCAAGGTAATTGAACTAGATCAACGTTGCCATGTATTATATCTGATTAGAGAATTAAGGTTATACTTAATTGGCTTAAGACAAATTCTGTAAGTTAATTTTTAGCTTATTTATTCAATACTGGTAAGAAAAGGAGGAAACTTAACCCTTCACGCATAACCTCATTGTTGTTCTTAAGCCACCTGGAGACAAGTCATGCTTATACTTAGCTTTTCCAGTCTTTGCGCTGGCTTAAATTTTCAAGCGGTATCGTTCTTATTCTTGCTTCCACATTTCTGAGTCGCTTGGCATTTGTGGCGCGGACGTTCTATCACTCGTTGACCATCTCTTTTCTCGGTAATGTAATAATTTGGAAAAAATGTTCGCAACAAAATTAGGGTTATATTGCGTCGATTTTTAAAACTCTATTCATGGCTCTACTGCTCTGAAACACTATATTCACATGGTAGGAGTGAGTCCACCACTGACAGCGATCCACTGGGCCGTGATCCAACGACTTCTTTCGGATGACAGCAAAAGCACCGCATCAGCCAAGTCTTCTGGCGCTCCAAGACGTGCGGCAGCACGCGTTGCTGCAATAATGGCCGTTTGCACGTTCGACGGGGTCCCATCGGGTGTTTCCAGGAGTGCCTTCGACATGTCTGTCGGAACCAAACCCGGTGCAAGCGTGTTAATGGTGATTCCGCGGTTGCGGCCAAGCTGTCCACGGTCAATAATTGAAAACATCCGGGCTGTTTGGTATCCTTACCTCACCGGCCCAGGCCTGGGCTATGCAATCCTGAGCGGCTTTTGCTGCGACATATACCGGAGCCCCGTAAGGACCTTGCTTCGTGGCGGTCGACCCAATGTTGATAATACGACCGCCACTAGGCATGCTCCCCACTCCAAGCGCAGCTTGAATCATGTATATAGTACCAAATGTGATCACGCCAAATTCGTGCTGGAGCTGCTCTGGCGTCACATCCTCCAGAGGCTTGGGATAGCCGGCTGCAGCGTTGTTGACTTGGGACGTGTCAGCTTATGCCGAGCAGCGAGGGAGTCTGAAGTTACCAAGAATGTCGAGATGAGGGGCATCAAATGCCGTCAGCGTCTCTTTGACTATTCTGCGAGCCGCCTCTGGGTCTTGGACGGCACCTTGTACCACGGTCGTCTTGGCTCCGTATTCATTGGAAAGGTCCTCCGCCACCTTTTCTGCCCTTAATTTCGACTCTTGGGATACATAATGAACTGCAACATGTGCACCATTACGCGCCAAAGCCCGAGCAATGGCAGCACCAATGCCAATTTCTCTTCCTGAGCCAGTCACCAAGGCAACCTTACCAGCGAGAGAAAGAGAATCCGCCGACATTTTGAATGTGATAGAGAGAATAGATCCAGTTGAGTGTGGTGAGAATAGTGAGCCATCATCTGCAGCTTCAAGGAATTAAAGGACCATTTATATATTACACGTTGCTTCCCCGTGTCCTAGGTGATTTGAGTCTTTGATTTATCAGCGAATTACTCAAAATGCTGCACGTGGCCATCCGTCGTTCCTCCTCTGTCAAGTCCGTTCAAAAATTTCCGAACGGCGTGTGGCAGGATCGCGTGTGTTTTGCTAAGTGAAATAATACGCAGTCATTCACGGAAGTCCGTGCAGGTTTTCAATATGCAAGTGGCGGAACTGCTATAGCTAAACTAAATAGCCACACTCACAGGATAGCGATTTCACGGGTATCAGTCATTGAATTGTGTAGGAATACAGACTATCTAGCCTCGGACAGGGAACAATTACATTATTGGTAATGGTCATATGCCGATTTCAAATCTCGGTGTTGCTATATACAATTGCATGGTTCCGTTCCAAGTCCAATTTGCTGTAAACCTTGCTTTCTTATGGGACATTCGGGAAGCTGTTCTCTAACAAAGTCCCGGCAATCGTCACAAGAGAACCCAGTTCGCCGACAGCAGCACTCCAATCCTCCCACTTTGCCATGCTAGACTGGATACCTGTGGAATCTTGTTGGAGCTTCATCAATTGTCCCGTCTCTGATAAGCCGTATATTGTGCGCTCCTCGTAGCATACGCTGAATTCAGCCTGCCACTGCTCTATGGTTTGTGCGCTCCACAGTGTTGCGTTACTCGCCAGAGGCACAATGGCGAAGCCACTCATGGGACGGCAGGGCAAGGCGGCTGAAATATCTACTGCCATGTTGAGAATACGAAGAATCAGAACGGTACTGTGAAATATCAGCATACGGACTATAATCGAACACGCCTTCTCACCGTCGCAATGACTCATTAAAAATCCAGTCATGCCACGCCAATCTAGCAACACTGGCAAACGTTGCCATATGGTTGCCTCCAAGCGACATAGCCAGGGCTCTGGCAACAACCTTTAATTAAATTAGAAAGGATAAAGGGGTACTCCTAATAATTAATGGCCTACATTGATAGTCGCAAGAAGAGGCATATCCAATTCTCTGTATCCTGTCTCATCCGACAGACGTAGTAGGCAGTAAATGAGTAGCGCCTGAAGAGCAGCTAATAGCTCCCAGCGATCAAAAGTCACATGCTAGTAGTATGTTATTGGTGCATCGAAAATGGCAATGGAAAGACTGACTCCTGCTGCTATTCTCTCCTGCTCAAGTTTGATAACTGTCCACATAAAACTTTTGTTTGCCTCTCGCTGAGCTTTGAACATGTGCACTATGCTCACGCAGTTGATCAAGGTCTATTCTTCCAAATTAGTATTTGGCAGTATGTGTTATGGCCAGCCTGGTCCATCGCTAACCTGCTGCGAAGGGGTTTTCCCCGATTCGGCCCATGAGTAGAGCAAAGGATTCATAAACGGTGGAAATGTTTCCTTTCTCAATAGCATAAAGGGGTATGACTGTAATATCCGTAAAAGTAACGGTACAAGGATCTGACCACTTCCTGTTGTAATCCGGAGACTGAAAGGACCGGAGTTGACTAGCTGGGTCCCTGGCATGACAGATGACGTGTTGAATCGATCAACAGGCGTGAAACTACCATAATCGCGAAACTGGCCCGAAAGGTCCAGGCTTCGAAGTAGGTTAGGCTCTACTGCCCACTCGGCCGGTTGTAGTGCAGAAGTGCTTGAAGCCAACTCATGATCGGTAACGAGGTTTAAAAAGTCTATAGGCATATCCTCCGCTGATGAATCACTGCTCATCTGCTGTACGCCATCGTGCTCGCATTCCAGCCCGCGTTCGCTGCACCTGACGCAGCACGTCGGGCCTGCAAGGGGCCAAGTGCAGCGGGTTTTTGCGCGGATGCATCCAACACAAGACTTCTTACGAGGGATGTTAGGCTTGCGCAGCTTGTTGCGGCAATAATATCCATGCCGCTTTTGGGTCGACTCTGTCTAATTAGTATGCAGCGACCAGTGGAGATTTGGTAGCCTCACCCGCAACGAATGATTTGTTACACAAGGAGCAGCGATAACTCGCATTGCGGTTTGGTCTACTTGCGTCCGTTTCAAGCATTGTTTGTTTGTCTAATTTGCAAGATTTACGTTTGAGTTTGTGATGACGCTTCCTTTAATTACCCTAAGGTCGGTCTCTACGGAATTCCGTGAACTCGGTTGATATGAACATGCTTAATAATCGAGTTGATGTTCGGCGGTTGGCAGCTCAACCCCGCTTTTGCCCTTGTTGGCCATAAGATCAGCCACAAGTTATTGTCAGCCAAATCCTGCTGTTGTTTCTCACTACCTCAACTAGGAGCTAATATATTCCTTAAGAATAAGTAATTTCATGAAAATCATACTATGTTCATAGACCGCTTTATGTGTATGCTGCTGTCTCATCGCAGTCATTAAGGTATTACGAACAGCTTGATTGAACAACTGGATTCTGTCGTTGGAGTTGATTGAAGCAACAGACATCTTGAATTGATAAACCCAACAATCACAGCAATCTGCCTGCATACGGAATGCACTGTAATGGTCAACTAGACCTAATACCTTATGTGGATGACGTAGCTCACCTACCACAAGCCATGCTAATAAGCCGCTCAAGTGTGCATAAATCAGCCCAAGGTCGGATTTGCACTGCATATGACCTTGCTTCCGCTAAGGTATCCAAAAAACCTATTGGTGCCCTGCTAATTAACATCGGTGCTGGATCTCTAGCGGCAGACGCCTCGACAGCTAAACTGAAGTACACGTTCACTAAACGGCACCCTTAAGCTTCAATCGACATCCAATTTACTTGGCTTCAAGCGTTTCCAAACTGAGCTGATCCTTAACTTACAACCTCTTCTTTGAAGGAACCTCAGAGCGCTAGAAATCACAAGCCAAATTGTAGCCTGGGAGGTTGGTGGCATGCGACTGTGAGAGTCAACCATCAATTTCATGCATGCCATGGCGAGAGATGAAGAGCACTAAGGACTAGGAATCAGCAAAGGGCTGTATGACCCTATGACGCTGAAATCTGGCCATTCTCGTTCACTGGGAAGAGTCGTTCCAGCTACGAGTGAGCTTCGCAAAGGTCAAAGGTCTGGCGGCTTCGGATTCCACCACTCATTTGACAGGTTTGCAATAATAACGCGATCGGATACTAACGCTTTGCATGTCCCTAAGTAACAAAAGTATCGTGGCTTCTTTCAATAAATTTGACTCCGTCTAGCACTCACAAGCAATTGTTGAAGAATCACAGACCTTCATCCCTGAGTCAAGTTACTGTCTTCTCGGCTGTATTCGGCACGGAGTTAAGGGCCAAAATGTTTGATAGGCAAAAGTTTGCAGCCATGACTGAGCTTTGGCTATCCTGCGTGCCACTGAATTACCGACTCCCAGAAGCGAGTATGACTGGGCTAATAACTGCGAAAACGCGTTTGTGGTGTATCCACCAATAACCATAGAGTATTCTAGGTTCATGATAATAACCAACGTCTTGACAGTTTTGTATCTTGCAAGATAATCTTCTGCACAGTTGGCATTTGCCTCACCCATTTTTAATCTGAACGACAAGTTCTCAAATTATCTCCATGCCTAACGTCTACAATGCCCCCCCCCCCCCCCCCCCGTTCATGTGTCTAAGACTGGGCACGTTCGTCATGGGCTCTATTATCTTGTCGCAATGTGACCGCTACCGTATGATCTCCCTTATCTAAAACGCATTCAAGCATTCCAAAGTCCCTTGTGCCTGCACGCAGCCAGCCCCGGTAGGCCCCGAAACCTGTTTCATCTGATTGCATTGCCCTTGATCTCCACGGTCGAAACTGACACTGCAAAATTGATTATTGCCATTGACGACACGTATGTTACGCTGGATTAACCCGTTTCCCAGAGGGATCGTATCTTGGAGGGCAAAATTTCCAATGTTTCTGAGAAATATCAGCATCAGAGCTATGATGATTATGAGAATTGATGAGTTACTTACAATTTGCAGTTACAGCCCATTATTTGTGTTGATTGTCGAGATTTGAGCGGAATCGCCTTGGCGAAAGCACCCGAGATGGCCAGTAGAGCGGGAACAAATGTGAACTTCATTATTTGGTATCAAGATTTTGATTGTGCGTAAGCGACCTGCGCTCGGTGGTAAAATGAGTGTGGTATTCAAATGATGCAGGAGGAAAAAAGACTTTTTGATGGATGATATCGAGGAGAATGAAATGTAAAACAGTTGCAAAACCCAAGCGAAGAAGCATTGCATCACTTTCGCTGTTGCCCTAACGAAGGTATGACGATCAGCTCACATGACCAAACGCAAAGTGTTCACAGCAGGTATAGTATCCTTACAAAAATTTCCGGCTTATTGTAATGTTATTCGATATATACAGCGCTGCTATGGTAGCTTAAACAATGGGACGCGGAAGTATTTCCGAGAATTGAAGCTACCTTATAACACAATACTTGTTGCAAAAAGTCAGGGCTGCACGCCTACTATCATTCTGATCATCTCTTTTTTACTGGTATCGACTTCAAAGTAACACAATGAGAGAGGTTTCTATAAGGCATTTAGAAAACACCCTGCGAAAGCCTCGATTGAAAGGCCCAAGTGAACAGCTGAAAAGCCGGACAGTAGGATTTAAAGCTCAACGATTTGTTCACATATTCGTTTTCAGTGACCGAAATACCAATGACGTAGTGTACGGCATATAAACCCGTTATATTGTTCATTAGATGGCACATTGCAGGCTCTGAAATAAGGTACCAAGGGTTGATATGCTCACTAGATCAAGTTTCGCGATCTGTTACGAGTCATACTGGCCACAGGGTAAGTTTCAGATGGGGTAAAGATGCTGGTAACTGTGCTTTAAAGTTCAGATGCTTTAATTTTGGCATTCCAAGACAGCATTTTGAAGTTAAATGCCTATAGCTGGAATCCTTTTTGGCAGCCCAATAGGACCAAGCTACTTGAGTTGAGAGAACGGGCGCCGGCTTGGTTTTCCAAGGCACATGACACTATGGCGGCTTTGATTGATCCGCAGATCTTGATTTGTGACAGAGTGGATTACGCATACGGTATTCATTTACATTAAAACATAGACTGTTTATTCTTATCTCTTTTGGTACTTTTCCCCATCTGTTATATGTTTTTTGCCATGCGTGCCGTGTGGATACCCATATATGACTGCAGTAGGGTTGGAACTCATGCTTTCATCAAATAACGTACATGATAAGCGAGTGAGACAGACAAGCGAGTGAGACAGTAAACCAGACCTTCGCGACAATAATATCGAAATCTATAACAAGAAATCTTAGATTGATTAATACTACTCGGATTCCTGTTCTTCGGATGTTTCCTCAATAAATTGACATGTTCTCGCGTTGTGGCCTGTATTCCCGCATACGCCACACCGACGATGAGTCGTCTCAGACCTCACTTTGCGACCACTACTCCGTCGCGTTTCCTCTTGTAGTTGCGTGTCTGCCTCTCTTTGCGACTGTATATCCTCTCCAGTAGATATAGTAAGACTTCCTCCTTTCTGTAGACGTGTTTTCTTAGCCCTTCGACGCCGACTTAATATTGCATTCTCCTCTCGAAGGATTTGAACCTCTGACTCTAGTAATGCTACCCGATGCCCTAGTCCTTCTGTCCCTCTGGCTAGCTTACTCACAGCACTATAAATTGATGCTGGAGAGCTGCTTCGGTGGCGTGAGATTCGACTCTTAATAAAAGTAGACTGTGATCTTGCTTCGCTTGGGTTGCTCGGCGTCCTAGAGATCCAAGGGTCTGGTGTCTGAGGGACCCCCTCCTCAGGCGTTGGCGTTCGGAACTTTACATCCAGCTTTGAGAGAACACTTTCTGCATTCAAAGGGACAAGTCCAGCTCCTCGGAAACCTCCCTGGATATTTTTCCTCGTAAAAGACTGCTTAAAAGCTTCGTGAAATGCTGCAAAGAAATCTTCCTTCGAGATATGGGTTGTGCCTCGCCGCATCTTATTCTCAATTTGCCGACCGTAGGCATTCTTTAACGGCTGAAAACAACCAACATCTAAGGGTTGAAGTAGATGAGACGAGTGAGCCGGCATGCACAGTGTAATAATGTTGTTTTCTTGACAAAAGAGCTCGAAGGCTGCGGAGTGGTGACTTTCATGACCATCAACAACGAGGAGGCGATATTTCCCAGACGTACGTGGTTTTGTATAAATGTCGAAGTGTCTGATCCAGTCAATACCTCTCTCGTTTGTTGTCCATCCATTTTCAGACGTTGCAATAGCCCAATCGCCCGGAAGAGAGGTTTCTGTATACCAGCTTGAGAGGTGATACTGGCCTGCAACGATGATGTATGGCGGGATGCTCTCCCCTTGGGAATTAATAGCCTGGATAACTGTAACCCATTCCCTATTGCCAGGCTGTGTCATCTTCGTATTTGAACGCCTTTCAGCACTTGTAACAACCATTCCAGAAGCAATAACGCCCATCATAAAGCCGGTCTCATCAAAGTTGTAGATATCAGCATCAGCAATACCATACTTCGCAATTGTATTCTTCACAAGCGAAAACCAGCCACGAATCACCTCTGGATCTTCGCATTGAGCTCTCTTATAGTCATACTTGCGAAAGAAACGCGTCCTAAGCTGTGGTTGTCGCTTGACGAAATTAGAAGCCCAGCGCTTCCCAACTGGAGGCGCGTCGCGCTCTGCGAGAAGTCGATTGGCCATTTCTTCCACACCACTCAGCCGGGGAGGAAATGATCGCGCATCTAGGTCGAGAATATACTCAACTATTGTCTTCTCTTCTAAATCTGATAAATTCCGTGAATTAGGCATGCTGTCGCGTCGTGAGACTATTCCCTTTAGTCGCCGGCTTAATGTTGCGTGACTGACTGTATAGAGTGCACCTGCGGCCCGAGCACTAAGTTTTGGGTCATTTCTCATTGCTTGAAGGGCAATTTGTAACCTTCTTTCAATACTAGCTGATTCCATGATTTATTGTAGAGGAAAAGGTGCCGGTCGCGTCAAGGTGCGACGGTCGCGGTTTACTGTCTCACTCGCTTGTCTGTCTCACTCGCTTATCATGTACGTTACTCACCTTACTCATCCCGTACAATCCGCTCACCCTACTCACCGTCAGGCCTCGCTCCACTAGATCAAAAGCCGCAACATTAGTGTGAGCAGCCTAGTGAAAAGATCACACTTGAGCGGTCTACTGGCCTGCCAAAGATCTCTCACAAATCGCCAGCCCAATTTCTAGTGCACCTTTATAGTTCAGCACCAACATTTCCTTTATTTTAAGAAAATGTCAACCACCTTCCACGTTTGACATGCCCACAACTTAAACAATATCACAACTACTTAAAACTATAACAATAGGGGTCTACACATGAATGGTATAGGTTCCAGGCTCCTAGTAGATTTAATATAACTATCAGAACTAAATCCAGTTCAAATAATTTGATAGTATTTAGTATTTATGTTGTAGCTGACCGAATTGCAGTTGATGATTGAGAACAATTAAGCTATCTTATTTCCCAGCATCGCCTAATTGGACCTCTGATATAGAGCCCTAAGTAACCTTTATCAAGATATTTACTGGAGCCTAGTAAGGACCTTGCTTTGTGGCGGCCGACCTATTGTTGCATACACGACCTCTACCAGGTATACCCCCGACTCTAAGTCCAGCTTGAATTATGTATACAGCACTAGGATTGCTACTTGCAAATCATACTCGTGGGAAAGATACTTTCGACCAATCAGAGGGGACCGAGGGGGTGGACGGGTTGATGTGGACGTACCGCAGCTTAGCGGGTGCATGACGGTGGCGATTAGGATGAAGTATTCCTTTTCGTATCCCGCAGCCTCCTGGGCAGGTCATCCTTTGATGCTGTCGTTCGTCTTGAAGCCCGGTGCAGGTGATGTCTTGCGGCTGGATGCCCTCATCCAATCTTTCATTTCGGTCCAGTTCCATCTTCCGAGAGGCCTTGATGCCCAGGGAATATCTTTATCTCTGCTCTTGAACTCTTTCTTCCAGAAAGGCCTCTCCCTGGTGACATGCCTCGTCTCGGTGTCAGCTTGTTCTTGTGAGGGGCCAGCGCGACCGTGTGGTGTTCCGGTGCCCGGTTGAGCAAAACAAGGTCATCGCGCACCGGCTCGCCAACGCACGCATGAGTCTCGAGGCCGCCAGGCTCGCGACGTACCATACCGCCCGGTTGTAGGATGCCAGCGGAAGAACGGGTCGGTCCAGCAGGTACCGTAGGCGTGGCATAGGTGAGACATTACATTATTGTAGAAGTGCCGATGCAGGCCAGATCTCTCCGTCTCAGTCGTAGGCATGCGCCACGCCAACGTGGCAATAAGCCAGCATGCCTTTCGCTCAACAGACTGGAATGCCTGATAGGGAACCAGAATAACAACAATAGCTTTTGTACCAGAACTCAGAGACAATGATATCAAGCCGCCAACTCCATTTATAAGCCTCCACCCGTGGACCCAATGAACCGGGATCGCTACTGCCGAGTTTCCATCTCTTTCAAACGCTCGTCCGTCATCCCATGCCAGCGCCTCCAATCTCTTCCAACTATCGCCGAAAATATGCTCCTCGGAACCAGTGCCTTGGTCCTAGTCGCCCTGGCGCTTCGGGTCTCGGCCCAGGCCCAGTTCGCCATCCCCGGCGGGACCTACGTCGGCTGCGCCTTAGTTATCGACATCTACGACTTCTTCGACACTATCAACGACGCAAACAACAACCCCACCACATGCCAGACCACCTGCTTCGCGCGCGGCAGCCAATTGATAGCCCTGTATGGGCCAACGTGCTTCTGCAGCAAGCCCGGCATCGACATGAACAATGTCGACGTCGGCTCCGGGTTCAATGAGGCGCTGTGCCCCGATTCGTGCCCTGGACTGCCCGCTGCTCGGTGCGGCGGGTACACGTCGAGTGGGTATGGGTATAATTTGTACATTTTGCCGCCACCTGCCGTGACGACTACGACTAGCAGTAGCAGCAGCAGCAGCAGCAGCAGCTTGTCCAGTAGCAGTTCGACAAGCAGTTCATCAAGCACTGCCTTGTCCACCGACTCTTCCACCACTACAAGCACCTCGAGTACTATTTCCACGTCCTTGACCACTTCCAGCCCGACCTCCTCCTCGTCCTCGTCCCCGAGCACTGGGACCACTACCAGCACGTCGAGCTCATCCACCACCCAGTCTACGAGTATCACCACAACCAGCTCCTCCTCGATCACGATATCCTTGTTGTCTAGCAGCTCGATCCCGGGTTTTAGCTCTTCCTCGACGGGTCTAACAACTTCCAGCTCGCTATCCTCAGGTTCAGGGACTACCACCGCCAGCACATCTTCTCCCACACTCAACTCGGCGAGGAGCATGACCAGCGCGCAGTCCACTTCCAGCGGCAGTTTGTCTCAGGTGTTTACTTCCATGGGACCGTCTTCGGCTCCTTCCAGCCAGACATCAACGACCCTATCCGCATCTCCGACGTCAAGTCCGGTCTCAACAACGCCCTCTCCAACTATAATAGGCACTTCTTCTCAGACAACCCCTATCACAGTCACTACTGAGTCCCTCTCGGGCCTCTTTTTTCTTAGTGTTGCGGTAGCCAACCCCGCCTCTATCCCTTCGACGTGAGCGCCAAGCAGGAGGACCAAGAGAGAACCAGAAAACGCACCAGCTCTGTGTAATAAAACGGCTCAGGCGACTTGGTTTAACGATTAATCTTACACATCCAAGTATGAAAATCATTTGCCCTTTGTTTATGCACGTGGAAATTACTAACAACGTTTTTGCGGCACTAGTATCCAATCGTCGATAATATTATAATCCTTAAGCCTTTTTATTGATAGGTGATGTTTTCTAGACTAGCGATATTAACGTGAGTATCTTCTTAATACCTATGATTAAATTATTCTAAAGTATTTCTAATAACTAACCTGACTTGTTATCATAAAGCGTCAATATTACGGCACATTATATGTAACTAACTAGGTAGGGTCTATAAGTTTTGGCGGTTACGGCATGATATTGGACATAGAACATAGAGTTAGGTAATTAGGCATCTTGGAAAGCAAGGCCTATTAAATAGTTTGTATAGAGATATGATAATGTAATAAGCGTGTGACTGTAATGGTTCGGACCCCTGTGGGGTCAATATGATAGCAGACATAACTGACGATTGAGCCAAACGGCCCACCTATGCTATTTCGCAAAAGGTACGTAACAACAAGCTACGTGCTTGTGGTTCTGCTGTACTTCAGTAGGTGGTATCAATGCTTGAGCACAGCTCATGCCACATAACCGGGCATAGCCCGTAACAGTGACTTAGTATATAATAGAACCCCTAGCTTCTAGACTTAATATATCTTTTAATTGTACTCACTGTAGCGTTAATTACCTGACTCACCTTATCTGAAAGCTGCAGTTCTCATTATATATCTCAAGAATCCTGATTTAACTAGGCGCTCCGACGTCCTAGACATCCTCAATCACAACACAAGGCTCTTTGGGCATAAGAAACACCAAGTTCAGAGAAACAGAGCTCAGATAAGAGTCATGATTCTAGGCTTAGTGGCACTTGTTTGACATAATGAAGAATGCGGAAATATGGTATAATTAACTATAGAAAAGAAAAGGTCGAATGACTCTCGCCTTCGTTTTCTGGCTATAGCATATGCTCCCTGATGTATTTGCATTTTGCATGCATGCTAGCAATGCAGAACAAATTTGCAAACATGTTATTTTATCCCTTAATAGTATAAGATTACTAGCCTACAATATCATTGAGCCAATGTGTTTGCTCTTGTTAAGACATGGCTGGAAATGGACGGGCAAGGCCGGTGGCTCATGATTATTGGTGTCGCCGACGATCCAGAAGCGTTGTTCCCATTTTCAACGCATAAGAATACCTTAACTAAAATGGCTCAAATGACTCAACAGAATAGAAGCTTAGAGTGTTATGTTACTGAGTACCGCCACGGATGAATGCTTGTGACTAGTGGGAATGTAAAGGTCCTGCTGAGTCTAGGGCAAGCGAAGCAAGTTATCGAGGTTAAGTAGATGGACGACAACAAATAAGACTAAATATCAAACGTCATATTAGGAAAGAATTCCCCGCCAAGAACATCTCCTTGGTTTTCAATCGCTTCGAGTATCTACCAATTGCGCTTGCACAAGCTGCCCAGCTTGTCAAGCACGGAATACCTTCATCATTTAGACAACAGCGCTGACAAACTTGTGGCCAAGTTATGCGAATCTTAAAAAGCGGCCAGAAAAGATTTTGGAACGCCACATACGGCCACAGCTCCATCGGCTGTCGTTCAATCAGATCCGGCAACAAGACATGCGATCTATCGAGATTTTGTCTACAGCGAGCCAAATAAGTTGATAAACTACCCCCAAGGAATTGGTAACGAGTTACTTTGACACAAGTAGCAAGCTAGCGCCCAAGACCGATATCAGAATTGCGATCAAGAATTCAGGTACTCTAAAAGCCTTCTCATTTACGTCAGAGGCTAGAAACACCACAGCCGATATGCATCGGCTTAGACGAATTGTAATGCGAAAGTAAGTTGCGAACTATGGCAAGTTAGCTGAGATTGATAAATGTACTCTTGAGTTGGCATCGAAGATATATATATATTTAGCAGATACAAAAGCCGACTGGTTTGTACTGTCGATCTCCCGCATGCCAAGGCTATGCTGCGAATCAAACAGGATGTTTGGAAAAGACTGCAGTCGCTCAAGGGTCGCCGTATCAAACTTCACAAGTAGCTACTCCCTTTATTTGGGTGGATAGAAAGATGAGGAAGAAAGTAAATCCTTTCCTGTAGACTTATGAACGGGCTTTCTAGGGGATAGGCACCCTCGATGATAAAAAGATAGCCATAGCTATCCTAGCAACATAATATCAGCAAAATGCCAATGAAGGGAAATTGAAGATTAAGCCGAGTTACCAAATGTCTGTTCAAGTGCATAGATAGGAGTACCTCAACACGCTAGCGAGTATGACGAGCTTGACGTTAACAGTGTGGAAACAAGGCCGAGAGGCGGAGGTCGAGAAGCTACAGGTACAAGGTTAGAGAGCAGAAAGAGAATGTCTAGAGATGTGTATTCCATATTAAGTATGACCAACGCAGCACTTGTCTGGATCGCTCACGGACTAAGAGACAATTTCGTCAAGATTGTTCATGCCATAGGCAGAGAACCCGCGGAGTCGAACATCTGGATCTTGATATTCGATCTAAACCTTCATTTTGTGAATAACGGCACTGGAAAGAGCTCGCTTAGAGCTTCTTCAGCAGGGAAGCACTGTTGATAGGATATTGTCTGTTTGGTTATGTGTAACGTGCCCTGGATAAAGTATAGTGGAGTTGTACTTTACGGAATTAAGTCTCTTGTCATGTTACGTCTATGTTCTGCTTTTGTAACGTTCTCGATAATCGATTTTTCTAGAAATAGATTCGTTTCTTTTTCATTATTCTCACTCAAGCCCACGCAAGCCCACGCAAAGTTCAAGTTATTCGTATAATTGTGGGTGACCTATGTGCTTTTCAACTTGTTCAAACTACAATGGCTTTGTGATTTTTGTCGTCCACTTCAAATATAGATCAGCCGTACTTCTTTTGTAAGTTCTCGGTAACCGTAGTTAACAGCTTCATTCAGACTGTCAGCGATCGACGTAGAAGGTGTTACCGTTGCACGGTCTTTTCCTTGGACACAAAATTGCAATGCGATTGCCTTCTTCAGAACTATTTCAAGTCATGTGAAACGTTACTGACCTATACCTTCGGAATCGACACGCTGTATTGGTGACTGATGAGAAGGATAGTCCTGCATATAATGTACTGAATGCCTTGTTTACCATCGAAAAACACATAAATATGCACAAGATTAGCCATACCAAGAGTCATTACGTACCGATTCATCTTTTAATTCTTCGAAAGCCGGATTCACTTACTAGGTTCAGTTTATAAACCAGATCGAGTTCTTTACATAGAGTTGTGTGCAAATATCCACATTGTAATGCTTCCTGGGAGGTAACGCTATGTGATACCTCTGTCCATCTACTAGAAGAGCCCCAAGGCCTGAGCCTTGATAGTCATTACCTCGTCCCGCAAACGGCACAGAAAGGGAGGTTCTGGTAATACAATCTGACTTTCAGCAAAGTGTGCTATGCGCCTCCCCCAGGCGACAAGCAGGATATTAGCGAGAGTCATGTTCTCCTTGTCTCCCAATTCCCAAAGCTCTTCGTGAAGCCCGTAGGTCTCCTCAATCACCGTCCAGGCTCTGTCAGCCATGGTCCCCGAGATGCGACTCTGCAGCTGGGCACCTAGATAGTAGAATATCTCCACCTTGAAATCGATATCTGCGTGCCAGGCAAAGCGATGACTAGCTGCTTTTCTGGCCTTGAGTACTTCTTCAATCACTGCAAGGCTCACGCGGAAGAAGTTGTCATCTGAGTTGTGCAACTCGATTCCCCATTCCGGTGTGTCTTCCATAGGCGTAACAAGTATTTCAACGATACGAATGAGTGCTTGGCGGCCGCACCGTGCCATGCCATGCAATGGGTTTGTAGAAGGATCAGGACAGAGTTGTGTTTCCAGAGGAGATAGATATATGTTGAATTCTTTCGAAAATTGTTGAAGAGTGTGGACGGTCTCTGAACGTTCTGTTGAAGCACTGCTGTGTTGAGGGGATGTCGATGGCACTGGACCAAATAACACATCGTCGATTGACGACAGATGGGGTTGTGCTAGCACTTTATGCTTAGCTTTGTATGTCACAATACAAAATGACATCTCCGTAGGACCGACGTTTGGCTGAGGTTCCGTTACCATGGTAGGATTAAGATCTTCGTCGTCGACGTTAAGTGGAATGCGAGTATTTCGATGCGATGGGAGCAGATGTGAACCGGTTCCAACAGTCCCGCCTGACCTAGTTTCCAAGATCACAATCTGCCACCAAAGACGCCGCCGCATTTCACACTCGAAAGGAGAAAGACTTGTGTGTGTCCCGTCCAAGTGTAAGCCCAGCCGGCAGGCGATATTGATCACGACACCATTGAGAATCCACGGATCGTAGGAGCCATATCGAGTTTGCTGAAACAACTGAAAGAACGTTAGGCATCACCATTTCCACCACTATACAGGGAATGCTCGTGTTGGCTCACCGAATATAAAACTAAGCTCCGAAGTACCTCCAAGTTGTGGTTTCTCAAATAGTTTAGTTTTGTGAGGGTTAACCTTAAGCCGCGATCAAAGTTAGCGATGGCGTCAGTCTTGCTTTGACCTAAATTATCCCAATGTTCTTGTCGCGTTAAAGATCCAGAAGCCGTCAAGAATATGGAGAACATCAGAGCCTGTGTAGCCAACGGAATGCTTGTGAAGCTGTTCATAGAATCAATCACACGTGTCCTAAAAGTAGGCACGTGAATTATCTTCGTGAGAGGGTCTACACGCTCCAGGAACACGCTCCAGAGGACTTTGATCGCATTCTCTGAGGGGATACAGGTGAAAAGTTGAGACGTGAAGGACATGTTGAGAGAACAACTTTGCTGGGCCTCGCCAGGGGTCTCTGATTCTGGCAGCCATGTTGCTTGATCTAGCTCAACTTCTATGAGAGCCCGTATTGTTTGTAACTATATAGATGACAAGATTCGTAAGCCTCCAAATGCTCACAAAACTGGTGGTTTGCGAATCTCAAACCGAAGGTAGTGGCTGAATAACTCACGTCTTCAAATACAACAGTCATTGCTTTGCTGTCGCGGAACTCTAGGGTGCCATCCAACTTATGAACAAGTTGGCCTTTTGACCGTTGCGGCTGCGACTGCTTGCTGGCATCGGACTGTTGAAAGCTTCCCAATTCATCCGCCGAAGTTGCCTGGGATTCAGGACCGAAACCTAACTCATGGCGCTGAGTAGAATTGGGACCTCCAACATACTGCCTCAGAAGCGACTCAATCTGAGCAATTTTGTCGTGAAGCTCATGATGATTCCGCCGCCTTGGCCTTCGAGGTGGCCCGGGAGGCGGCTGCAGGCACTCATGCCCACTCTAGAGTTAACATTGACGTTAGCGGCCGCCGGTAAGGCGTTAGTAAAAGACTGGGGTCAACACACCGTGACACAAGCTAAGCATGGGTACTGTCGGTCACACTTTATTTTCCGCCGCCTACATTCAACACACGCTCGCCTACCCGTTGAACGGCGGCCGCTCGACGTGGTGGTAACGGCCTGGTCGGCGGCGGGCTCTTCGGCCGGTGGGGTTTCCATTCCTAGCACAAGCCGTTACGTAGTGAAGACAATAATGAGGACTACCTCCAGTGGCTCGGGCACGGAGATGAAGATGCTGCCGTGCCCCAGATGGTGTGCGCAAGACAGCGGTGTAAATTTTTGAGAGGGGGCTTTGGGGATGGAGAGGCCGGTGTTCATCATGGGGGGTCAGTTGGTGCCTAGCCTAAGCCGGATGTTCTCCTTCGTTGCCAAGAACGGCACGGCACGCCATTTGACGCACCCCTGTTGGGGGGCAGACTAAAGCCTCTGTCGGCTAGCCATACTGATCGCCATGCTTTTCAATGCTGGTGGCTTGGTGTTGGGAGCGGCACGGGTGCGACATTGGACGTAAATTGATAAAATATGCATCTCCTTCTGGCTTCCCATTCGTCAGCCTTTTAACCGTCTGTTCATTCAAGCTGAAAAGATGACAAGGACGAATCACATTCCCCGCCGAGATGACGCTAAGCCGGGACCGGAAATTTTTTAGAGCCCGAGGGCGCGTCGCCAAGAGATTTTGGAATGAAACACAAACACTTTAATAAATGGCAGGGATATTCAAACCAAGGGGGCAGAGTCCCTTGGGCGGTATGTAGCAACAAACCAAACCATCGATTTCAAGAAGAGTTTGTGCTCAGGGTGATATTGTTCGCCAATGACGCAAACCAGTGCTTGGGGCTTATGTTTACTGGTCTCACCACACTCTCACCCGTTTGGCCAGTTCCTTCATGATGAGGGATCCTCCAGATAAGGGTTAAGGAGATGGCTTATACTACATGAATCAAGGGGATCCAATTTTGAAGCCAATGCTTTCTCCTTGTAGGAGTGATCAGGCGTGACGCTGAGGAACTAGACGGCTTGAGGAAGAAGCTTCTGCCGTTTGCTTTTGTCTAATGTCGATCATCTGCTGCGACTTCTCCATCCTGCATTACACGACTCCTGGTGCAGCTGAAAACCATGATCTAGACAGCGCTAAGCCTGACGCAGGAGATTTTACTGGTTCCAAACCCCTTGCCAAGAGTGGCTTCGTGTCTCTGACCGCGTCATGTTTGCCAATTAACCACGGTCGTCCTGCCATTCAGCCTCTTGTTGCACTGCCGCGTTGTGATATCCGTCATAACACGAAATATTTAGAACCTGCGGTCCAAAGGGGCATGAAATTCATGTTGCTTTGTCTGATCCTTTTCACATCGGTATTCAAGCTTATCCTTATAAACTTTGCTTGATGCCTTTCTCCATGGGGAAGAGCCTTGCCTAGTCTTGAATTACGCCCTGTTCAGCATCCCCTTTCTTAACACAGAAAGCTCGAAGGCTTTGGCGGCTCATTTTCCATTTCTCTACATAATATCGAGGGTTCCTTTTCCTGGGCGATACTGTACAGCACCTGGCGTCTCGATTTCTCCACGCAGAATCCCGAGACGCAACTATGGCGAACAACGATACCTTCATTCCAACGTACGAGACTTGTACTGAGCTCTCCGATCGATGTCCCGTCGAATTTACAGCTTACGGAACCAACTTATCGAAGCCTGCTGCGGCGTTCTTCGGTATCGCGTTCGTAGTCTGTTTTATACTACAGCTCTACTTTGGCCTACGTGCGAGGACATGGTCCTTCATGATCTGGCTCGGCCTCGGCACAATTTTTGAGATTCTGGGATATTGGTCACGAACAAAACTTGCCGACAATCCTTGGGATAAGGATGCCTTCGCACAGCAGTACCTCACACTTCTCCTCGCTCCCACTTTGGTTGCGGCTGCGATTTCAGTCACGTTCAAGCACATTGTGTTGTGGTATGGTACGGAGTGGTCCGTAATTCGCCCATCGCTGTACCCCTGGGTCTTTGTCGGAACGGATTTCATCTCCATTTTCATTCAGGTGGTTGGTGGCGGTCTCACAGCAGCAAGCACTGCTGGATCGACAAACAAGACTTTGGCGCAAATTGGCGAGAAGCTGGTTATTGGAGGCGTGGCATTCCAGGTGGCCAACATGGTCTGCTGCGGGGCTCTCATGCTGGTCTACGTCATGAGGCGCAAGTCGTCACTCAAGAAAGGCACTCCTTTATCACGGAACCGCCACAACGAGCCCATGTGCCAAGATGCAGACGACCAAGAGATTTCACGTGTGCGCACATTTGTGTTTGCTCTTGCCGTGGCATATACTACGGTCCTAATCCGTTGTTCTTATCGGTAAGTGATCATTCAGCTGCATCTCATGAACTTTTAAACTAACATCCGCGGTCTGCCAGAATTGCTGAGAATATCCCTGCTATTTCCGTTAAGGTGCTACGAAATGAACCTCTCTTCCTGGTCCTTGATGGCGCAATGATTCTAATTGCTATTGGAACGGTTTCCATCTTCCATCCTTGGATTTTCTTCCCCTTCTTGAAAGAGTCCAAGTATCTCAAGGATAGAAGGAAGAGCCAACAAGACTACCGGATGCGTTACATTACATAAAGAGACTGCATTTGCAGCGGCTAGACAGAAATGTCTGAGCTAGGATTTCCACCCATATCATAGAAGGGTGTGTTGCTTTTCTTTTGGTTTCGTTCGATATGATGATGGCGCTTGGAGGAAATTGTAACTTTATTGGTAGTCATGGGAGTTTCTGAGTTGTAATTTTACACAATAGCTACCTGAAAGACTCAGAGGAACCACGTATATCGTTTTGATTTAGACTATAGAACTCGTTAATGGAGTGTAGTAAAAATGGCCGTGTCACTTTCTGTCGTTCACATGGCGCTGTTCCGACCCTGTAGTACCGTCATTTGAAATGTCCGACTGACAGCCGGCATTCTTACTGCATTCACACGACTATGTGGCAGTGTCATATGCGACGCCCAACTGATAATCAAGGTCGTAGTGCATACGCACTATGCTCTCCCCGGAGTGGAGCCCCACTACCGGCGCCGCGCCGAGAGGATGCACATGGACGAATCCGTTAAAAAGCGGGCCGTCAATTGGTGGGTACGGGCCGAGGCTGAAAGCTCGGACCATCAACCCGGCATCGATGGTCCGTGCAGGAACCACCTCAGCTTCAACCTCATCCACTAGATTCCCTGTCACGAGATGCATGAACCAGCAATCATATTACATAGAACGATACCCATTTCTTACTCGTGATCATGCTACTATCACATTTTTTCGGTTCTTTTATTACTCAAAGATTTTAATAATCCCCGCTCGGAACGGCAGTTGGGCCAACTTACAAGCTCTTTGAATCGTACAACACACCCATAACGGTCTCGCTACCAACCGCGATTCATCATACACATTACCCCAATACCCATATACCCAAACCAAACGGATAAACCATCCACCATGGGGAAACGCATCATCTTCACTGGCGGCTCTGGCTTTGCTGGTCCCTGGGTGATTCGAGAGCTCCTGCGGTACGGTCACGATGTGGTCAATCTTGACCTTATGCCGCTTGACAACCCTTTCGTCCACACCATCAAGACCGATGTGACCGATGCCGGTCAGGTCTACAGCGCTCTCCACACACAACTCCACTTAACCCAACCATTGGAGAAATCATCTATTCCCGACGCGGTCATTCACTTTGCCGGCTACGCCCGGCCGCTATTGGCGCCTGATAGCGAGATCTTCAAAGACAATGTCATAGGTATACACAATGTCGTTGAGGCGGCATGCAAACTAGGCATCAAGAAGATCATAATAGCAAGCAGTATTACAGTGTACGGCGTCACTTTCTCTGAAGGGCATCGGTCGTTCACTTCTTTCCCTATCGATGAAACAACAGACTGTAATCCCACTGACCCATATGGCTTATCAAAGCTTGTGGGAGAAAGGATTGCTAGAAGCTATGCCAGTCGCTTTGACGTTGACATTCATTGTCTTCGCATCGGCCATGTCATTCAACCTGACAAATATAATGAGGCTTTCACCAGCTATGTTAAGCATCCCGAGTCTTGGGATGTTCATGGCTGGTCTTATGTCGACCCCAGAGATCTTGGTCAGATGTGCCATCTTTGTGTGTCGTCAGAGGGTCTTGGCTGGCAGGTTTTCAATGCCACCAACAATGAGATAACAAACAATGAGAGGACAACTGACTTTCTGGAGCGAGTGAGTCCGCTGACTCCATTTACCCGGAGGATGGGTGATCACGAAGCTCCTATTTCAAACCGGAAGATTCAAGAAATGCTGCATTTCAAAGAAGAGCATCCTTGGCGGAAACACTTCCACGTCTCTAATGGTGAGAATGGAGCCAAGGAGGCACACGGATGAGTAGAAACACCAAGTGACATGTTGGTGTTATTGGCATTTGTCTCATGTTTTTTGTTCTGTCGAGAAGTCATGGACATATTGTACTCTTATCTCATTCCTCTTATACCATATTCATACCCTCACCTTACGTATATCAATCGCGCAGCATTCGGACCTGCTCAATTTCAATTGCAACTGTTTGAGTCTCTCAATTAAATAAACTAGAATAGCAGAGACAGCGAAACATATTTTCAATACTAAGTGGGGCATCAGCTACAGTAGTGGTGTAACAGTAGCGTCAGTAGTCCCTACAATGAGTGTGAAGCGAACATTGCCTAGAGTGGCTGATGTGCAGCCACAAATTACTAACATGGCTGAAGATGACTTTTTTTTTTTTTTTTTTTTTTTTTGCAACTAGTCTGACGAGCCAATAAAAGACATCTTAGCCGAGTCCTGCGGAAGATGCATTCCTTCCAGGTTACACCATCACCATACCACCTCACTGCGTTCCTGTGCTTATCTAATACCCTTGTGCTACTATGTATGCACCTTCAACGCGCCCCACCCCCACGTTCCGTCCCACCCTCAGCTGAGGTTTGTAACGGTATTTGTAAGGAGGCGTGTATCTTAGTGCCTGCAGGGAGGCTTTCCTGAAATAAACTAGTGTTGAACACTTGGATGCTGTAAGACCGATCTAAGCAAATGTATGCCATGTTCCTTACCAGCAACTTGTGCAGTAGACTAAAAATTCCCCAACTAATAAATTAGGTCCTTCCGTTGAACTACCGGGTTAATGATCCATTGTTGAGTAGTACTTGGAGGCATTCATGGGAGTCACATCCCCTGCGCCGGGCCTAAGTGCCGTGGAGGATTAGAGCAAACTCTCCGAAGTCATTCCGCTGACTTTACCCGCATCCACCCGTTTCCATCCTTGAAAGTTTGACAAAACGCAGAATATTTAATTTATTTCCAAGATCTTGAGATTTATGAGGGAATATTTTGCCCACGCAATGCAAGTTTGTAAGAATAACTGTTTCGCATCTATTGTACCCAGAAGACAAAGGAAAAATGAGCGGAAGGTGTCTAAATTAGGAACCTACATTACAAACGGCTTGATAGCCGCTAACACTTGAAGCCACACTTTAATCATGATCCATCGCCCCCTTCCCCCTTGTTGAATGGGGGATACCCCGTTTGCCACAAGGCAGCAGGCTCCTTCGACACGTAGGAGCCGAGAGGTCATGGATGCCAAGGCCCCACCCTTAAGGCATTAGTTCTTACCGCTAAGGACCATGCTGAAGCCGCAGTCCCCGATCTTCATCAAGTTGAACAGAATCACACCTCCACCTGTCTACTTATCAAGGGCCTGGCTGTGACACTATTTTCTCAAGTCAGCAATGGATACGAGAATAAAAGAGCATCATCATGACGTCAGACTCACCATGTGCCAATACAATCCTTTCTGACTCAACAACTCTTGGTGAGTCCCCTTTTCCAGCACTTTGCCCTCACCGAGGACGAAAATGACGTCGGCGTTTTGGACTGTTGCCAGGCGATGCGCGATACATACCATTGTGCGTCCCTTTCCTGCGCGCTCGAATGCCGCCTGGACTAGCTTTTCCGACTCAGAGTCGAGCGATGAGGTTGCCTCGTCCAGGAGGAGGACCTTGGGGTCCCTGATCAGAGCGCGTGCAATGGCAATGCGCTGCTTTTGACCACCCGATAACGAAAAGCCCTTGGAGCCGATATCGGTATTGTAACCATTTGGGAGTGAAACAATAAAGTCATGAATAGAAGCATCGCGGCATACTTGGTGTAATCGATCTTCCGAGACGGTTCCTGCTTCCATGCCGAGGCAAATGTTCTCGCGAATCGTGCCTTGAAACATGTACGGCTCCTGTGCAACCAGGGACAGGTTTTTACGATATTGCTGTGCATCGAGACTGTAAATGCTCTTGCCGTTGAAGAGAATATCACCCTTGTCAAGGGCGTAGAATCGCTCGAGCAGTGAAACAATCGAGGTCTTTCCACATCCTGAAGGTCCAACGAGCGCTGCGAACTGGCCCTTGTTGATGGTCAAGTTAATACCCGTGAAAACAGGGGTGTCGCGGGTCGGGTAGCGGAAGTGGGCATTCTTCAGTTCGATTTTGACGCCGCCGTCCGTATCGGGAATCTCCTCCGTCGAAGCTTGGCTGCTTTGGGTGCTGGACTTGCGCAAATCAGTGATGCGGTTTGCGGCGGCCGACGCCTGCGCAGCATTGGGCCCATAGCTGAGGCCCTGTCCGGCGGCTTCGGCTCCCTGCATGACTGCCATAAAGCAGACGAAGAAATTCAAGAGCCCATACTCGCGGCTGGCTAAAAGGCGGCCGCCGTACCAGAAAATGAGACCCTGGCAACCTATGTTGACGCTATCAGCGAAACCAAAGAGCACGCTGGTCCAGCGAGCCTTCTTGTAAGCCTTCTGTACGTGACTACGCAAGAGCTTGTCGTATCGGGAGTGGATCACATCTTCCATCGTGAGCGATGAGACCGTCCTAAAAGCACCAATGGCCTCGGCGGCGAATTTGGAGCTTTCGGCGAACACGGCTGCATTCATCTTCTCAAATTCAAGCTCGTACTTGAATCTCCAGTAGCCAGAAAATAGGCCGACAGGCATCGTGACAAACATGGCTACCAGTGCCAGCTTCCACCCGAAAGCAAAGGCAATAGATAGAGCTCCTACAATATTGAACACGGCCATAAGGAGGAATGCCATGTTAAGGCCCAAGAGTTCTTCAAGCTGCTTAGGGTCGCCAGCGACGCGGGCTACCAGTGTACCTTGTGAATTTTCGTCATTGTCGAAAAAGGCTGTGTTTTGGTAGAGGATAGACCCGAAATATTCCTTCTTGTAAATGGCGCTTATGTTGTGCTGCACATGCACCGAAATGGCACCCTGGAAAAAATAGCCGATGCCGACACCTGTGGCGAGCACAACCCACATGACGGACCAGAATCGACCCTCTGACCGAATTGTGTCCTTGTCGGCGAAGGTAAAGACTTGGAAAACATTCGCAAATAGCCAGGCCATCATGGGAGTTCCGGCAGCAGAACAGGCCGCGAAGAAGGCGATAAACACGTAAACCCAGCGGTTTTTCTGCTCTGCGAGGAGCTTGAAGAAATTGTTGAAGAGGTTCACGCCGGTAGACTTTTTTTGCTGCGCCTCCTCACTCTCTTCTTCTCCGGTGATGCTTCTCGTTTTAGCCACAGCCAGATCCTGTTCCGAGTCGGCCTCGCCACCGGTCACGTCCGCCTCGGTCGGCTGGCCAAGCGACAGCTTTTGCGCGACAACAAGACCATAGTATACACCTGTTTCGTCCTCTAAAAGACTCTCGTGCGTGCCTGACTCAACAACTTGTCCTTTTCGTAGAACGACGATTCGGTCGGCCTTTTTGATTGTCGATAGACGGTGGGCAATGGTGATTGTGGTGCGGTTCTTGGCAATGCGGTCCAAGGCGGCCTGCACGATCTTCTCTCCACGAACATCAATGGCGCTGGTGGCCTCGTCGAGAATAATTATTTTGGGTTTTCTGACGATACTCCTGGCGATAGCGATGCGCTGGCGTTGACCTCCAGAAAGTTTAGCTCCGCCGTCACCGACAGGTGTGTCGTAGCCTTCCGGAAGGCGATCAATGAACTCGTCCGCGAAGGCCTCACTGCACGCCTCCTTGACGAGTTGTCTCTGTTCATCCTCAGGTGCATCCTCCCATTCTGATCCGATCAACCCGTAGGCCACATTGCGAAAAATAGTGTCGTTGAACAAGAACGGTTCCTGCTGCACGAGCCCGATTTGAGAGCGCCACCACTTAAGGTCGATGTCGGTCAGAGATTTACCGCAGGTGGTGATACTTCCGGATAGCGGCACGATGGGTTGGGATTCCTCATTATCACTACTCTCTTCATTTTCAGCCGCTCCAAGAACGCCGTCCCCGGCCTCTTGCTTCTCCTTGTTGCCGTCTTCTTTCTTCTTCTTCTTTTGCGCATCCTTGTTCTTTTCCGGATCTAAGGTCTTTTCGATAACGTATTGCTCACGCAGGTCATACCACCTTTCGACGAGACCAACGATTGTGCTCTTGCCAGATCCAGAGGGCCCAACAATTGCCGTGTTTCCGCCCGCCTTGATAGTAAGATTGAGGTTGTCGAGGATCTTGACGTGTGGACGGCTCGGGTACGCAAATACAACGTCCTTGAAGACGATGTCATCGGTCGCGGAAACATCTGGCTCTTTCAGGTGGCCGGTATCGGGGCGGGGAGCATCTATGACGGCAAAGAACTCGCAGGCGGCGACCATGGCTTTGGAGACGGCCATGAGGGGGTTTGCGATGCGCTCGGTAGACATGATGATCATCATAACGGACATTAAGACGATGATGATGGTGCCGGGGTTGCTCATCTCGCCATTGGCGAATTGTTGCGTGCCGAACCAGAAGGCGAGGCCAAATACGGCAAAAGTGCCAAAGAAGACGAGTCCAAACTGCATAGCAAGCAAGGGTGCCGATCGCTGGCCCTTGACGCGGGCCTCGTCCACCCATTGAGAGTAGCGACTGATCATGCTTTGCTGCGCACCGCAGGCAGTCAGCATACGGATGCTGCTGAAAGACTCGCTTGCGACGCTATTGGCTTTGGCCTCGGCCTTTGCCTGCTGACTCTGCAACCGAACGACGAATGGCATCAGCGTGCTAACAACGATGAGAATGAAGACAATGATGGACGACGTAACCAGGGTTAGTTTCCAGCTCCAGATGAAGGCGACTATGATGGCGCACCAGATAGTACCGTTGAACTCCATGAAGGTGCCGAGCTTCTCTGAAATGCCGATTTGAAGGGTGTTGGCCGTTCCTGTGATGATGCTAGCTGCAGCACCTGACGGCATGGAGTCGAGAACGTGAATGGACTGGCCGAAAAGACATTGTATGTAGTGAAGGCGAATAGCTGAAGACAGCCGCACGCCAATCATTCGGAAGCAAAACTTGTTGATGCAGTTGAGAATGAAGCGACCGAGAAATAAGCCCAAGATGTACAGAGCCAGCTGATCCAGCAAATCTTCAAACTCGGACCGGGTCATGCGTGGAGGATTCATAAAGTAATCGGTGAACTGCCCAGCGAGACGACCAAACACGATGTTCATCAACGGTAGGGTTGTGCCTGCGCCAATAGAGGCGAGGGACGCGAAGAAGTAAATGACGATATCCCATTTCGTAGCGTAAGAGAAAACCCGAATGTAATCCTTGAGTATGGGCTCGCGTTCGACGTGTTTCCTGACCTCGGTCGCTTTTTTATGGCCTGGTAATGCAGCCACCAACTGAGCTGGTTTTTCTGTTATTGGTATTGCTTGGGGGTTTTCGGCAGCCATAGTAGCAATCGTCACAGTTGCAATATTCTTTTTGGCTGGAGGTTAAAGTTGGCGATGCACTCCTCTGCAATCAGGCAGAGGACTGACGGGCTCTGTGGATTGTGGTCGGCCTTGGCGATTTAGACGACACAATCACTGGGGTCTAGTTCGGTGCTGGAAGAGAGAAGCTCATCCAAAACAAATTATTTGGAAAACTCCCATACTCATTACCAAAGTACAAACGACGAATGTTGAAAGGAGATTTCAGTTACTGAGGGAAGCATACCTACCTGGGGCAAGCGGTGAGGATTTAAGGGACTCCAAAAGAAGCCATGTGGACGGAGACCAAAGTTATCCGAGCCCGCGGTGCGAAGGCTGACAGCAAAAACCGTGGCTTACCATAGGCAGTAAAGATTATACGAAAGGATGAAGTACGAGCCATGCATGCGCCAAGAGTCCAATCATGAATTCAGGAGTTGCTCCTAGTAGTGGGGCTTTTTGCATTAGAAAGTATAGGGGTGATTTGGAGAAGGGAGAGAAGAGAGAAGCTAAGACCATGTTAAGCATGCCTCAGTTCGCCGTCAAAATTATAATACTAGGCTGGTTTCTGTCCCGCGTGAAGTGATTCCTATTCTTCCCTTTTTCTCTTTGCTTTCTCAATGTTCTTGTTAATAGCAATTTTTTTTTTTAATTTTTTTTTATTTTTTTTTTTGAACATATATCATGATTACCTTTTTGGTCTCTGTTCGCATTCTTCATCGACTTTTTCTTCTTCTTTTTCTTGTTCCTTTTTATTATTTTCTGCCGTCCTCAATTTCGCCATTCACCTAAATATACAACCGTTGCAGCTTGCATTTGGAAAGCCAGCGGGCCAAGACTCAGGGAGGATGACCAGAATCCTTCATCTTGTGCCACCATGCCGCACCACACCACCACTTACAACAAGGAGTTGTTGCACAAACGAAGATAACAGCTGCAGGATCCAACAGTTCGCATGATTCTAGAATCAATGTAACTCAAACCTTGACTAGGCGGAGGAGTTTAAATGAATCTCGATGCGATGAACTGATCATCGCCAAGTTCCTTGGTTGAACCAGGACCCTTTACTGGATGATACCTTGATCCAGCGTTGCGGTACTGTAACAACTTTTCTAACCGTACAATGCTGATCTATGTCCGCATCTGGTCTTTTTTACTCCACCTCCCACAACTCGACAAATTCCCAATACGGCTTGATGACTTCCGGATTCTATGCTCTCCAGTCGAGTGCTACATGCAAGTGCTCTGGCGTACATTCATCATTAGTCACAAGAACCGTTATCTGGGGAACTTGGGAGGTATAAAGTGCCAACCCCAGAGTGGCACTTTTTTCTGTGACGTGCGTTTGTTATTAGCCAAAAAAAGCCTCTTGACCTGAGGAATCTTGAGAGGCTTGACGCCTGGTGGCGCATTTTGGCGCCCTGAAGTTTCTCCACACAGCGGATGCAAGGAGCAACGGCTCCATTTGCATTGCACAACGAGGCGGAAGTGTAAAGCCACACACGTTGCTGGCGTCCGCTCGCCTTATCCTTGTAGAGGCCAAGCCAAGGTGTCGTTGTACATTTGTTTCGTGGCGCAGTTCTCTGAGACTGCAGGATTCTCCCCAAAGAAATAAAGTGGTATCCGGCAGGCGAGATTTGCTTTTCCCTTCTGGCGGCCCCGACAGGTTTCATGGCAACGAGGCGACAGTACCTCTGCATTTTGATTGATCTGGTGAATGTCTCTGTTGCCAAATAAATCCTTCTGTAAGAGACATTGTCCTGGATTGGTGGAGGAAATTGAGGTCCCATTAAAGGCAGCCGACCAAGGCATCAACAGTGTCAAAGTGCGCCTTTTCCGAGCCACCTTCCTTAATGTCCCGGTAAAGAGACCGAATGGGCCAATTAGTAACTGGAAGCATTCCATGAGAACTTGGCTGCCGGGGTCTCCTGCATCGACCTTGGACGTCAGTGGGGTTGGTTGTATGTTGGCGGGTGCAGGGAGCGGAGGAGGCGGTAGGAATGGACGGTGGGTGGTGATGGAGCAGCAGGGGTAAGCCGGCAGTGGGGGTGCACCCAACGGATGGTGCTGACGTTCCTAGACCTGAACATTTGCGTCTGGTGCTTGTAAATCAGCTCTTCCCCTGCCCAGTAGTGTAGTTCCCGTAGCAAAGCAAAAATAAAAAAAGGGTTCCGTTGAGGCGTATCACTACATCCTACACACACCATAGTCTAGAAACCCTGATGATAGGTCGGTAAACATAAGATATACATCTGGCTTCTCGTCAACTCCCAACTCAGGTAGCATCCAGCTGCTGACGTGATGATTAGCCTTTCTTCAGAGCCACAAACCTTCTTCACTATGTACACGGTCTGACCTTGCCAACATGTCTTGGAAACCTCGACCCCCTCCATCATGCAACACTGCACACCCATCCTTCATGTCTTGGCCCCGCAGATGGCAAGCCAAGGAGTAATCCTTTGCATACACATCCCAATTAACAGTTACCTGCACTTGGCTGCCAGCATGCATACAGTTCTTTACTTCATATGGATCACCGGTGAGAAGGTAAAGAGGAATTCTTCTTGATGGCGCCAGACCTCCTAGCCCTACAGTTGCTCGAGATACATGGAGGACCCACGTGGGCGACTAATCCAGCACACCTATTAAACTTCTTCGAGCCCTCTCCTGCCACTATCCGCCTGTGGTCTCAAAGAAGAAAGGTGAATGCGTGCTTTCGAACCATGTCTTCTACCGAATTCGATACTTCTACGAGTCCCCAACGCAGCGAGACCACAGGAATAAGCTCTATAGCCCACGTCTACAACACCCGTCGATCACCGTCCGACCCGGCCGCCATGACGAGAAAGAGAGAACAAGATGATTCTGCTGGGGATGCATTCAGTACGTGCTACAAGCTGCCTCGTTGTCCTCGGAAGTAGTGGACCTCCGCCGCTAACAATATCCCGCGGTCAAGGCCAAAACTCGAAAGCAAAGCTTCAGAAGCTTCAAGAAAAAGTAAAGGTCCACCAAAACTGCGCAGAGGAGTCCATCAGGACGCAGGCGAGCAACACAACCCTACAGTTCACAACAACGTCCATGCCGGGGACCTCCATTTATCCAACGCCGGCGTTGCAAGATGACCCCGGCCTGGCCGTCGACTTCTTCATGAGTAAGCTGCCCATGTGCATCACGATAAATCTATGTTATACTCACGCCAGAAGCAGCTCCACCAGATCAGTTTGATATCGATTACTCACCATATAAGGCTCGAGATGCATTTGAAGGAACCCTTCTCAACTCGTTCCACTCGCCCACGACCTTCCCGAACGCACCGCCATTCTCGCCATGGAACACATTGTACGGCGCATACGGCTCTCATGAGCCACTGACGCCAGGACCGTCATGTTCAGCCTCTGACATGCTGACAGGATTTACACTGGAGGACCCATTCTGTCGGACAGAGAGTCTAGGAAGCCTCAGTACCGACAAGGACGCACAACCACGACTCTCGCCAGAATATGCCGAAATGACGCGGCCAGATAGCCAACGGCACGTCGGTACATCAGGTTCGGTTCAAAACCGTGTTCGTCATGTCATGGAGCAGGCCGCAGCAGTGGGCTTTGAAAACCTGGACGAGGTTCTCGCGGCATATTACACAGAAAATTTCGAAGATATGCCCTCACTCCATCAAGAGCAAAGGCTGAGCCGTAACAGACGGCTACCCTGGCTACTGAACACCCTCCACAGCGCGGCAAAGGGCTGGAGCGAATGGGAGCGGAGAGGGTTTCAAGAGCAGATTACGCAGGGCGGCGAGGAACTCCTTGTTCAAGAGCTCAATGCATTCGTCAGCCAACAAAGGCTGGGAGCAGACGGCAACAGATCCCCACATAACGACATGGGAGAAACGCGCACAGGGAGCATCGAGGACCTTGCCATCAGGCGGCAAAGGGTGCAGAACGATGTAAGTTACATAGCAGGCCCCAACCTGGACCCTCCAAATCCACGTTGCAGTGAAGACCCCTAAAAGCTTGTCGCTAACAAAAAATCTTGCCTTGCAGCTTCCGAATCTCTGGGCTCTCACAACAGCACTACTAGCAAAGGCGGATCCGTTCAGGCAGGAAAATCGTTCAGACACAGTCCTTGCTATTATCGAAACTCTTTGCTATGGTCGAGCGGGAAAACCTGGAACAAACAACGACCGGCCATGACCAAGAAGCCGGTTCTTGGGATGGAGACACTGCACTCCATACGTACACTCAGGACTAACGCTTTGGGAAAAATTGCCTGGAAAAGGTTACCGGGCCGGCCTCTGCTAAGTCTGCAACGTTTATAGACAACACTGTATAGAATCCTAGACAATGTTTCAAAACTATTTGACAGCCCAGAAGTGAATATTGTGACTAAGACTCTCAACGGGGGGGGGGGGGGGGGGGTGCTGCCACGCCTGTCAACCTTTTGCAGATTTGCTGCAAGGGGGTGAGCCGCCTGCATACTGGCTGCAGGAGGAACTTTGGAAGGCCAATCCACCGCCCCTTCGGTCACCACCCGCTCGATAATGCGGGCCGCTTGTGGCGTCTGCCGGCAGGGGTTGTGGCAGGTTAAGTTCTGATGAACCCCCCACTCATCATGGGGAGGGGGGTGGAGGGCCTCTCGGTTGCATGGACTTGGCGGGCTGGCGGGTAAGCAGCGGGCAACGAGGGTCATATGCCAGCATGAGATGTTCATATTCCATTATGTGGGGAATGACGCCATGTAAGCGATTACGGATGTCGGCCAATGGAACTGATTATGAAAATATGGGGTTCTTACGAAGTCATCGGCTTCTTTCCACATTCCGTTACATCTGTGATGGTGTTGGGGGAGTAGAATGGGAAAGCCGGGTCATCTACTTGCAGTTGTCCCACATATATAAATATAAAGCTTACAGTCTGAATGACTAAAAGCCCTGTGATGGCCAGTACCATGGTGTAAATAATCGTGGTAGCACGGCCATATAGACGCTAAGGAACGGATAGGGGGGCAGGGAGGAGGGGGAGTCCCTTTCAGCCAGCGTCCGTGGTAATGGTGTATAAAAAGTCCATGGGTTACGATTTCGAAGGGGGTTTAGATGCCAATGAAATCCAGACCGTTACAGTCAAAAGGCATCTTTTTTCAAGGTCAATGCTGCAGTGAAAATACGTTATATTAACGTGGAGATGGCCAGTAAAAAGACGAAGAGTACACCCTGTTGGAGCGACGGAGGCCAGAACATGGACCGTTCCAGTTTCCTCAACCCTGACAAGCGACGTTGCCATTATGTCGGGTGGCGCACGGAACAATCCACTTAAAATCTCCCATCATTATCCCCTTGACATCGTAGTGCGTCCCAATCGACGGCACCGGGCAGACTATCCGTGTGCCGTCTAGCACTCCTCGAACTCAAACCTCATGACAGGGCCCCATGAGTACCGTGTCACGAATGTCGATCTCCTGAAGGGTCTACACATCCTTGTCCTTCTGCCTAGCTAACATCCCAGTCTTATATGCCTTTGGGCAGCTTTATGTGCATGTTTGTGCTCCAAGCATTATTACAAACCGAACCAGCCTCCATCGGTTAAACGAATGAAGGCAGGTGCTTGAGTGGCGCTTCTGTTACATCGTACGCTGCAGTCATCTGCAGCCTGCATCTGCGAACACCTTTGGTTATACCGTCGGCTAGACTCAAAGCCTCCCCCGGAGCAAATGATGGAAAAGTGCCGGCAAACACCATCCGTGAGGGCTGTGAGCGGATTAAGCGGCAGGACGAAGAATTGCCCGTCTTACATTGTCTTACAATGTTGTCATTTGACTCACGTCACTCACCAAGAACCGTTGGCTCGACCACGATTCGGCACGCTATAGGATCAGACAGATTCGAACTCATCACATCAGGGATACTACTTCAAGCTGATCTATGTCCACTTTTCTACTGGTACTACAATTGGAAGTTCGGACCCCGTAACAAACATGTGGAGTGTACATGCTGTAAATGCAGAATCGCAATTATGGATACAGTCTTGTTTGACAGGAAGACCAATTTCCGCCCCCGCCCCGGCTCCGGGTCAGTTATGGTTGCTGTCGGTTACAACGGACTTTTGGAAAGGACATTAGCGGCTCAACTACATCCCCCTGACCTTGCCATCGCGATTTGCTCATCACACACTACATAGAACACAAGATTCAAGATGTGCCGCGCGGCGCGGGGTGGTCCGGATCCGGTCCAAGGATCCGCATCCATTAAAGTCCTGGGCCCTGGTATCCCACCATTACCCGCCCGTGGCTCGTACAACACCGGTATGGCTTCTTCCAAGGTGGGTCGGTATCTCGCGTACGCTGGTGGGTAGCATCGGCCACCCCATTCAGGATTCACCCAATCCTTCAACTTATGATTGATCTCCAGGTAGCACACCCACGCGGACTGTTTGTCACCAATGAGTTTCCTCGCCATCATGTTGCCGCCATTGTGGCTTAAGACCAAGCTGATGAAAAGTACACCTCCGAGTCATTTATCAATTCCTTAGGCGATTCCAAGGATTGCATATGACGCCATATGGAATGTCGGTCCAGGAACGTCGCCATAGGGCGAACCCGGTGAGGAGAGGGGGAAAAGAGATGACTGGTCACTTTCGGCTAACGTACGCACACCCCAGCACTTTGTAAGAATGAATCTGCTTAACGACACCAAGTGTGAATTAAAATATGAATTCATCCCTACTTTTCTCTCAAGCCACAACTGGATCTCCACTCCACATCCGAAAGAGTGCAGCAGAACTATCCGCTTTAGGTCATATATAGCGAACCAGATTTCAAGAAGAGGTAAATGATTTGCATTCACCGTCGGGTTAGCAACCCTGTGCTTGACTACCCTACCATTGATGGAACGGCGCTGTAATGCTCGGCCAGTTACTGCTTCACAAACAATTCAGAAATTACTACTTAGGCCGGTCTCATTGTAATTCAGATTCTTAGTAATATTCGATGCATGCTGCTCTCCGTTACAGAAGAAAGGGGTGTGAAGTTGTTTGGGACTGGGCAAAGTAAGTAGGCTACTGAAACAGCAAAGAAGGCGATCGACCGGGCTAACGGCAATTCAAGCATATGAAAAAAATGTAAGCCACTTTAGCCTTTTCACAGCAACAGAGATCAGATAACGGCCCGTTAGAGACACATTGTGTTTTGTTTCCTTAGCATGCTATTCGCCCAGCGCGCACTAGAGCGGTATAAAGAATTCTCCCTTTTCCCTTCTGAGTACAGATTAACACCAGAGCTTCCTGCACAGAGCACTCTTTTGGGGGTGACACGAGGTTGCCAAGACACACTAATGTGCTTTTTATCATTTGAAAGCCGCAGGTACCCACGCGTTGGGGGGTAAGACAGTGTTTACCTCAGCTGCATATGTTTGCACAATCCCACTCAATGATGGTGCTATTACGTGTAACATTGTAGTGATAGATAACGCGGTCAATATAGTCCATGTGATTCAAAAGATTCAATAATAAAATGGTTTTCGAGACAACACACACACACCTACACGTAGATGGTCGTCCCTTTGGTATGAAGGCTTGTGAGAAATGATGAAATTCTGTCAGATATTACATAAAAGTGACAAGCAATGCACCTCGACGAAAGGAGGATTCCGAAAACTACTTGCCTCAAGCTACCACTACTTAAAATCCCCTTCCCTTTGAGCAATAGTATCTTTACAACTCTTTCCCATTCCGGACCTTGGCACTGATTGAGTGAGACACGTTGATTATAGCGAAATATTTACATATTTTGCGAGCGCCTCCAGTTGTCCTTCGAGCTTTGTGATTCGACGATGACGGTTTATGATGAGACATTTTCCTCCCACCTGAAGAAATTCCCGCCATGTTTACTCGTGCTTTGAAGCAGGGTATGCGCTGCCCATGGGAACCTACACAAGTAATCTGAGCAACGGCACGTGTGTAAGGGTGGCGGTGTAGGAGTATGAGAACTTATAGATCATCCATCTTAGAAGAGTCATCTCTTGGGTGTATTTAAACTTAATTATGGGCCCTAATGAAAAGAAGCTCACTGTAGGGTTACGGACTTCATGTATCAAAGGTGTAGGTAGTAGTAGTTGAGACGCCACATGATTTGTCTAGTGAGGCATGCGGGATGTTTCACAAAGGTAAAGTCAAGTGGGAGCCTGGTGTTTTGGCCCCCACCATAGGGGTGACACAGCTAGTGTCAAACGATGAGTTATGGGCGGAAGTAAGACATCATGCCAAACAAGCACGAGGGTGATGGCTGGTGATAACAAGACAACTTTTTTTTTCTTTTTCTTTCATATTCTATGAGAAACCTGAAACATTCTAGCGATTATGTCCAAGGAAGATGACAATAAAATGAAAGAGGGAAGAGACCCAATGCAGACAATATTCAGAAAGACCAAGGTGAGAAGCTGTAGCTGCATAATACTAACAAAACAGTGTAAAGAGAAACAAGAGAGAAATTCCCAACCCAAAACCATAACCCCGAACGCCCGACGCCGGAATTTACACCCAATGCAAGCCCATCGTGTATCTGGACTGTCATGGCGGGCCAATTTGGACTATCATATCACAAGGCATGACCTTGTGTTTTTTTTTTCCTTTTTCTTTTTTTAGTGTCCTTTGGAAGTCTTCGAATGGCCGTTTGAAGCTTGGCCGTTGCCATTGTGCTGGTCAACTGCAGGGCCAACTAGATTGGCCTCCAAAGTTTGAATTCCGTCGCAGAGATCGAGCAGCATGTTATCGACTGTGGCCTCGTCGCAAAGCTGTCGGTTGACTCCGACTACAACCCGCAAGTGAATTCCATCGGGGTCGGGTATTCCCACAATATCCACATCATGCATGGAGACATCATCTACCGTGTGTCTGTCCAGAGAAGGGTCCACCTTACTGGGCTCTCGTTGATGAGCATCTCGTTCAAGGTAGCCCAGTTGGATCCGCTGATCCTGCTTCTCGCTGTGGGGGTGCATATCGAAGTTCTGGTATGCCATGTAGCAGCTGAAGTTGGCCCCCTTGTCGGGCCAATCCGTGCAGTTCTCGGCAATGTCTTCCAGTCCCAGCGTCTCGAAAGGTAAACTGTTCACGTACTGGTCCTGGATCTGGCGAAGAAGTTCTCTTGGCTTGGCAGACGCCTCCAGGTTGACTCGCACTGGGACGGCATTGGAGCAAGGTCCCACAATGTTTTGAATGTTGGTTGGCAAGCATTGTCGGCCGGAAACAACGCGACCAAAGACGAGGTCCTTGGATCCTATTTCCTGACCCAGCATGAGAGCACAAGCAGCCGTAAAGATCGTTGCAGGAGTGATGCCATCTGCATTCGCTTGATGAGGCGCCTTGATGATCTTTTCCGAAAGCCAAGTGCCCTTCTGGCGTTCATCCTTCTCGTGTTGATGAAGGTGGCCATTCTTGTTAGCCGCCTTCATGATGGTCATTGATGAGTTCTGAAGGACAGAGCGCCAGAACTTGTAACCATCCTCGCGACTGTCGACCATGTACTGAATGTACCGGGCAAACTTGGGCGGTGATGGCAGCCGCTCACCGATATACAATGTATGAAGAGCCCGGATGACATGCTCAAAGCTCATGCCGTCGTATACAGCGTGGTTCATTCGGAGAACCATGCGTACAGGTGATCCCGACTTCTTCAAAATAGCAATACGAAGCATGGATTGCCCAAGGCGAAGCGGATCGCGTGCATCCACTCCTACTAGATTGTGTGTTGCTTCGGTCATGTCTCCTTCGACCTCAATAATCTCGGTGGGGATGTCCAAATGCTCAAGGAGTACTTGATAGAACTTGGTGCCAGCAGACAAGAAAACCGTTCGGAAGATGTCGAAATGCTGGATCATAGCTGTAGATATCTCCCTGAGTTGCTTAGAGGACGTTTCGGCAGGGAAATCAATGTAGAAAAGCGCCGGAGCGCGCGGCTGCTGTGTAAGAGCATCGTGGATGAAAATCTTTTGTGACCATGTAGCTGGGTAGGAGTTCTGAATCTTGCCGTAAGAGGGATCCAGCTGGGGAACAAGCTCCTTGTGGACGAATGTTTCTGGGTCTTCCTCTGATAGAAGCTGGTATGGCTCCCTGTTTACCATGCGAGACGAACCATTGTTAGTTCCCTCTAATAGAGTATCCAGAATCTTTCTAGCAAGGTCGACGGGAACCGGCTTATCAAAGATGTCTTTGACGGTTACATGGATGTCCAAGCGTCGGCTGATTCGTGAGGCTAGCTTCGCTGCCATGAGAGATTGTCCGCCAAGGTCGAAGAAGTTGTCTGTAATACCAACTTCAACGCCAAGAACATCAACAAACTCCTCACAAAGGGCCGCCTCAACCTCATTGCGGGGGCTCACACGCTCCGAGGATGGCTTGCTGACAGGAGCGGCTTGTGCTTTGCGAGTAAGCTCACGCCGGTCAATCTTACCGTTGGCGTTGATTGGCATGCGGTCCAAAGCTATGATTTGCGATGGAATCATGTAGGGGGGCAATAGAGTCTGCAACTGTTCCCGGATTTGCGTTTCAACCTTACGGCTCTGGAGACGTTGAAGAGGGCGGTTCGTGAGGAGGTTTGCTGGCCGGCCTTGGTCCTCGGTAGGGAACTGGAACAAGACGCGGGAGCCATTGGTAGTACGGTAACGGTGGAAGACGGCGTCGATTCCGCCGCTCTGGGACCGTTGTCGTGCCCAACTGAGCTCAACGCGGAAGCCTGCTTCCTCGGCGAGCTGAGCCAGGTCTAAGGCAGATAGAGCCACGCGCTGCTCGGCAGCGCTGCGAATACCTGAGATCCAAGCTTCTCCATCAGTGGAGTTTTGAGATTCATCGTCATTGTCCAGCGACTCAACTATCAGTCTCTCGAACATGGTCTTGCTGTATGGCACGTTGCTGACAGCGATGGTGGGTGCACCAGATGAGGCCTGTAGAAGAGAGACAAGACCGTCTCGGTGAAGGGAGGCCGCCTGGAAGTCGATCCAAGATTCAGAATCAATCTTGTGAACTGGCAACGTGGGTTCTTCTGCGCCTCTGACGTGTACCACGGCTGCGTATCGGTATCTGCTGAGTTCGTTTGAGGCCTTCATCCGCTTGGGTAGAATTTCCACATGCCAGACGTGTGCCGGAATTTTGCTCAATAATCCTGTGAAGAAGGCTGGGTCAACCAGAAGCTCTTCCTCATTTTCCTCCAACTCTGTAATCTTTCGATGAACGCCTTCTTTGCTAACACCATCTCCCAAGGCTGCCAGTGCTCTGCCGGCGAGGAAGCCTTTGTTTATGGCATACGTTCGCATATCGCCAAAGAACAGGCGCTTAACACCCGGCAGCTGCGCAAGGTTCTGAATCACCTCTAGAAGGTAATCGGCCGAGGGGAAATATTGCGCGACTGAATTGGTGACGACCATGTCGGTGCGTGACTGAGTCACCTGGTCCAGCCGGCCAACATCTGTCGCTGTACCGACATGAACCTCAGCCTTATCCGCAAGTGCTGGGATTGCCTTGATGCTCTTTTGTACGAAATTGGCGGCTGAGCTAGATGGTTCAAGACCGACATAGCTCTCTAACCCTTGACCGAGATTGAACAGAATCATACCGGTACCCGTTCCAATCTCAAGCACCCGGCCAGCTGGCTTGCCGTCGAGCATGGCAATCATACCCTCGTCAAGCCATTCTTGCATCTCGTCTGTGTCGATCAATGTACCGTCATACATGGACGTCCAGCCCAAGAAGTCGTTACCAATGGCAGACTGGTCGATGGTTTCGAGGTCGGCATACGTGCCGATTTCGAAGTGGGTTTCCCATCCTTCCACCTGCTTGCTTGCCTCGTCTTGCGTGGAGTTGTCATCTTGCACAACGACGAAGCCGACCAGCTCTTGTTCCTGACCTGGTGGACGGCGAATAACGACAGCTGCATCCTGAACAACGGAGTGTTTCAACATTGCTGACTCCACCTCAGCAGGTTCGATACGATGACCACGGATCTTGGTCTGTTGGTCGATGCGGCCGAAAAATTCAATTTGGCCATCAGATGGTCGCCATCTAGCCCGGTCGCCCGTTCGGTACGCCCGTTCAGGTTCGCCACCGTTGATAGAAAGCTGTACGAACCGGTTTTCATTGAGAGCTTCATCGGTATATCCACGGGCAAGACCGTCGCCCGTGACGACAAGTTCACCCATTACACCGACGGAAACCAACTGTTGTTGCGAATCCATGATGTAGGCTCCAGAGTTGCTTACTGCCCGACCAATAGGCACACCATGTTCGAAGACGTCTCCATCTCCGACACGGTAGATAGTACTTGCGACTGAATTTTCCGTAGGGCCGTAAGCATTGTAGACTGCTGTTTTCACGAGTGATTGCGCATGGGTAGCATCTGACGGGTTCAGGCGATCTCCACCAAGGTATAGGATGTCCAGGGCGCCAATAGTAGCTGGAATGTTGGCAAGACATTGCTTGAGCAGTGCGGGCGAAAGCATTGCCACATTGATTTCTTCCCGAGCAAATACAACCTCAAGAGCTCGGCTGTCGAGGGTGGTGAAGTAGTCGATGCAGATGAGGGTTGCGCCATTAAGGAGAGCAGTATACATCTCCCATGCTGAGGCGTCGAATGCAATGTTTGAAACGTGCGACATACGGACGCCGTTTTCAGGAAGTTCAGAAACAATATTGCTTTGCTTCACTAGTCGAACCACGCCACGGTGTTCGACCATCACACCCTTAGGTCTGCCGGTGGAGCCTGAAGTGAATATGACATATGCTAGGCTTGTTGGCGATGGAGGTGAAGACTTGGAGGAAGTATTTACGCCATTTTGCCGGGACAAAGCGATGGCATCGGTTAAGGAGACGAATTCCACCTTAGAAAGACGAACGTCAGGTGTGGAGATATCGGCACCAAGTAATACTAGTTGAAGGTTTGGTACAGCCGATAGAATAACCTCCAGACGAGCGACGGGAACGTTGACGTCAAGAGGGAGGTAGGCCAGGTTTGCCTTCAGGATAGCAAGGAAAGCAACGGCTGTTTGACATGACCGCGGCGCAAGAACACCCACAATAGACTGTGCAGGCATTTTCTGTCCCAAGAGCCAGTTTGCTAATTCGCTAGCCTTTTCGTTGAGTTGAGTGTATGTAAGCTGCGAATAGGCATCCTTGATAGCAATTCTCTCAGGATGAGCGGCCACCTGCTCTTGGAAGACGTCTATAATGCTCGAGTCCCTTGGGTAGTTCGTCTTCTCAACCTCAAGAAGTCCCATATCATGCAAAGTGCCCAAACCGCTCGTGAGCGGGAGACTTTCAATGGGTGTCTGTGGTTGTTCGAGACCCCGACGAAGAACCTCTTGGAAAATATCGACGAGACTGCGGACGGTTGAAGCTTCAAATAGGTCAGCAGCATAAAGCACGTTACCACCAAGGTAACCGTCTTCTTGGAAGAGATGGAATTCGAGATCGAAACGGGTTGTAATGGCTGTAGGCAAGGGCTCGCTAGTCATGCCTTCGAGTTTGAGCCTTCCAAGGTCTTGTTGTGAGTGGACGGCAAACATAAGCTGTACTAGAGGGTTCCGTGAGGTGTCCCTCGACCCGGGCAGAAGCGCTGATACGATGCGTTCAAAGGGGACGTCTTGGTTCTCGAAAGCAGCAGTCGCTGTGTCATGGACCTGCTTGACTAGCCCCTCGAAGGAGTGGTCGTCAACGACAAGCCGCATGCATTGCGAATTAACGAAGAAGCCAATCATCTCCTCTAGTTCTGGGCGATTTCTGTTGGCGATTGGAGTGCCGACTGTCGCATCTTCGACGCCCGTCAAGCGGAAATGCGTGGCACGGAACGCAGCGAGAAGGGTAGCAAATGCAGTCACTTGGTGAGTGCGACAGAAGGTCTGAAGGCCTTCAAAAAGAGCACCATCAATGGTGACTTGAATGACACCTGCCTCTCCAGATAGAATAGACGGTCGTGGTTTATCGCAGAGGAGCTCAGCTGGGGAGCTATCAGCTAGCTGCTCAACCCAATACTCTAATTGTCTTTGATGCTCGATGACCTGGTCATCTCTCTTTTGCCATTCTGCGAAGTCGCGGTATTGGATAGGCAGTGGCGCAATTTGGGCCAAGGGATCTTGGCCTTGGAGTGCAGCATCATAGAAGATAGCCAGCTCTCTACGCAAGATGTCAACAGACCAACCATCAGAAATGATATGGTGCATAACAACAGAAAGAATGAAATCTTCCTCCCCAAGGCGGAAGAGCGACACTCTCCATCCTGGCTCAGTAGATAAATCGAATGGGACCTTCTGCTCCTCCTGTAGTAGGTGCAAAGAGGTAGTAGGGTCCTTGTTTGATACGTCGATAACTCTCAGGGCCTTGGATTGAGGCGCATGGACAATTTGCACACCAACTCCATCTTGTTCCTGGAATGTTGTTCGAAGCGTCTCATGTCGCTTCTCCAACGCATGGAGTGCGGATGTTAGGGCTCCAGTATTGAGCTGCCCACGCATGCGTACAGAAAGAGGCATAATATACCAAGCACCGCCAATGTTCAACTTGTCTAGGAACCAAAGGCGGCCTTGGGCAAAGGACTGTGCCACAGGTCCGCTGTATGGTTCTGGTTTGATGGGCTTGTGGAGGGAGGATCCAAGCTGAATGACGGCTGCTAGGTTCATAAGAACAGGCTGATCGAAGACATCCTTCACGGAAATTTGAGTGTCAAGCCGGCGGCTGATACGGGCTGCAAGCTTTGTAGCCATGAGGGAATGTCCACCGAGGTCGAAAAAGTTGTCTGTGATGCCGACTTCGACGCCGCCGAGGAGATCAGTGAATTCCTCGCAAAGTGCTGCTTCCACTTCGTTACGGGGAGCCACACGTTTTGCGGCTCCGTTGCTCCTTGGTGCAATAAGAGCTTGTTGACCTAGTTCGCGGCGATCAACCTTTCCGTTTGCATTCAACGGCAGTTGGCTGAGTACGATAATCTGCGCCGGAACCATGTAGGGCGGGAGAACGGTTTGTAAGTGCTGGCGGATTTCTCTCTCGGTATCCCAGACAAACTGTTGTTCGTCCTCGCAAGTTTCAACATCCGTATTATCGGCGCTGTTGGGTTGTTTGACTGCAACGAAGCCCACAATGTCTGCATCCTGGCCTTCTTCCTTGCGAAGAACGACAGCAGCGTCGAGGACCTTGTTGATACGGAGCATTGCTTGCTCGATTTCAGCGGGCTCAATTCGGTGGCCACGGATTTTGACTTGCTGATCCATACGGCCGAAGAATTCAATCTGGCCATCGCGCCTGTATCGAGCACGATCTCCTGTGCGGTAGGCCCTGATAACTTGCCCGTCAATTTCAACCTGCACAAAGCGGTTCTTGTCCAGGGCTGAGTCGGTGTAGCCTCTTGCTAATCCGTCTCCAGCCACAACCAACTCGCCCATGACGCCAAGAGGGACGACTTGGAGACGCGAGTCCATGATGTAGGCTGAAGAGTTCGTAATAGACCTTCCAATAGGCACGCCATTAACACATTGCTCGTTTGTACTCATTGGGTACATAGTACTAAACGTCGTGTTCTCGGTTGGTCCATAAACATGGTTAAATCTCTGCTTGACTAACTCGCATGTTCGGAATGCATCTGTCGGTCGCATTGTTTCGCCGCCTGCAAACAGCAAGTCCAGGTTGCCAATAATGGACGGTTGTTCTTCGAGGAATTGCTTCAAGAGGGCGGTTGTGACGAAGGCTGCTTTGACGCCGTGGGCCGAGAGGGCTTGACCAAGAGCAGAAGGATTTAGAACCGTCATATGATCAATGCATACTACCGTGCCTCCGTTCAGGAGTGGCGCATATATTTCCCATGTGGCAGCGTCGAACGCCAAGTTCGATAGATGGGCAATTGGCTGGGCTGCCTGGGCCTGTGTCATCAGATTGGTCGACTTCACAAGTCGCACGATACTGCGGTGTTCAACCATTACGCCCTTGGGCCGACCAGTTGAGCCGGAAGTAAAAGTAACGTAGGCGAGACTGGTAGCACTAGCGGGGGCGCTCAGGCTGTGGTCGAGAGGGTTGACAGTTTCTCCCAGTCTTTGTGCATCCCCAATTCGTACCTGCTCAACATCCGAGGACTCAATTGTCAGAGCTGGAACCTTAGCGCCGAGTAGAACCAACTTGTGGCCAGGCACAGCATCAAGGATAGCTTCGACACGTGCGGAAGGAATATTGACATCCAAAGGGAGATAAGCAAGGTTCGCCTTGAGGATACCGAAAAGAGCGACAACGGTTTGGCACGAGCGTGGTGCCAACACCGCAATCAAGGTCTCAGGCGCAATCTGTCGGCTTTGAAGATAATCGGCAATCAAATCGGATTGCTGATCAAGCTGGCGGTATGTAAGTTGAGAAGAACCATCAATGACGGCGATCTTATCCTGATGTCCCGCTGCTTGCTCAGTGAAAACATCAATGACACTCGAATCGCGGGGGTAGTTTGTTGTCTGCATGTCGAGCAGGCCAATCTGGCGTAATTCAGCAAGCCCATAGGTGAGTGGCAAGCTTGAAATAGGCGCCTCTGGTTGCTCAAGTCCCTGGCGAAGTATCTCTTGGAAGATATCAACTACTCCACGAATTGTTTCTGGCTCGAACAGGTCGGTTGAGAAAATAGCGTTGCCACCCAAGCAGCCTTCCTGCTGGGCAAGATAGAACTCAAGGTCAAACCGAGTCGTAGGCTTCATCGACAGTGGTTCGCCCTCAAGGCCTTCTAACTGGAGCTTTCCGAGATCTTGTTGCGCATGAAGTGTGAACATCAACTGGATCAGAGGGTTGCGAGATGTATCTCTTGACCCGGGTAGCAATGCAGACACGATGCGTTCAAACGGAACATCTTGATGTTCGAATGCAGCTGTGACTGTGGATCGGACTTGGTTGACGAGAGTGCTGAATGAGTCTTGATCCGAGACGGCTGTTCGCATACACTGTGTATTGACGAAGAAACCGATCATTTCTTCAACCTCTGGTCGGTTACGGTTGGCAATAGGCGTACCAATTGTCGCGTCTTCAACGCCTGTTAGACGGTAATGGGCGGCCCGGAAGGCTGCGAAGAGAACAGCAAATGATGTAACCTCAAAGGTTCGGCAGAAAGCCTGAAGCTTTTCATAAACAGCTCCCTCGACCTTGAATTGAATAACACTGGCTTCGCCTGACAGGTTGGAAGGCCGTAACTTATCGCAGAGAAGGCTAGCCGGCTGGCTTCCGTTAAGTTGCTGTTTCCAGTATGCTAACTGTCGCTCTTGTTCAGCCACTTGTGCTGATTGCTTTTGCCAAATCGAGAAATCACGGTATTGTATAGGAAGTGGCGAGATCTGAGGCTCTTTGCACAGAAGTGCGGCAGTGTAGAATGTAGCCAGTTCGCGTTGAAGGACGTCAAGAGACCAACCATCGGAGATGATGTGATGCATGACAACGGAGAGTATGTGATCCCGGTCTCCTAGTTGGAATAATGTGACGCGCCAGCCCGGTTCGGAAGACAATTGGAAGGGCGTCTTCTGATCCTGGTGTAGCAGCTCCATAAAATCTCCTCCAGCTGGGACCTTGACAGTCTTGATTTGTCTGAAACGGCATGGGTGAATGACTTGCATACCAACGCCATCGTGGCCTTCGAAAGTTGTTCGGAGGGTCTCGTGACGTTCCTCAAGGGCATATAGTGCGGTCCTCAAGGCAGTAACATCCAGTCGCCCACGCAAGCGAACTGCAAGAGGAACCAGGTACCCTGTCGCACTAAGGCCAAGTTGCTCGAGGAACCAAAGTCTTCCTTGAGCGAAAGATTGTTCGACGGGCCCTGAGTATTTATAAGCCTCAATTGCTCTATGTTGTTCTGAATCTCGCTCAATGATAGCAGCGAGATCCGCAATCAGGGGCTGATCAAAGATATCCTTCACAGACACGCGAGTGTGGAATCGGCGACTCAAGCGTGCTGCAACCTTTGTTGCCATAAGAGAGTGGCCACCAAGGTTAAAGAAGTTGTCAGAAATTCCAACTTCAACACCGAGGATGCTGGCAAATTCCTCACACAGGGCAGCCTCAACGTCGTTACGAGGTGCAACACGTTCAGAAGTGTTGTGTTTGTTAACTGCCAACTTAGCAATACGCACAAGTTCGTGACGATCATTCTTGCCGTTGGCATTAAGAGGCATCTTGTCGAGGATGATGATCTGAGCGGGTACCATATATGATGGGAGAAGAGATTGGAGACGCTGCAAGATGCTCTTTTCCGTCTCAGTGGCTGCGTCAGTACCAGCAGCCACTCCTTGGGCGACAACGAAACCAATGACATCTGCCTCCTCATCTTCCAGCTTTCGGAGAACTGCTACCGCGTCAAGCACAGAGGGGTGCCCCAACATAGCTTGCTCAATCTCAGGAGGCTCAATACGATGGCCGCGGACCTTGATTTGCTGGTCGATTCTGCCAAAGAACTCGATTTGTCCATCACCAGGGCGGAAGCGAGCCCGGTCGCCGGTTCTGTAAGCTCGGACAAGCTTGTTGTTGACAGAAATATGGACAAAGCGGTCTATATCGAGGGCTGAGTCGGTATAGCCTCGCGCTAGACCATCGCCGGTCACTAAAAGCTCGCCCATAACACCCATTGAGACAAGTTTCTGACGTGAGTCAACAATGTAGGCTCCAGTGTTATTCAAAGCACGTCCAATAGGAACGCCGTTAACAAAGTCTTCGTCTCCGTTGACGGCATAGGCGGTACTCGAGACCGTGTTCTCGGTTGGTCCATATGCATTATACACATTGACCTGTACCAGCTCCTGAAGCTTCAGGGCGTCGCGTGCATCAAAACGGTCACCAGCAGCCAAGATGATATCCAGGGCGGCAATGGCAGCAGGCATGTTGGCGAGACATTGTTTCAACAGTGACGGTAAAATCATTGCTGCTTGAACTCTTTCGCGAGTGAAGACGGATTCGAGGGCCTTACTATCCAATGTCGTATAATAGTCGATGCATACTACCGTTCCGCCATTCAGGAGCGCAACATAGATTTCCCAAGTTGAGTTGTCGAAAGCAGTGTTTGACAAGTGTGCTACACGGGGGGCGTTGGGCAGCTTGTATACTTCGCGGCTCTGTCTGACCAGCCTGTTGATTCCACGGTGCTCGATCATGACTCCCTTCGGGCGGCCAGTTGAGCCAGATGTGAACATGACGTATGCTAGGCTGTTTGCATGAGGTCGGGTATAGCTGGCTTTGTGCGTATCATTCTCCTTGTAGGCAATGGCCTCGGCAAGCGGTACCAGCTCAACGTCTGCAGTGAGCGACTCAGGTGCTGTCACGCCGCTTCCAACAAATACCACCTTACGCCCAAGAATTGTTGAGAGAATTGTTTCATTTCTAGCGGCGGGCACATTGACGTCGAGTGGCAGGTAGGCTAGATTGGCCTTCATAATGCCAATAAATGCCACAATGGTTTCGCATGATCGCGGCGCGAGAACACCGATTAAGCTTTCAACAGGAAGCTGGCGCTCGCGTAACCATGCTGCAAGTCGATCGGAATGTTCGTTCAGCTCGGCATAGGTGAGTTTTGACACTGAATCAGTGACAGCCACCGCCGTCGGGTGAGAGGTAACTTGTTCAGAGAACAAATCGATCACGCTAGCCTCCCGTGGATAGTCTACCTTCTTAATGTCAAGGAGACCAAGATGATCCAATGCTGACAACCCGTCAACAAGTGGCAGGCTAGCAAGAGATACATCAGGTTGTTCAAGACCGTTGCGCAACACTTCCTGGAATATGTCAACAATGTTTTGGACGGTGTCTCGGTTGAACAAGTCGGTAGCAAAAAGGACAGTGCCACCAAGGCCTTCATCCTCGTGGAAGAGGTGGAATTCGAGATCGAATCGGGTAGTAGGCGCCATGGGAATTGCCTCGCCTGTAAGGCCCTCAAGCTGAACCTTGCCAAGGTCCTCTTGTGAGTGGAGGGCAAAAAGAAGTTGAACAAGCGGGTTCCGTGATGTATCTCGCGAACCGGGGATGATGGTAGACACAATGCGTTCGAACGGCACATCCTGGTTCTCAAATGCTGATGTAGCGATTGACCGAGTCTTTCTCACGAGGCTGTCGAAGCTTTCTTCCTCGCCTTCAATTGCAATCCTCATGCATTGAGTGTTGACGAAGAAACCGATTAATTCTTCTAATTCGGGTCGGTTGCGGTTAGCAATAGGAGTGCCGATCGTGGCATCCTCTGCACCTGTGAGCCGGAAATGGGCTATACGGAATGTGGCAAGCAAAACTGCAAATGGCGTTGTGTAGTGGCTGCGGCAGAAGCTTTGGAGACTCTCGTAGAGAGAGCCCTTAATGCTTAGCTGAACAACACCTGCATCCCCAGAGAGGACATCCGGACGAGGTTTATCGCAGAGGAAACTTGCTGGCTGACTGCCGTGAAGCTGGTCTTTCCAGTAGGCTAGTTGAGATTCATGTTCAGCCACCTGTGCCTCTTCCTTCTGCCATATAGAAAAGTCGCGGTATTGAACGGGAAGAGGGTTGGCCTGAACATGAGCAATTACATCATTGCCTTGCAGAGCGTTGGTGTAGAACTGGCCCAGTTCTTTGCGCAAGATATCAACTGACCAGCCATCAGAGATGATATGATGCATGACGACTGATAGAATGTGGTCTTCGCTGCCCAGACGGAAAAGGGCCACTCTCCAGCCCGGTTCTGATGTCAGATCAAACGGAGTGGTTTGCTCCTTGCTAAGGAGTGTCTGGTAGCCGTCGTTTGAAGCAGAGACGTCAATGAGTCTTAACGGTTTAGCCTGGCTTGGCAGGACAACTTGCATGCCGACACCATCAACATCCTTGAAAGTAGTGCGTAGGGTTTCGTGCCGATCTTCTAAGGCTTGCAGAGCGGCGCTAAGCGCGTTGATGTTAAGCTGCCCACGAAGGCGGACTGCAAGTGGCACCAGATACCAGGACGCAGCAATCTCAAGCTGTTCGAGGAACCACAGACGGCCCTGAGCAAATGACTGTTCCACTAGCCCGGTGTATGGCTTCGCGATGATGGGGCTGTACTGAGTTGAGCCTCGGTTGATGACACTTGCAAGGTCGGCTAGAACTGGGTGATCAAAGATGTCCTTGACAGATACACGTGCGTTAATACGACGGCTGAGACGAGCAGCTAGCTTCGTTGCCATAAGGGAGTGGCCGCCAAGGCTAAAGAAACCGTCAGTAACGCCAACATCGACTCCTAATACGTCAGCGAATTCCTCGCATATGACAGCTTCAATCTCATTGCGTGGCGGAACACGCTCAGAAACAATAGCCGAGGTCCTTGAATGATCTGCTGCTGCTTCTTGGGCCCGGCGGGTCAGCTCGCGACGATCAACCTTGCCGTTGGGGTTGAGAGGCAAAGTATCCAGTCGGAAGACTCGGGAAGGAACCATATAGGATGGAAGTGAGCTCTGCAGTTGCTCGAGGAGACCCCTCTCGAGTTTAGAGGCGAATTGTTCTTCTCCTGTGGTACCATTCTCTTTTACAGCGCCGTTGGTGTACTGGGCTGTGAAAAATCCGACAAGTTCCGAGTCTCGCCCGTCTTCCGGCTTTGAGATCACGATAAATGCATCGTCGATTCCTGGATATTTTGCCATGGCTTGTTCTATCTCAGCAGGCTCGATTCTGTGGCCTCGAACCTTGATCTGCTGATCCATACGTCCGTGGAATTCGATTTGGCCGTCCGTTGCTCTGAACCGGGCGCGGTCACCCGTTCTATACGCACGAACAATCTGACCGGCAATAGAAACGTTAACAAACCGGCTTAAGTCTTGAGAGGCATCGGTATAACCGCGTGCAAGACCATCGCCTGTCACCACGAGCTCTCCCATGATGCCGGCAGGCACAAGTTGCTGTTTTGTATCCATGATGTATGCCCCAGAGTTGCTTATAGCTCGGCCGATAGGGACACCGTTAGTGCATGGCTCCTGTGCATGCATTTGATACATTGTACTAAACGTTGTGTTCTCCGTCGGGCCGTACACGTGACAGAATGACTGACGCACGAGTTGAACAGCTCTGTGAGCTACGTGCGTCTGCATCCACTCGCCACCTGCAAACAACAGGTCAAGACCGCTAATAATTGAAGGTGCATCGTCCAAGAACTGCCTTAGTAGGGCTGTTGTGAAGAATGCGGCAGTGACTCTCTTGTTAGAAAGGACTCGACCGAGCTCTGCAGCGTTGAGAACAGTCATGTGGTCAACACACACAACCATACCTCCGTTGAGGAGTGGGGCGAAGATCTCCCATGTAGCGGCGTCAAAGGCTAAGTTGGAGATGTGTGCAACGGAAGATACTGCCTGTGTGTTTGGATGCAAGTTTGTATCTTTTACCAGACGAACAATGCTTCGGTGCTCAACCATAACACCCTTAGGTTTGCCAGTAGAGCCAGAGGTAAAGATAACGTACGCGAGACTCGAGGCAGTGGGATGCGTTATGGTCTCTGCCGTGTTATCCTCTGCATTGTTGAGGCTGGTAGATTGGTTGAGGGCGGCATGGATCGACACTAACTCGGTGTCGGGCAGTGCGATTTCCGTAGAAGTGTCCGGACCAACCAACACTAGCTTTTTGCCAGTTACAGATGACAGAATTGCCTCCACGCGTGCGGCTGGTACGTTGACATCCAGTGGAAGATAAGCCAAGTTTGCCTTGAGGATAGCAATGAAGGCAACAATTGCCTCACAGGAGCGAGGTGCGAGTACTCCCACAAGCGTCTCAGGGGCTAGGTGACGGTTCCGCAGCCAGTTAGCAAGTCTATCAGACTGTTGGTCTAGTTCCGCGTAGGTAAGCTGCGATTGTGAAGACACATCTGCAGCAGCGATGTCGTTTGGCTTCTTGAGGACTTGTTCACGGAACAAATCCACCACACTTGCTTCTCTGGGGTAGTCGGTCTGTTCCATTTCAAGGAGGCTTAGCTTCTCAAGACTCTCTTCAGCATGAGCGAACGGCAATGCTGTTAGGGAAGTTGTTGATGTCTGAAGAGCTTGTCGAAGAACTTCCTGGAATGTATCGACCATACCGGTAATAGTTGCAGGTTCAAAGAGATCCGAGGAAAACAAAACTGTTCCACGAAGTCTTCCTGACTCCTGGAACAAATGGAACTCGACGTCGAAGCGAGTTGTGGCAGCACTGGGAAGAGCCTCAGTGCTCTCAAGACCTTCCAACTTGATTTTTCCAAGGTCTTGTTGCGAATTGAGTGAGAACATAAGTTGAACCAAAGGATTACGGGATGTGTCTCGAGTTCCGCTGAGTAAAGCAGATACGATACGCTCAAAGGGAACATCCTGGTTTTCAAAAGCAGCAGTTGTGGTAGACCGGACCTGTTGCACCAGGCTTTCGAATGTCTCATCCTCTTCAACCGCAATTCGGATGCATTGAGTGTTGACGAAGAAGCCAATAATATTCTCGAGTTCAGACCGATTACGGTTAGCGATAGGAATGCCGATCGTAGCATCGTCTACCCCTGTGAGACGGTAGTGTGCCACACGGAATGCAGTCAGCAACACGGTAAACGACGTGGTGTGCTGAGCCCGGCAGAAGGCCTGCAAAGCATCATAATCGGCACCATCAATACTGAACTGTACAGCATCTGCATTGCCCGAGAGAATAGGCGGTCGGGGTTTGTCAGCCAGTAGTCGAGCTGGTTGGCTACCTTGAAGCTGCTTTTTCCAGTACTCCAGTTGACGGTCATGCTCAGCTACTTGAACTTCCTGCATTTGCCAGTTGGTGAAGTCGCGATATTGAATAGCCAGCGGCTTGAGGCTTGCGAGAGGATCCTGTCCACGGACAGCCGTAGCGTAGAGACCCGCCAACTCACGTTGTAGAACCTCGATAGACCAGCCGTCAGAAATAATATGGTGCATGACGATTGACAAAATGTGCTCATCTTGTCCCAACTGCAATAGCGCCACACGCCAGCCTGGTTCCGTTGCCAAGTTGAATGGAGTTGCTTGCTCATGATGAAGGACTTCCTTGTAAGTCTCATCGTTGTCTGCCGAGAGATCAATGACTCTCAGCGTCTTGTCAGGGCTGTTGCTATTGTGAACGACTTGAACGCCTACGCCATCATGTTCGTCAAAGGTCGTTCGAAGAGTCTCATGTCGCTGCTCGAGGGCGTGCAATGCCAGTTTGAGTGCATCAATCGAAAGTGGCCCGCGCATACGCAGAGCGATAGGCATGAGGTAGGACTCGCCAAGGTCGAGTTGGTCGATGAACCACAAACGGGCTTGAGCAAACGATTGCTTGACTGGCCCGTTATAATTCGTTGAGTCGATGGGAGTGTGTTTGATAGAACCTCGGCGGATGGTAGCTGCAAGGCTGCTAAGAACCGGGTAATCAAAAACGTGCTTGACAGACACATAGGCGTCCAACCGACGACTGAGACGTGCTGCCAACTTCGTAGCCATCAAAGAGTGGCCACCAAGATCGAAGAAGCTATCGTCGATACCAACTTCAACACCGAGTACGTTTGCAAACTCTTCGCACAACACTGCCTCGACGTCGTTACGAGGGGCTAAAGGTGCCGAAACATTAACAGTAGCAGTCGTGTCGTAGGTGGTCTGGGCTTGGTGTGCGAGCAACCGCCGATCAACCTTGCCGTTCGCGTTAAGAGGCAGTTGGTCCAGAACCACGATCTGTGCCGGTACCATGTACGGTGGTAGTACGGTCTGTAGCTGCTGGCGCATAGCCTTTTCTGTTTGGGTGGCGAAGAGCTGTTTCTCGGTTTCCCTGTGCTCTGGAGCGACGCCGTTGGCATAAACAACAGCAACGAAGCTCACAATTTCCGTTTCCTGGCCCTCCTTTTTACGCAAGACGACGACGGCGTCACGGGCTACGGTGTGCCTGAGAAGAGCCTGCTCAATCTCAGCTGGCTCCACGCGATGGCCTCGGATCTTGACCTGCTGATCCATGCGGCCGAAGAACTCGATTTGCCCGTCATTCCGGTAACGAACTCTATCGCCGGTGCGATATGCGCGTACGGGCTCTTGGTCGTCGATGCTGAGCTGGATAAAGCGATCTTTGTCAAGGGATGAGTCGGTGTATCCTCGCGACAGGCCATCGCCAAGGACGACAAGTTCACCCATAACACCGATTGGGACGGGTTGTAGGCGAACATCAAGGACGTAGGCTCCTGAGTTGCTAACAGCCTGTCCAATGGGGACACCATTGACGTAGGTGTCGTTTTCGCTAACTTCGTGAATAGTACTAAGAATCGTGTTCTCAGTTGGGCCGTAAGCGTTAAAGACACTGCCAGCGGTAATAGACTTGACTTCGATGGCATCACGAGGGTCAAACCTATCACCAGCGGCGAACAGCTGTTGGACAGATTTGAGCATGCTAGGGGCTGTAGTGAGACATTGCTTGAGCAGAGCGGGCGGGAACATGGCTGCAGAGACCTGTTCACGTTCAAACAGGGCGTGCAAAGCCTTCATGTCCAGTGTGGTGAAGTAATCAACACAAACGACAGTCCCACCATTGAGCAATGCCGAGTAGATCTCCCACGTTGCCGCGTCAAAAGCAACGTTGGAGAGATGTGCTACCCGAGCATTCTGTGGCAATTTGGCCACTACATTGCTGTTCTTGACCAGTCGCACGATGCCTCGGTGCTCAACCATGACACCCTTTGGCTTACCAGTTGAACCCGAAGTGAACATGATGTATGCAAGACTCGTTGCTGACGGTTGCGAAGTGGTGGCCGAAAGGTCCTGTGAATCCTTCAGAGCCTGACCGAGTCGTACTATCTCGACGTCAGCTGGCAGCGAGTCGTGAACAGGCACTCCATCTCCTAGGAACAGTAACTTGCGTCCCTGAACTGACGACAAGATAGACTCAAGACGAGCTGATGGGACGTTGATGTCTAACGGAAGATAGGCTAGGTTTGCCTTAAGGATACCGAGGAAGGCAGTAATAGTGTCACATGACCGAGGCGCCAACACACCTACTAGTGCCTCGTCTGCCAGTCCCTGGAGTTGAAGCCATGCTGCAAGGCGATCCGAGAGTTGGTCTAGCTGCGCATAAGATAGAGCCGAGGAGGCATCGACAACAGCTTGGAGCTCGGGGTGATCGAAGGCTTCCTTGCGGAAGAGATCCACCACACTGGAATCTCTTGGATAATCGGTCTTCGGAATTTTAAGCAAACCCTTTTCGCGTAGTTGAGCCAGACCATCAGGAAGCAGCAGAGAAGAGATCGATGCTTCAGGCTGCTCAAGACTTCCACGCAGGACTTCATAGAAAGTATCAACCATGATACGGATCGTCTCAGGCGTATACAGATCGGTAGCATACAAGACGCTACCAGTAAGCCGGCTTCCATCTTGGAAAAGGTGGAATTCGATGTCGAAGCGTGTGGTTGGAAGATTCGGCAAACGCTCGGCAGTGATGTTTTCCAGCTGGATAGTGCCAAGGCCTTGCTGGGAATGAACAGCAAACATGAGCTGTACCAAGGGATTACGTGATGTATCCCTGGAGCCGGGCTGTACAGCCGAGACGATGCGCTCAAATGGTACATCTTGATTTTCAAAAGCGCTGTTGACTGTAGCTCGGACCTGACCAACAAGCGACTCAAACGTCTCTTTGTCTTCGTCAATGGTAATACGCATGCATTGAGTATTAACGAAGAAGCCAACTAGGTTCTCCAGCTCAGATCGATTGCGGTTAGCGATTGGAGTTCCTATCGTAGCGTCATCAGCCCCAGTTAGTCGATAATGGGTAGCCCTGAATGCAGCCAGAAGAACAGCAAAAGGCGTAGCCTGGCGAGCACGGCAGTAGGCCTGCAGATTCATATAGGTTGAACCCTCGATATTAATCGAAGCAAGACCCGCATGACCGGAAAGCACTTCCGGCCGCTGTTTATCACCAAACAGGCTAGCTGGCTGACTGCCTTCAAGCTGTTGGCGCCAGTAGGACAGCTGACGTTCATGTTCGATAACCTGGGCCTCTTCCTTTTGCCAAAGAGCAAAATCCCGGTATTGAATAGGCAGGGGTAGTGCTTGAGCGAGAGGATCGCGGTTTTGAATTGCGGCAGCGTAGAAAGCAGTAAGTTCGCGCTGCAAAATCTCCAGAGACCAACCGTCATAGATAATGTGGTGCATAACGATAGAAAGAATATGGTCCTGCTCGTCAAGGCGGAAAAGCTTTGTCCGCCAACCAGGATGAACTGCAAGGTTGAAGGGCGTGGTTTGTTCTTTCTGGAGCGCCTCAAGGTAGGTTTCAGCCGATACATCAATCAGTTGCAGCTTCTTAGATTGATATGGGTGGATGACCTGAACGCCGACGCCATCATGCTCTTCAAAGGTTGTACGCAGCGTCTCGTGACGCTGTTCAAGTGCATTGAGTGCCGTAGTGAGTGCGTTAAGGTCCACGGGGCCAGATAGACGAACTGCAAGTGGCATGATATACCATGATGCGCCGAGGTCCAATTGGTCGAGAAACCATAAACGTCCCTGAGCAAATGACTGCTCAACGGGGCCACTGTAGGGCTGAGGCTTGATAGCATTGTGTTTGCTAGAACCCTGGCGTATGGTAGCGGCCAAGTCCATGATAACCGCTTGGTCAAAGATGTCTTTGACGGAGATGGATGCATTCAAGCGGCGGCTAATACGGGCAGCAAGTCTTGTGGCCATGAGCGAATGACCACCAAGGTCGAAGAAGTTGTTCGTAATTCCCACGTCCACTCCAAGAACAGCAGAGAATTCTTCGCATAGTACGGTTTCCACTTCGTTGCGTGGCTGGATACGCTCGGTCGACGTCGCCTTGGTTCTTGATGTAGCCTTCGCCTTACGCAACAGCTTACGCCTATCGACTTTGCCGTTTGCATTAAGAGGCAGCTGGTCCAGTACTACAATCTGAGCGGGGATCATATAGGGGGGCAATACAGTTTGAAGTTGTTCACGGATCTGACTCTCGAGAATGCGGCTCTGATGTCTCTGCAAAGGCTGGTTGGTGAGCGTGTTGGATGCCCGTCCCTGGTGCTCGGTAGGGAATTCAAAGAGCACACGGGTCTGCTTATTTTCAGGCTCATAGCGGTGGAATATAGCATCAATGCCACCGTTCTGCGAATGCTGTCGGGCCCAGCTAAGCTCAACACGGAAACCGGCTTCGTTACCAATCTCAACAAGCTGCGCTCCAGACAGAGAGGCGTATTTCTCAGCTTTGCTGAGTACAGCAGAAACCCAAGCTGCACCGTCGAGGGATCGCTGTGTCTCTTCATCGTCGTCGAGTGACTCAACTAGAAGCCTCTCTTTAATAGTTTTGCTGTAGGGAATGTTGGCGATGGGGACAGCTAGAGCATCTGTTGAGTTCCGAAGGAGGCTGAGTAGTTGCTGACGATCTAATTGAGACTTCTTGAAGTCAACCCAGGAGCTTTCGTTGACTTTGTGAACTGGATGAGGTGCCTGTTCCTCCTTTGGATCGCGAAGATATACAACAGCTGCATATCTGTAGGCACTAAGCTCGTTGGTTGCCTTCATCCGCTTCGGTAGGATCTCTACATGCCAGACACTCTTTGGAAGTCGACTTGTTAGGCTAGTAAAGAAGGCTGGATCAACAAGTAGTTCCTCTTCGCGCTCTTCTAACTCGGCAACCCTCCGTTGAACCTCGTCCCTGGTTGCACTAGGGCCAAGATCGTGAAGTGCCCTTGCGGCTAGGAAGTCTCCGTTGATGGCGTAGGTTCGCATATCGCCAAAGAACAGACGCTTCATTCCTGGGATATGGGTCAACTGTTCGACCACTTCGAACAAATAGTCGCCTGAGGGGAAGTATTGCGCGACGGAATTGGTCACAGACATGTCCGCGCGCGCATCAAGCTTGCCAACGTCTATACCGGTGCCGACATGCACCGTGGCTCTGCCGTTGAGTGAAGCGATAGACTGGATCTTCTTGTTGACAAAAGAAGCTGCGGAGCAAGACGGGTCAAGACCAACGTAACTTTCGAGGCCATGGAGATTGAACAGGATCATGCCAGTGCCCGTACCAATTTCAAGCACACGGCCCGCCGGCTGCCCGTCGTGGATAGACTCCATGGTGTCGTCAAGCCATTCCTGCATTTCCTTCTTGTCGATCTCAGCTCCATCATACATGGAAGTCCAGCCCATGAAATCGTTTCCAACAGCCGATTGGTCAATAGTCTCAATCTCGGCGTAGGTGCTGGTTTCAAAGTGGTTGCCCCAACCCTCGACTTGGTTCTTGGCTTCATCTGTCTGCACGGACTGATCACTTTGAGCTGCTACAAAACCGATAATTTCAGGTTCTTCGCCCTCTTGCCTGCGGAGAACAACAGCAGCATCGAGGACATTACCGTTGTTAAGTAGAGCATGTTCGATTTCGGCTGGCTCTACGCGGTGGCCACGGATCTTAACTTGTTGATCCATTCGCCCAAAGAATTCAATCTGGCCATCTGTAGGACGGTAGCGCACGCGATCGCCGGTACGATAAGCCCTAACAGTTTTACCACTGACCAAGACTTCAGTAAAACGGTCCTTATTAAGGGCTGTGTCGGTATAACCGCGGGCGAGGCCATCTCCCGTAACAACAAGTTCACCCATGACGCCGATCGGCACCAGCTGTTGGGTAGGATCCATGATGTAGGTGCCTGAATTGCTTACGGCGTAACCGATAGGAACGCCGTTAACAAATGAATCCTGGTCACGCACTTTGTAGATCGTGCTAAGAATCGTGTTTTCTGTTGGGCCATAGGCGTTGTACACACTGCCGGAAACCAGATCCTTTGCTGCAATGGCATCGTGACTGTCGAAGCGGTCGCCTGCAGCAAATAAGAGACTCAAGGCACCGAGGGTTGCTGCCATCGGCTTGAGACACTGTTTTAACAAAGCGGGTGGCAGCATGGCTGCTTGGATTTTCTCTTTTAGGAACAACCTGTTAAGGGCCTCGGGGTCCAATGTTGTGTAGTAATCAATACACACCACTGTGCCGCCATTAAGGAGGGCTGAGTAGATTTCCCAGGTAGAAGCGTCAAAGGCAACGTTGGATAAGTGTGCAATGCGTGCCCCTGGCGGGAGATCCGAAACAACGTTGCTGTTCTTCACTAGTCTTGTAACTCCGCGGTGTTCGATCATTACACCCTTAGGCTTGCCAGTAGAACCGGAGGTGAATATGATGTAAGCAAGGCTTGTGGCGGTTGGGCTATTGATTAGCTGGAGAGAGTTATCCTTTGGAGCCTTGCTGAAGGCATCGCTGATTGTCATCATGGTGACATTTGGGAGATCAAGCTCAGGCTGTGTAACTGTGGATCCAAGTAGAAGAAGAATCTTGCCATCAACTGCCGAAAGAATAGATGTAAGACGTGCGACCGGGACGTTGACGTCAAGCGGAAGATAGGCCAGGTTAGCCTTGAGAATGGCGAGGAAAGTGACGATAGTCTCGCAAGACCGAGGGGCAAAGACGGCGACAGGCGTTTCAACTGCTAATTTCAGCTGCTGCTGGAACCAAGCCGCAAGTATGGTAGACTCATGGTCCAGCTGTGCATAGGTCAACTGCGAAGATGAATCCTTCACGGCAATTGCATCAGGATTAGCAGATACCTGAAGTCTAAAGATCTCCACGATGCTAGAGTCTCGTGGGTAATCGGTCTTCTTCAAATCAAGTATGCCGGTATTTTGAAGCTCTACCAAGCCGTCGGTAAGTGAGAGCGACGCAATGGATGCGGTTGGGTGCGTGACACCACGGCGTAGGACTTCTTCAAAAATGTTGACAAGGCCACGAATGGTAGCCTCCTCGAAAAGATCCGAAGCGTAGAGGATGCTGCCTCCCAGACGATCCTCTTCTTGGAACAGATGGAACTCAAGGTCAAAGCGAGTAGTGGCAGGGGTGGCCACACGCTCGCTCGCTAAGCCTTCCAGCGGAATTCTTCCGAGGTCATACTGTGAATGTAATGCGAACATAAGTTGTACCAATGGGTTGCGAGACGTATCTCGGAAACCGGGCTGAAGCGCTGTTACAATGCTCTCGAACGGCACATCCTGGTTGTCAAAAGCAGCAGTGGTAGTTGTGCGGACTTGGCGAACAAGGCTATCGAACGTTTCGTCGTCCTGGATAACTGTCCGAATGCACTGCGCGTTAACGAAAAATCCAATAAGATCCTCAAGCTCAGACCTGTTGCGGTTGGCGATTGGCGTTCCGATAGTTGCGTCTTCCACCCCAGTAAGCCTATAATGCGTGGCGCGGAATGCTGCAAGCAATACAGCAAAGGATGTAAAATGGTTGCTTCGACAGTAGGCTTGCAAGGCTTCATAGACCTCACCCTCAATTGTCATTTGAATCACGCCGGCGTCGCCCGAAAGAATCTGCGGACGAGCTTTATCGGACAAGAATTCTGCAGGCATACTGTCTGCTAATTGCTCAGTCCAATAATCTAGCTGCCGGCGTTGGTCTGCCACTTGGGTGTCATTCTTTTGCCAAACAGCAAAATCGCGGTACTGGATAGGCAAAGGACGGACCCGCAACAGAGGATCTTCATCGTGAAGAGCTGCAGCGTAAAAGGCGCTGAGTTCTTTGCGAAGGATGTCAACAGACCACCCATCAGAGATGATATGATGCATGACAATGGATAGTATATAGTCATCCTGTCCCAGTTTGTAAAGCTTCACCCTCCAGCCTAGTTCAGTGGCCAGGTCAAACGGTGTTGTTTGCTCGCTCTTAAGCGGCTCAACATAGCTATTGCTGTCACGCTCACTGGAAAGATCAACAACAGTGATCTCCTTGTTGCGCGGTGGGTGAACAACTTGGATACCCACGCCGTCTTGTTCAATGAATGTGGTGCGTAGAGTCTCGTGACGTTCCTGCAGAGCATTGAATGCCTTGGAAAGCGCATCCACTCGCAAAGGTCCGCGAAGTCGTGCTGCAAGGGGCATCAGATACCATAGGGCACCAGTATTAAGCTTGTCTAAGAACCAGAGACGGCCTTGAGCAAACGATTGCTCAACTGGTCCGTAGTAAGGCGTAGGTGTAATAGGTTTGTGGAGAGCCGAGCCGATTCGGATAATAGTAGCAAGATCGACGAGAACCGGCTGATTGAAAATATCCTTAACAGTCAGAGGGGCATCTAGTCTTCGACTGATGCGTGCAGCTAACTTCGTTGCCATAAGGGAATGACCACCGAGGTCGAAGAAATTATCCGTAATCCCAACCTCAATGCCAAGCACCTTAGCATATTCTTCGCAAAGAGCAGCTTCAATCTCGTTACGTGGAGCTACCCGGAGGGCAACAGTGTTAGTCCTCGGGGTTGTCAAGGCCCTTCTCACGAGCTCATGGCGGTCAACCTTGCCATTGGCATTGAGTGGCATGTGGTCCACGATGATGATCTGTGAGGGAACCATATATGTAGGCAAGGCAGCCTGGAGTCGCTGTCGAATGGTCCTTTCTGATACAGTGGTGGTGGCAACCGAATATTCGCCGCTACCAGTTGTCTGTTCACCATCCGTATGGACAGTAACAAAGCCAACCATTTCCGGCTGCTGGTCTTCAAACTGTCTGATGACGACAGCCGAGTCGCGAATTCCTGGAAGACCAGCCATTGCTTGTTCGACTTCTGCTGTCTCAATGCGGTATCCTCGGATTTTGACCTGGTTGTCTGTGCGCCCGATGAACTCAATTTCACCATCAATCGGCCTGTATCGGGTTCGATCGCCAGTTCGATAGGCCCGCATAGACTGGCCGTCAACTGTAACTTGTACAAAACGGTTAGAATCCAAATAAGGGTCCGTATAACCGCGGGCCAATCCATCACCCGTGACGACAAGTTCGCCGATAACACCTAGAGGAACCAACTGTTGACGAGAGTCCATGATGAATGCGCCCGAGTTCTTGATAGCCCTTCCAATAGGTAAGCCATTAATGCATTGTTCATCAGGACCCATCTCGTAAATGGTGCTGTATGTTGTGTTTTCAGTTGGCCCGTAGACGTGGCAAAGGGCACGCTGGACAAGACCGCGCGCCTTCAACGCATCCTGTGGACGCATTTTCTCACCTCCAGTGAGTAGAACATCCAGACTACTAACAACAGTAGGAAACTCCTCAAGGAATTGACGTAACAATGCTGTTGTAAAGAACGCTATGTTAATGTTGTTGGTGTGGATTGCGTCTCGTAGAAGAGAAGGACTGAGGACCGTCATCTGGTCGAGACAAACAACAGTCCCGCCGTTGAGCAGTGGTGAATAGATCTCCCAGGTTGTAGCGTCGAAAGCTAGGTTGGATATATGGGCCATGCTAGCTCCGACACCTGCTTGCAGATGCCCCTGGGTGTTCTTTACCAACCGGACGATTCCACGATGCTCAACCATGACACCCTTAGGGCGGCCAGTTGAACCAGATGTAAACATCACATAAGCGAGACTTGTCGCGTCGGGAACATCAGCCGTATTGATGCCCTTAGCCAAATGAGAATTGCTCATAGCCTCATTGATTCGTACTAGCTCCACGCCAGACAGCTTGATATCTGGCATAGATAATGTGTCGGCAAGCAACACCAGTTTGTCGCCTGGTACTTCCGCCAAAATGTCCTCCAAACGGCTAGCAGGCACATTGATGTCAAATGGAAGATAAGCCAAGTTTGCTTTGAGGATGGCGAGAAGCGTGATAACAGTCTCACATGATCGTGGCGCTAGGACACCAACGAGTGTGTCAGGAGCCAGGTTTCGCTGCCGAAGCCAGGAGGCGAGTCGGTCGGATTGAGTGTTAAGTTGGCTATAGGTCAGCTGAGATGAGCTATCCTTGACAGCAATTGCCGTAGGGTTAGAAGCAACCTGGCTGAGGAAAACGTCGACTACGCTGGAATCGCGTGGGTAGTCCGACTTATCGACCTTCAGCAAACCTAGACTACGTAAAGCTGGTAATCCATTTGTGAGAGGTAATCCAGCAATAGGCTCCTGCGGTTGGTCAATTCCCCGGCGAAGGACTTCTTGGAAGACGTCGATAACTACTTGGACGCTTTCAACTTCGAAGAGATCCTTGGAGTAAAACACAGTACCCCTAAGTCGTTCATCCTCTTGGAACAAATGGAATTCGAGATCAAATCGTGTGGTTGGTGTGAAGGGTAGCGTCTTACTGGTAAGACCCTCAAGCTGAATTTTTCCAACATCTCTCTGCGAGTGAACTGCAAAGATAAGCTGTACTAATGGGTTGCGGGAAGTGTCTCTTGACCCTGGAAGAAGAGCCGAGACGATTCGCTCGAAGGGCACGTCTGCATTCTCAAACGCGGTTGTGACTGTTGAGCGCACCTGTCGAACCAATCCGTCAAAGGTTTGGCCGTCATGAACAGCAATCCTCATGCACTGAGTGTTAACGAAGAAGCCAATCAGGTCTTCCACCTCTGAACGATTACGGTTGGCAATAGGTGTGCCAACTGTGGCGTCATCGTCGCCAGTTAAACGGTAGTGTGCCGCACGGAATGCAGCAAGCAGCACAGCAAAAGAAGTCGCCTGGTAAGTACGGCAGAAAGCTTGAAGGTTCTCATAGACGGTGCCATCAATAGAGAACTCTGCTAGGCCACCATTGCCAGACAACGTAGAGGGTCTGGGCTTGTCACACATGAGGGTGGCAGGCTGGCTGCCGGCCAACTCCTCTTTCCAGTATGACAGTTGACGTTCATGCTCGGCGATTTGTACCTCGTGTTTCTCCCACACGGAAAAGTCACGGTATTGAATAGGAAGGGGTGAAACCTTTGATAGAGGGTCCTGGTTCCGCAAGGCCGCAGCATAAAAGATGCCTAGCTCCCGCTGTAGCACCTCAAATGACCATCCATCGGAAATGATGTGATGCATAATGATTGAAATGATGTAGTCATCTGGGCCAAGGCGTAGGAGCGCGACACGCCAGCCCGGCTCGGAGGTAAGATCAAACGGTCTTCCTTGTTCATCCTTGAGGATTACCTCGTAGCGCCCGTCGTTGACATCAAAAATGCGGAGCCTCTTCCTTGTGCTAATCGGCTGTACGATCTGGACGCCGACTCCATCTTGTTCCTCGAATGTCGTGCGAAGGGTCTCATGTCGCTGCACAAGAGCATCTAGGGCAGCCTCGAAAGCACTGATATGGAGATTACCACTCATACGCACTGCAATCGGCATGTGATATCCAGTGGAGTCGCCCAATTCAAGTTGGTGAAGAAACCAGAGACGGCCCTGAGCAAAAGACTGATCAATTGGGCCGCCATTGTAGGGTAGGGCTGGAATGTGATTGTGCTTTGTAGAGCCTTGGCGGACAATGGCTGCAAGGTCGGCCAAAATGGGCTGATCGAAAATGTTCTTGACGGAGACACGAGACTCAAGTCTTCGGGTAAGACGAGCAGCCAACTTTGTGGCCATGAGTGAGTGCCCTCCAAGGTCAAAGAAGTTGTCAGTAACCCCCACTTCACCAACTCCAAGTACGTCAGCGAATTCTCCACAAAGGATAGCTTCCACTTCGTTACGAGGGGCGATGCGGGTGGCTGAAACAATGTTCCGAGGAACTGTGTGAGCCCGACGTAAAAGCTCACGGCGATCGACTTTACCGTTGGGATTAACCGGTAGTTGATCGAGAACCATGATTTGTGAGGGAATCATGTATGGTGGCAGCAAGGATTGAAGATACTCGCGGACCTCGGCTTCCATCTTGCGGCTCTGTTGTCGTTGTAGCGGTCGGCTAGTCAACAGTCTTGCTGGGCGTCCATCATGCTCTGTTGGAAACTGGATCAGAACACGGCTGTTTTCGTTTGCAGGTTTGAAGCGATGGAACACGGCATCCACGGCACCGTTCTGTGATCGCTGCCTTGCGCAGCTGAACTCCACGCGGAAACCGGCCTCCTTGGCTATTTGAACGAGGTCGTATGGGGAGAGGGAGACAGACTCCTTGGCCGACTCATAGATGCCCGTGATCCAGGCAGCGCCATCCGTCTGGTCCGGCGAGTCAAAGTCTTCAAGAGAGTCCACGAGCAACCGCTCAACAATAGTCCTACTGTAAGGGATGTTGCTCACGGCTACAGTCTGCCCGTCAGGCGAGCCCTCCAATAAGCTAAGAAGCCAGCTGCTATCAAGCTGAGAGGCTTTGAAGTCAATCCACGCCTCGGGATCAACAACGTGAACAGGCTTTGGAACCCGTTCGTCAGACTGTTTCACATGAATCACAGCTTGGTACCGGTAAGCGCTCAGCTCATTGGTAGCCTTCATGCGCTTGGGCAGGGCCTCAACATGCCAGATACGGTCAGGGAACTGGTCTTTGAGGCTGGTAAAAAATGCTGGGTCCACAAGAAACTCTTCTTCCCGTTCCTCAAGCTCCGATATCTTGCGTCTGATCTGGTCCTTGGTAGCTGCTGGGCCAAGGGCACGTAACGCTCTAGCAGCCAAGAAGTCTCGATTGATAGCCCAGGATCTCATGTCGCCAAATACCAAGCGCTTGATACCAGGAATTTGGAGAAGTGTCTCAATAACGTACAGCAGATATTTCGCAGACGGGAAGTATTGGGCAACAGAATTGGTCACAACCATGTCGGCCTCAAGGCCATTAAGGCCAGCCACATCAGTTGCAGTGCCAACAAAGACATGTGCCTTTCCAGCCACGGTAGGGACAGACTGAATTTTGCTGCGGACGAAAGAGATGGCGGAGCTGGATGGATCAAGACCGATATAGCGTTCTAAGCCCTCGCCTAGGTTGAAGAGAATCATGCCACTTCCGGTACCGATTTCGAGTACACGACCGGCCGGCTGACCGTCGAGAATAGTAGCCATGGTATCGTCAAGCCACTGTTGCATCTCTCCCTTGTCGATTTCGGTGCCGTCATACATTGAGGTCCAGCCCAGGAAATCATTGCCGACAACAGACTGGTCAATAGCCTCTATGTCCACATATGTACTCGTCTCGAAGTGGTTACCCCAGCCTTCGACCTGATTGGTAATTTCGTTCTGGGCATCTTGAACAAGTTGGTCCTCTCTAGCCGCAACAAAGCTAACCATCTCCACACCGTGGTCCTCATCTTTGCGAATGACGATGGCGGCATCATTAACAGCAGGATGCTTAAGAAGGATTTGTTCGACCTCAGCCGGCTCGACACGGAAGCCTCGAATTTTAACTTGCTGATCCATACGACCGAAAAACTCCATTTGGAGGTCGCTGGGTCGGTACCTGGCGCGATCACCGGTGCGATAGGCTCGAAGAGTCTCTCCATTAACATCGACGGTAATTTCGACGAATCTGCCTTTGTTGAGCGCTGAGTCGGTATATCCGCGAGCGACACCATCACCCGTGAGGATGAGTTCACCCATGACACCAGGTGGCACAAGGCGCTGCTGAGGATCTAAAACCAAGGCACCAGAATTGCTAATTGCACGTCCAACTGGGACACCGTTGATGCATAGTTCTTCAGGTCGCATGTGGAAGGCCACACTATAGACAGTATTCTCAGTGTGACCAAGCACGTTGATGATGCCGCCCTTTGCCAGGGCTTGAGCAGTGAGTGCGTCTTGAACATCGAGACGGTCGCCGGAGGCAAAGAGAAGTTCAAGATCTTTGAAGGTTGAGGGAGACTCGGCAAGGGTTTGCTTCAGCAGAGCTGGAGTGAACATGACAGCTCGAATCTTTTCTTTCTCGAACACCTTTCCAAGACTGGAGACATCCAACACTGTAGTATGGTCTATACAGACCAAGGTGCCACCACTAAGGAGCGCAGTGTAGATCTCCCAGGTGGCCGCATCGAAGGCAAGGTTGGCAATGTGGGCCACTGGGACAGCAGACTGAGTCTGGGTCTGGATATTAGTATTCTTGACCAGACGAACAATACCCCGATGCTCGATCATAACACCCTTGGGACGTCCAGTTGAGCCAGATGTGAACATCACATAGGCCAGGCTTGTTGCGGTTGGCTTCGGAAGAAGTTCGGTACTAATCTGCTGCGTCGCCTGCTGGCTGTTTTGCACCTCCGCGATAGTCAGGAACTCAACATCATCCAGATGAGTATCCGGAACAGGCACACCGGTGCCGAGTAGGAGAAGCTTTTCTCCCTCGATTGACGAAAGGATGCTCTCGAGGCGACCAAGAGGAACGTTCACATCGAGCGGCAGGTAAGCCAAATTAGCCTTCAAAATGCCAATCAAAGCCACAATGGCCTCGCATGACCTTGGGGCAAGAACTCCGATCATTGTCTCAGGAGCGAATCCCCGTTGGACTAGCCAGCTTGCTAACCGGTCTGACCTTTGGTCCAGTTCAGAGTACGTAAGCTCTACATTGCTATCCTTGACTGCGATAGTATTGCCATGGAGGCTAACTTGCTCGCGGAAAAGAGTAGGAATGCTAGCATCCCGGGGATACTGGGTTCGTGCAACCTTTGTCAATCCAGCATCAACAAGGGTTGAAATACCGTCAGTTAGAGGCATAGACGCAATTGGCGTAGAGGGTTCTGCGATGCCGCGGCGAAGAATTTCGCTAAAGACAGTTTCCATAGATTTGATAGAACCGGCGTTGAAGATTTCGTTAGAGAACATAATAACACCACGAAGGCGGTTCTTTTGCTGGAAAAAGTGGAATTCAAGATCGAAGCGCGTGGTTTTCGCGGCATCTAGTGGCTCTGAAGTCAAGCCTCCTAACTGGAGGTGACCCAAGTTCTGTTGGTAGTGAACAGCGAGAGTCATCTGGACGAGGGGATGTCGCGAAACATCACGCGTTCCGGGACGCAGCTCGGCAACCAGTCGGTCAAACGGCACGTCCTGGTTGGCAGACGCAGATGCCATGGTAGAGACAACCTGTTTAACCAGTGATTCGAATGTTTCGTCTTCTGCCAGCGTAGTCCGGAGACATTGAAGGTTTACGAAAAATCCGATAAGATCTTCCAATTCCATCCTGTTTCTGTTCGCAATAGGAGTACCGATAGTTGCGTCTTCCATTCCCGTAAGACGAAAGTGAGTTGCCCGGAAGGCAGCAAAAAGGACGGAAAATGGCGTAGTCTGATGAATTCTGCAGAACTTCTGAAGGTCCTTGTAGAGCTGTCCTTCAATCACGAGTTCGTGTATATCGGCTGTACCAGAAGGAATGGTTGGCCTAGGCTTATCGCAAAGTAATGTAGCCGGCTGACTGCCCTCGAGATGTTCCTTCCAGTATGCCAGTTGGCGCTCTTGTTCCTTGACTTGCGTCTCTTCCTTCTGCCATAAAGCGAAATCTCGGTATTGAATAGGCAGGGGGTTCACCTGCGAGAGAAGACTTTTGCCTCTGAGGCTTGCGGTGTAGAAGATAGCCAACTCGCGCTGGAGAATATCGAGGGACCATCCGTCGGAGATGATGTGATGCATTACGATAGACAAGACATGTTCTTCTTCGCCTAGGCGAATTAGAGCAGGGCGCCAGCCGGGCTCAGTTTCCAAGTTGAAAGGTGTAGAGTTCTCCTTCTGCAAAGCATGCATAAGGTCCTCTTCAGAGCCTCCGTGGATATCGATAACCCGAAGTTGCTTCGGAACAAATGGCTGTACTACCTGAACGTTCAGACCGTCTTGGTGCTGGAAGGTAGTGCGTAGCCCCTCATGACGCTCTTCCAAAGCCATCAACGCAGCATTGAGTGCCTCATAGTTAAGACGACCGTGGAGTCGGGATGCGAAAGATGAGAGGTACCATGTCAGGCCGGGGTATAGACGTTCGAGGAACCACAGGCGGGCCTGGGCAAACGACTGCTCAACCGGACCGTTATAAGCCTGAGGAACGATGGGTTCATGATGAGTTGAGCCCCTCATCAGAGTTGCCGCAAGGTCATGAAGGATTGGCCTATCGAAAATCTCCTTCACGGTCACTCGAGTCTCTAGCCGACGGCTGATACGAGCGGCAAGCTTCGTTGCCATAAGCGAGTGGCCACCGAGATCGAAGAAGTTATCAGTGATGCCGACTTCGAGACCGAGAACTTCGGCGAATTCGTCACACAAAGCGGCTTCGATCTCGTTACGAGGCGCCACAAAGACTGACTTTTGACCAGAAGACAGATTTTTTCTTGGTGCTGTCTTCGCCCTGCTTGTTAGCTCGCGACGATCTACCTTACCGTTGGCATTGAGAGGCATCTGATCCACTACAATGATTGATACGGGAACCATGTAGGGAGGAAGCACAGCCTTCAGTCTATGCCATATCTGCTGTTCCATTAGTGCTGCAAAGTCATCATCCCCGCTGCCTACCTGACCCAGGCTCTCGTCACCGCGGAGTAGGGTTTGTTTAGTAGTGTTGTCGTCGTCGCTTCTAGCGGCAACAAAACCGATGATTTCCGGCTCTTCGCCATCAAACTTGCGAACGACAGCGACAGCATCCAGAACGGCGCTATGGCTGAGCATTGCTTGCTCGATTTCTGCTGGCTCAATACGGTGGCCACGAATCTTAAGCTGCTGATCCATACGACCAGCGAATTCGATCTGGCCATCTGTAGGTCTGTACCGGACCCTGTCGCCTGTTCTGTAAGCTCGGACGGATTCGCCTGCAATAGCGATTTGAACAAATCGATCTTCGTCCAAAGCCCTTTCGGTATAGCCCCTCGCAAGGCCGTCACCAGTGACAACAAGTTCTCCCATAACACCAATAGGAACGGGCTGCTGGGCAGGATCCATGACATAGGTGCCAGAGTTACTAACAGCGCGGCCAATGGGCACACCGTTAGCAAACGAAGATTCTTCGCTAGTAACCTCGTAGACAGTGCTCAGGATGGTGTTCTCTGTAGGGCCGTATGCGTTATAGACGCTGCCGCGAACGAGGGCTTTGGTCTCAATGGCGTCACGGCCATCGAATCGATCGCCGGCAGCAAAAAGAAGATCCAGGCCAGCCAGCATGGCAGGGGTATTGATAATGCACTGCTTAAGCAGAGCAGGTGGCAGCATAGCCGCCTGGATCTTTTCCTTTGTAAACACAGTCTCCAGAGCCTTTCCATCTAGGGTGGTGAAGTAGTCTATGCATACTAAAGTTCCACCGTTGAGAAGAGCGGACCAGATCTCCCACGTAGATGCATCAAACGCAATGTTAGACAAGTGGGCGACCTTGGCGCGAGGAGGAAGACTGGAGTTGACGTTGCTCTGCTTCACCAATCTGACGATACCACGATGTTCTACCATAACACCCTTGGGTTGGCCGGTTGAGCCAGAGGTGAACATGACGTACGCCAGACTCGTTGCCTTGGGGTTTGCTGGAGCATCATTCGAATGTTGGGAAGCAGCGGCTTCGCGCAGGGCGTCGGCGATAGGAACCAATTCCACATCGGGCACCTGAACATCCGGCTTGCTGGTACCCGTTCCGATGAAGACCAGTTTGGGGCCTTGTACTGCGGACAGGATCGCTTCCACACGCCCCAAGGGCATGTTCACATCGAGTGGAAGGTAGGCCAGGTTTGCCTTAAGGATGGCGAGGAATGTCAAGATGGTTTGGCTAGTCCGAGGAGCGAGGACGGTGACAAGAGTTTCAGGAGCCAGCTGGCGCTGGCGCAGCCAATTGGCAAGCGTGTCAGAGTGCTTGTCCAGCTCGGCGTATGTCAGTTTCATCGATGACATGTCCGTAACGGCGACAACGTCGGGATTGGCAGCAACCTGCTCACAGAAGAGGTCTACCAAGCTTGCGTCTCGGGGGTAGGCCGTCTTCTCAACGTTGTGCAGGCCCAGTTTGTGAAGCTCTGCCATCCCGTCCGTCAGAGGCAGTGTCGAAATGTGAGTCTCTGGTTGCTCTAGGCCGCGACGTAGGACCTCGAGGAAAACATTCACAACACCGCTGACTGTGGCATGCTCAAACAAATCAGAGGCAAATGGAACGTTTCCTCGGAACCGGTTCTGTTCCCTGTAGAGATGGAACTCCAGGTCGAAGCGAGTTGTCACCACCGTGGGGAGTGACTCGCCCTGTACTCCCTCTAACTGAATCCTGCCGAAATCTTCCTGAGAGTGCAGCGCGAAAACAAGCTGCGACAGAGGGTTCCGTGAAGGATCTCGGGATCCGGGCAGTAGCGCTGATACAATTCGTTCAAAGGGGATATCTTGGTGCGCCCACGCAGCGGTTGCTGTCGAACGCACCTGTTGCACTAAGCTCTGGAACGTCTGGTCCTGTTCGATGATGGTTCGCAAACATTGCGTATTAACGAAGAATCCCATCATGTCTTCGAGTTCTGGACGGTTACGGTTAGCCACGGGGGCGGCGATCGTGGCATCCTCCGCACCCGTAAGGCGAAAGTGCGTAGCGCGGAACGCAGCGAAGAGAACAGCAAAAGGCGTGACCTGGTAGTTACGGCAGAACGACTGAAGGCTTTCGAATAATGGGCCCTCAATAGCAAAGTTTACCTCTTCAGCATCGCCCGACAGAATCGATGGGCGTGGCTTATCGCAAAGAAGCTCGGCCGGAGAACTGTCCGCCAGCTGCTTAACCCAATATGCAAGCTGGCGCTCATGCTCAGCTACCTGGGCTTCCTGTCTCTGCCAGACAGCAAAATCACGGTATTGAATCGGCAACGGAGGTAGCTGAGACAAGGGGTTTTGGCTTCGACGGGCTGCGGCGTAAAATATGCCGAGTTCCTTACGCATAATATCGATCGTCCAACCATCAGAAATAATGTGGTGGAAAACAATGGATAGAACATGGTCTTCTTCCCCTAGTCTCAGCAGGGAAACACGCCAACCGGGTTCAGTAGCTAAGTTGAAAGGGGTGGTCTGCTCCTGTCTCAAGACTTCTTCATAAGTCTCGGGGGCTGAGGACAGGTCAATCAGTCGAAGCTCCCCGGTGATGACCTCTTGTACTAGCTGCATACCCACGCCGTCATGTTCTTCATAAGTTGTTCGAAGAGTTTCATGGCGCTGCTTCAAGGCGTGCAGGGCAGAAGTGAGGGCCTCGACCTGCAGCGGCCCCCTTAGGCGCTCCGCAAAGGGCACGAGGTACCAGGATGAACCTTGGTTGAGCTGGTCAAGGAACCACAAACGTCCCTGTGCATAAGAGAGCTCGACGGGTCCCTGGTGCTCTGAGGTCGGAATGGGGCCATCCTTGTCGGAGCCTCGCTTAATCGTAGACGCTAGGTCCGACAAAGTCGGGTGCTGGAAGATGTCGGTCACGGTCAGTTCGATCCCTGCCAGTCTCGCCATGTTCACCAGCTTGATCGCGGCAATGGAATCACCGCCGAGCTGAAAGAAGTTGGCTCCCTGGCTCTTGGGGTTGGGGGGTAGTTGCAAGATCTGGAACCACAGCTGCCGCAACTGATCCTCTGCAGTTGTCATCTCACCGAGTACCGAATCCTCCTGCGACGAGATGGTGCTCTGGATCATTTCCTTGATAAGCTTGGCACCGATGGCACGGAGTCGTTTTCTATCCGTCTTGCCGGTGACGATGGTGGGACGCTGTCTCATGCGGAAGAAGTAAGTCGGGACGGCATATTCGGGGAGGACCTGTAGTAACGATGCCCTGATACGCTGGGCAGCGCTACTTTCCAAAATGAAGGCTTCTTTCTCCTCATGAATGGCTTCTTCCGGCTGGAATGGTCCAAACAAGAATCCAGCGAGCGCTGTACTGCTGCCCTCCTGGGGTCGCTTAACAGCTTCAGCCACAGGAACCAAGTGGCTGGGGAGCGTCTTGCGCAAGTGACTTTCAACGTCGCCAAGCTCAACGCGCTGTCCGCGAATCTTGACTTGGGAGTCCCGACGACCGAGATAAGCGACGGTCCCGTCTGGCCTATAGCACACTAGATCTCCAGTTCGATAGAATCGGTAGCCAGTGAGCTTATGCTGCTGTCGCCATTCTGTGGGGTACCAAGGGGGGGCCTCGTCGAAGAAAGGCGATTCCTTCGGGGGCAGAGGGACGATGTAGCCCTTGGCGATGCCGGGACTTTCAATTACTAGCTCACCAACGCAGCCAATCGGGGCAAGGCGACTGGGATCGTTGGGTTCGGTAATCCAGTAACGGGCGCCCAAGGCGCGTCCGATGTTCTGCAGGTCCGTGGTGTCCTCGTGTACAACTGCAGCACCGCAGATGGTTGAGCTCTCACTCTGGCCATAGGAGTTAATTACACGAATGTGGGATGAGAATGAATCTCTCTGGTAGGCAGTGAAAGCTTCACCTCCTGACAGGAGGGTACGCAGACCAGAAAGGCTATCAGGAGGAATTGTGGCGACAAATGAAGGCGTAAGAGTAGACCAATTTACACGAGCACGCTTGATGAAGCCTGAGATGTCATTCATACGATCGTGATCAGAGGGAATGCAAACGCAGCCACCGTGCATCAGGGTGCACATAGTCTCTGCCAAGCTCGAACCGAAAGCATACGAGGAAAACTGAAGAGACCGGGTATCCTTGTCAATGCCAAAAAAGGGACTAAACTGAAGAGCACATGAAGCAAAAGCCCGGTGCTCCAGCATAGCGCCCTTAGGCTCGCCAGTGCTACCAGACGTGAAAATGATATAGGCCAAGTCAGTTGGCCTCGCATTCGGTACGAAGCTTCCATTTGGAGGCTCCAGCGACCGGTAGAAGTTATCATCAAGCACAATGGTCTTGGATACAAGACCATTGAAGGTGTCACGGTGGAGCTGTGATGTAATTGCCAATGCGGCGGATGTCTGTCGGCAAATCTGGCCCACACGGGCTGACGGGTGGGCCGGATCGACTAATGCAAAAGCTCGGCCGGCCTTGAGAACGGCTAGTACCGCAGCCACCATCCACTTTGACTTTTCAAAACAGACAGGGACTGCAATCCCGGCCTCCAACTTCAAGGATTGGATGTATTCTGCGATGCGCGAGGACACGTTATCCAATTCACCATGCGTCCACTCGCCGTCCCAAGCATAGACAGCAGGGCTGCTGGGGGCTTCGGTGGCTTTCTGGGACACCAAGTCGTGGAGGCAGACATCATGCCTAAGAGGCAAGGACGAGTTCCAGCTCTCAATCTCGGAGCGGTCCTCAGCTGTAACGATCTCTAGGTCTGAGAGAGATTGGCCAACGGCAAGATGCTGGAACTGTTCAATCAAAACAGCCAGCTGCCGCAAGAAACGGGACACCTGGCGCCCATCAAGAACACTTGGGTCATATCTTGCGACAATCGAAGCCGAATCCTTCGCGACATGGCAGTTGATCAGAAGAGCACGATCAAGGGAGGCTGTGAGTTCTTCTGCTCCTACGGCAGTCTGGTCCAGGCCGGTGGCTGGAGTGACAGCCAGTACAGTTTGAAATTTACAAGCGGCTAGAGCATACTCTCCAGCACGGCTGATGGTATCCAGCCCGATTTTCTCAAACTCACGAACGACACCATCGTAGGCGGTGACCTCCCGGACAAGGTCGAGGGCGGCTTGGTGAGGCTCGCAAAAAACACGGGTGGGGAGTACGGTCCGTCCCAGACCGACAGCAGCGGGCTCCCGACTTTGGCTGTCAGGAGTGTTCTGCACCAACACGCCAAACAGCGCTTCGGTGGCATGAGTGTAACGGGAAAGGAGGACTGCAAGGGCTGCTCTACAGATGGCAGTTGTGTCCAAGTCCTGTTGGGACGAGATTGGGTATGTTATGTGATGCTCAGCTTTCGCATTAGGCTGAGGCTTTTTCAGATGAGATGGCAGAACAGGAAACGCAGAAGCATCCAGGTTGTCAAAGTGCTGCTGCCAGAACTGAGCTTCAACGTTGGTCAGGCCAGTGCCCAGTTGTTGGTCTGCTTCGTTGAGGTGCGCATTTTGGTACTCGACGGCAGCTCCATCTCCGACGGAAGATACCGTCGTATCTTTCTCTTGCCGAAACGCTACCATTTTTGCTAGGATATCTCAAAGGCTTGCTTTTTCGGTTGTAATTGGTATTATTAGACAGAGATGGGTTGTTATTTTTTTGTTGGGGGGTATTTTCAAAGAAGTTCTTCGCGGAATGATAACTGGACGTGCTTCAAGAGACCTCAGTACGTCGGATGAATTTTGAAAGATTCCGACAGCTATAGTCTCAGTCCTTACACAGTTGCCATGATGTCTCTATGGCGATATCACGAGTTAAGTATCTACTAAGCCAGTCAATGGTATGTAAGGCACGATTCCAAAGGTGCCTGGCTGTCCCGCGCTAATCCTATTACCCTCGGACTCATATGATTAGCCATTACCGAAATAGATGTTAGCTTGTCAGAAAATAAATCCTTCGCTTAGTATTTACTTGCCACCTTCCCACCTTCCGTGCTGGATGCTTTCTCAGCACGCGATGATAGATTTCCGAAGGGAGAACTTGAGGCTCGGCAACTCCACGGCATCGGCGTGCACGGACCATATATCCGGTGCGATGGTCCGTGCGTCTCCGCAACCCCGACCTCCCGCTTACCACTGACAAGAATTGTCGTGGGCCAACATCCGACCATGGCCTTGCAATGTGAAGACGGATCTCCATCCTTGGTTCTCTTTAATGATCAATACACTCCAAGCAGCGCTAATCGTCATGCAGAATCTATCCGCACCTGTTGCCTGCTGCTTTCTGCACTGCGGCCCTTGCCTTGTTTTGTGGGGGAGCATCCTATGTGCTCCCTGCATGATGCTGCGAACACAATCACATATTTCATCTGGACAAGCTGGGCAATGATCTGTATGCGACTTTCAGCGGAAGTGATCCATGGTGTAGGTCCATAGCTTTTCAGAGGCGCATGTGGTTCATTGCTGGATGCCTACGGATTCTGCAGAATCATTCTCCATACAATTAATTGGAGACAACTAATCCGTTGGTTTTATGGTCTGTGCGCCTTGAAAATTGTTTGGCATTTTGCCATCTGCCTGAATGGCTGGGCTAGAGGGTCTCTCTCTCTCTCTCTCTCTCTCTCTCTCTCTCTCTGTGCCTCTTTCTCTGTCGCTCTGTGCGCGTGTTCACACGGTATTTCTCACTCTTTAGCGATCTACTGCAGACAGATCTTCACAACACTTGATGTTCAAACGTGAGTCTACTGATCATACCTTTCTCAGAGCCTCACGGTCTCGGCCCAGATATTTATCAGATTTTGTGAAGTCACAATCGTTTCCAAATATGTCATCGCAATGTCGAAAGCAGTAACACTGCATTGGCCTTTTAAGAACATGCAATTTTATTGTCCGTCCAGCCTAATAGAATTTCTTTTGATAAAGTCCAATAAAATCATCAACCATAGTAATTGGTGTAAATGTCACATCCATCATGATCCCAGAGAAAGATCAAACGAAAACTAAATAAACACGATTGTAATTTATGCAGACTGTCGAATCAAGGCCCGCAGCAACTGAATACCATCTTTGACTGTCTGGTACTGCTCGGCAGCAGTGAGCTGGCTTGTAGGTCGGCCAACGTAGTTTTTATCGTCTAGCCACTTTTCCAATGCATCAATAATGGGCAGTAGTTGAAAGGCCACATGTATAGACTCGTCGACGCAAGCATGATTTTCGACAACCCAGAGAAGCCCCTCTAGAATTTCAGGAACGGTGCATTCGTCCCATAGCATCCCGCCTTCCATCAGGCAAGGCTCCGGCGCAAAGGTGGCACGTACAACGCGCAAACCAGGCGGCATGAACAAAACATCGTCCTGCTCAAGGACGATCAAACGTCCCTGTTCCTTTGGTGACCAACCGCGACCCTCCGTCGAGAATCGTCGCCAGTCATCAAGGCTAAGATCAGTGGCAACCGCCGCGATTTGCACCCCTGATAGACATCGTGTCCAACTTCCTACCAGTGGGTCTACATGCGACCCAGAGAAAGCGCCAACGAAGGAAAGAAGGTTGAAGCCTAAGCAACCTTGGACGTCGTAGGGAATCAAGTGTCCGTTTCTACCCACAGTACCGCCGACGCGATCAGCTAGTGTTGAGAGTAGCCGAAAGCGCGGCAGCCTGCTGAGGAGTGGCTCGTCCGCTCGCGCCAGACGGCGGAGGTTGGTGACACTGCTAATGGCGGCCGCAGCATCTGAAGATCTCAGGTCTGTATTAGCGACGGCCAAACAGTATTTTGCCAGGCTCATCGAAGAACACGCGCCTGTCATGCTGTTTTGGACATCGACTTGCTGCTTTGGAAAACGTTGCCAAAGCATATCAACATAGTCGACAATATCGTAGGTGCCACTATCCTGAAACTCCTGTTTGATCACCACGGGCTGGCGGAAGATGTAGCCCTTCTCAGCATAGCTTCGGAACGCCTGCCAGCCCAGATAGCATACATCGGCATCCTCTGGAGTTGACACACAGCTTCTTCCGAGAAGAGATTCAGGTTCGGCGTAAATGCTGGCCCAGCGTTGAGGGGCCAGCCAATCCAACTGTAGACGGCGTTGATGAGCAATCTCCTCAGAGCCGTGCGGCCGGCGCAAATTCTCCACAAACCGATGAACCGTATCACCGTGGCGAGCTTGCAGAGTTTGAAGCAGAGTCGGCCGCCTCTGCGGGGGTAAATTGTTTTCGGTAGAACTTGGAATTGGTCGTAGTGGTGCTGCTGCCAGCTGGTCTCCATCGCTGCCATCACCACTTGGATTCGTAAAAGGCTTTTGACGTCCTAGCCGCATGGCCGAATCTGAGGCAATATTGGAAGTAGCAACTGCGTAATCTACTATGGAAGGTGTTGATGTGCGTGATACCAGACCAACAGATGGTGATAATCTTTGTTTCTGGTTCTGTCCCGAAAATGTGGATGTTGTTGCTACAAGCATCTCGAGGTTCGTTTCCATGTGTTGTGCTTCCGATGTCTGTTCATGTTGTATTTCCAGTCCGCGAATACGCTGTGCGTCGCATTCTGAGCCACGGCTGTTGCCTGAGACTCTGCTCTCTTTCTCCACTGTGACTTCAGTGGCTGAAGGAAGCAGCATTCTTGCCTCTGTCTCGGTCTCTTTTTGTTGGACAATCCTATTTTCCGAAGATTCCAGTCCAGTTGTGACTCTTGTTTGCTCGTCATCTTCGGATACCCTCGCCTCGTTATCCTCTGACCAGGAAGAAAGACTGGATGTCTCATCCTCATCGCTGTGGGCGCTCGTACCATCCAGTGCAGAATTTCCAGGAACGCCGCTGATGGCAGATGATCTTCTCATATCCGTCGTAGAATACAAACTCGGCGAGTGAGACTTGCCTGTTTCTTTTCCTTGGTCAATGTGCATATCCTCTGTGACTAAATAGCGGCTACTGGTCGACATGTTCCTCGCGGACTGAGTTTCTGATTCCACTTCCGAATCTTCCAACTCTTCAGATTCCTCTGCATCCATAGGTTCAAGATTAGATAACTTCTTTTCGGAAAGTATGGTGCTTCCACCCTCTTGAGAACGACTTTTGTAGACACTGTAGGTTACAGAAGTGTCTGGAGGGACGGAAGATGAATGGCGAGCGGAAGATAGCCTAGTACGCTTAGTAGGCCGTGTGGCAAGTTCCTGTTGGTCGCTTTCACTGCTCTTTTCTTCATCCTTCTCGTCGATTTTGTCCTCTGTGTTTTTGTCCGTGTCCGGCACAACCATACCATAAATGTCAAGCTTCAAACCATACTTCCGAATAGGGGATCCATTGATGCGACGTGCCAGCTTCTTAATATCTTGGAGTGCAGACGTGGAATTGGCTTTCTTCTGAGCCCATTCCAGAGCAGCCAGTATATCGGATCGCTCAACTGGGGAGTGAGAAGCCTGTACTTTGGACGCTGCAGAGTGTTCACCAACCCTGAGAGCCTTGTTCTTGCCGCCCAGGACCCGAAGCTCGTGTCTTGCCAACATCTTGGAGTTGAGCAGGTCAACAACATCTTCCCATCGCGGCACTAATACAGCCAGGTCATGGAGCTGTCGAAGCAGTGGCAGTGGCAGGGCATGCCATCCGTAATAATCGAAACATTCGAGGCCCCACGCCGCAATTATGCCTGACTGATGTTGTAAATGTTGGCTCTCGCGGTCTCGCATGTTCTTTCCGCGCTGTGCCAGCCGCTCAAAGTCACTCCAACGCTTGCCATCCTCGCCATTGGAGTTGCGTGCGGTGCTGAGCACAGGGAGAAACGCGGCGGCGACATTTGCCGCAATGCCATCGATGGTGAGAATTTTATCCCGGTAGATCTCGTAGATTCGTTGTCGCTCTCTCGTGCCACGACAAGCTTGAGAGTCTCGGTGGAAGCTTGCAGCAAAGTTCAAGGCCGCTCCGCTTGCAGCTATCAACGACCGGTGTGTCGAGACATCAACGCCAATAACTGAGGACCCCGAGTCCGGTCGCTCTTGTAACGCCATTACTTTTGCTGAAGGAAGAAAATGAAAATGCAAGATTGATTGATAGAAGTCATCTACAAAGTGATTAGACTTTTACGTTTACTTCGTCTTTGCCTGTTATTGTGGCCTCGGAAGAGTGAAGAGGAGGAACAATACGTGTCCCACAGTACATCCTCGCTTACCCTGTCTTGGCGGTTGCTGTTAGCGAGGCCGGTTGGAATGTTACCAAAGTCCATAACAGAGAAAACCAACAACCGGCCTTAACGCGGAACCGTACTGCTGCCACAACCATTCGAATGTAACATCGCACTTTATCCTAAACCCTACTATATTTAGTCGAAAGAGCCAGAAAACGACAAGGAAAATAAGAAAAAAGGAACGTCTTCAAAGAGTGGCATCCACGCCTGCCACTGGATTCTGGCGCATATGCGGAGTAGAGCAGCCGGTGTTAGCGCTTACGTGGGGCATGTCTCGCTCCACAGAATTAGTTGGACCTCGATGGCTGAGGCTTACCAACTGTCTGTTGGTTCGATTTTTTCGAACACTGGTAAACGTAGTCCCTTGATGTTGAGCCAACCGATCGGTCCACTGCGGCCCAAGCCATCCATTTCGTCTCATCCTCAGACCATTCCTCCATGTGTGATTCGGCTTCGAGGTATTATAACTTTGGAAGATCTTGGGACTACAGTAGGTAGATTATTTAACTGCGCAATATGAAAGTAAAGTATTTCGGTGAAAAACTGGGCGAGAACGATGAGCTGTTATTAAACTGGTAATATTGACATTATTGAGCATTCCAGCCACCGCTCTGTAAACGGCGGGGTATAGAAAGAGCAAGCGAGCCTTTGAACTTTTAGAAAGAATTGAGAGGCCAGAGAAAAGGTTTCTTGATGCACTCACGGACCTTTTGCTCATCGACCATCAATCACATGACACACCTGACAGTTAAACCGATGTTTCTCCGGAAATGGGTCCATTGCCAACTTTGGCGATGCGCCAAACGAATGACCCTCTCAAATGAGGACATTTCGCAAGTTTTATTTGCCAGGGTTCTCCTACAAGAATGAAATCTCGTGCATCGCACCTTTAGCACTGCTTTACTATTTCAGAGTGGTTAAACTGATTCTCAGCTATCTAGTATATAATCCATGTCTTTGAATCCACACAACGACCTCCCTGACTCGCTATCGACGCAGCAATGTATCTTTGAGTTTTTCAGTGCTGGCAAATTCAAGTTGCCTCCCAGGACTACCAAATCTTCAAGCATCATGTTTCATGAGTTTTGAAACCGTGAGACTTTGGCTACTTTGGAATCGCTTTAGAAACTCCGAGGGAGTGAGAGAGTTAGTCCTGATGCTAGTTGCACAAAACAAAAGCAACAAGCAAACGGTTCGATTATGCCCAAGTCAAAATCACGGAAACTCGGACATTCAAGGTCTCCGGTTGCTGAGGCCCATGCGGTCATAAATTGTTCGTTGTATCATTAAGTCCGACGGGCTGTACAGGCACCGTTTTGATTTGTACTTAAAGTCTATTAAAGTAATATGGAGTCATATTGGACTATCACACTGTGGTATTGCTAGGATTTCTCCCAGTTGCCGCTGGAAATTCGCGGGGAGAAGACGACTTCCGACCCCACGGGCGGAACTATCCGGTGGACTAATCCGCATAACCTACAGTTCAATGCATTTTAGGTTTTTGACATAGGCGCGGTGGACATAAAACTAAGAAAAATGATCATCTTTAATTTGATGTAATCAAATTTGGAACGCGTGTGTCGAGAAGCTGTATGTCCGGGTCAATCGACCAGCAGTTGACCATCCCGTAGCCTTAATTCTTGGTCTATAAAAGCTGGATGGTTAGCTGTGAATCGCTTCCCGGCCATCGCAAACGCTTCACACGTCCATCGAACTACATCTATCTACTTCCACACGATTCAAACTTCGAAATATCTTGTTTAGTTCATTTATTCACCATGCAGATCATCAACCTTGTCGTTGCAGCCGCTGCGCTCCTCCTTCCCACCATTGTTAACGTAAGTTCTCTCCATGAGCTTCAACCTAATCGATGATTCTCGTCGTTGTTAACATTGTTCTTCAGGCTGGCTATTGCTCTGGAACAACCTGCATTGACTCTATCAGCTCATGGGAGTGCCCAAAGCAATGTCCTTCTTCGCAAAACTGTGTGCTTAACCGCCCATGCACTTAGTTTGAACGATAGACAGAGCATCCTACAACTTCTAAGTATACTGGTTGTCTGATTATTCTCTTGCCTTTCAACCATTATCTCTACCCCGAAGATTCTAAGTGGGACGCTTTCGAGGTGATGTCAGGCGGGAATTGTCAGCGGACTGTAGGATAGGCTTCATTTGAAGGAAAGGAGATTTGGCTCTTGCACACTAGGGAAGCCAAAAAACTGAGGAATGACTCCTGAGTCTCAAACGCTCTCCCAAGCTCGTAGTTATACCGAATGACAAAATCCAGGACATTTTTGGTTTATGCAAGTTTGGAAGAATATCCTGCTACAGATAAATTGGCCCAGCGTGGTGGCTCACTCGCTGGGGTGTGGTGATAGGTGTTATGTTACGTCATGAAAACAACCATCTCACATAAGTGACTCGGCACCACTTAGGTATCAGCGCAAATTTGTAGAAAAAGGACCTACTGAATTGGAATTCTTAGCCTGGGCGAAAATGGGGCTCAACCGCACTCGATGGGATACGTCTACGGTGTGCGTTTCTGAGAGCTTACGTGAACACACCTTGCTCGGTTTGTTCGGTCAGCATTGACACCATCGTCAAGCTTTCAAATTCAAGTCACTTTTTTACAAAATCTCTTGCCGTATCGCCATGAAATTTAGGCGGTATATTGTCAATACTTTTTAACAGATCGTCTATGATATTTGCTCCGTGGAAGGTCATTGATGTAATACACTGTGGGTCAGCTTTTCCATGGAGCCGTCCGTGGACAATGCCCCTCCGTACCCACCTGTGGACAGAGGCATGCTTTGTAATTGACAATAGTTATGTCCATAAAAGCTAGTGCCTCTTTTCGGATAATGCCTTTCCGCGGCGATTGATCAACGGCGGCGTGTTTTGTCATATTGGTTCAAGAGAATAATCATTGCTCAGTGAGCGGCTCTTGAAGCACTAACAACGACTTGATTGACCACGTATAAAATACCTGTAAATTATGTTCAGTCTATTCAATTGAGTATGGAACAATTATCTTTTCAAGAATAGTATCCATTGTCCCCAGCTACTCACTTTCCAAAGTTTTGCCTATCACAGTCAACTGCTGTGGGCTTTCTGGCAAACAACCAACCAATTTCTTCGACCAAACAAACAAACACACGCAATACATAACCAAAATGGCCGTCAGCGAGAATAGGAGCATCGCAGTTGTTGGAGTCGGCTCCCTCATGTCCAAGTCCCTTGTTATATGGCTAGCGGGTTTGGGATGGAACATCGCCCTAGTGTCGCGCTCTGAGAAGAGCTTGTCAGCCATCGCGGACGAAGTGCGCTGCGCCCAGAAAGGCAAAGGCGGCAAGGTCGTTTACCGGGCTGCCGACGCTAGCGACCCTGTTATACTGAAGGCCACTCTTGGCTGGTGTGTTGAACAACTCGGGGGCAAGTTGGATGTTCTAAACTACAATGCTGCCCGAGTCGCTTCCACCAGCGTCACCGACATGATGCCTGATGACCTGGAGAAAGACTTCAAGGTCTCAGCTGTGGGCACCCTGGTTGCCGGTCAGTGGTTTGCCGATAGTAACGCCAGAGTTGATCGTGTTTCAGAGGGCGAATGGCCACTTTTCCTCGTCACTGGCGGCGTCCTGGATAAGGTGCCGGAACCATCCTTGGCCTCGCTATCCACTGTCAAATCGGCCTCTCAGACACTCAGCCGACTGTTTGCCATGGAATTGCCTGAAAAATCTAACATTCTTGTCGGCATGCCCCTGATCTCCGGGCGCGTTGTCAATCGAGGGGAAAGTGAATACACCCCACGATTCGATGCGGATACCGTTATTGCTGCCGTTTTCCGGCCATTCTTTGAAGATCGCGAGAACCGACGTGACGGGAAAGAAGGATGGACCGTTGAAAGGGTATATTGAATTACTGGAGCACGGCTGAGACCATGCCGAGGAAGATGAGCTTGTTGGAGATATGTTCGGAAGAGTACAATCCGGCTTGATGGGGAGATTGACCTGTATCATGGCACGGTGAGCCAATCAAAATGGTGACTCACATCAAATTTAAGCCTCTATTCACTAGAGGTATTGCTCTCTATTACATAGCTTTCGACCTCCCAATCAACTGATCTTATATTCCCACCATGAGCGCTCGTCAACGCGTATCTCTAGCATGTCAGTCACACCGAAGGTGCCGTGTCAAGGTACGCATGCGAGACGTCACACATTGAACCAGTAGAAAGTACGTATATTGCTATGTGATTGCCCTGAACACGTTTTGTCTTCATTCACCAAGAAGAGGAATCGCTATCAGGATGGCTTATACACTGGGCCTTCATGACAAACCTCAGTAAGAAGTGGTTGCCGTACATGCCGCTTTTCGGGGTATCGGAGAATAATTGAGTTCTGCTACTCATGCGATGGAAAAGGATGTTCATCTTGTAATCGTGGCCGGCGTACAGTCAAGATCCTATATAGCGTATGCAGCATCCGCGTTGCCTCCAATCCTATAACTTGTAGAGATGTGGCTAGGTATATCACACGATAACTGGATGACAAGTATAAGGCGTTGTTTTATACTAAAAATGGTAGGTTAGGAGATTGAGGGAACAGAAAATTGAACGTTTGAGCGTCAATCACTGTCCAAATACTTCGTTCTAAATGAATGTGAATTGTCGGAAATTCTGGAGATCAATTCCTTCCACTACCTTGCCGTCCATGTGCCTGTCAACGTAGCACTCACCAATTATTTCCATCCCTTCTTTTCCATTATCTCGAACCACCAGAGGCATCGTAAGTCCGGCAACAACAACAACGATGTCGCCCTTTTCTGTAGAGTATGGGACAATACACATATTTCCCTTGTCGTCTATAGCGAAGCGTCTGAAAATGAAGACACCACGAAGATTTAGGATTTCTAAATATTCGAGGTACGAGTGGGGAATATCGGAAGTCGCTCCGCCTTGATAGGCACAAAGCCAGTCAGGAAAGGTCATGAGATCATCTGAGTAAGCTGACCTCAGTCGGGTCCAAGACCGAGTGCTGTCTACAGCAAGTGTTCTCCAGAGATTCTGCCTGTTTATTTTCCCTTTGACATTATTGGAGCTGGTCTCTACCATGTTGATACACGCTTCGATGTTTGTTTTGAGTTTCTGAAAAATGTCTGGGCTATCAAGCTGACCGTGATACGGGGCCATAGCAGGTTCCGTCCCCAGGAAGGAGATAGAGCTAACGGTCAACCCGCTAGCAAGAAGAATTTCTTTTCCATTCCGGCTCTCGATCCGACAGTCATTTCGAGTATCACCAGCTGCTTGGAAGATGACGGACGGCAGTTCGATGTTTTTCATTGTCCAGTCAGGAGTCCAGGACGGAAAGTCCGCGTGCCGTTGGTTGCTGCGACCGGCCCAAGTCAAGATAAAGGGGCCCTGAGATGTCAAAAAGCGCTTAGCTAGGTCTGTGTAGACTACACAAACACTTTGGTCGTAGTTCGGCTCAAGGAGGAGTTTGTCCAGATCAGGGTCTCGCGCTAAGCTCTGTATACCGTAGATCCGATCCCTGGGGTCAGTCGCGCCGCAGTAAGTGCAGTCTCGCAGAACGTCAAGTAAAAGAATATCGATGTCGTCGTACTGATAACTCTGGATCATGAGAATTAAAACTGATGAGGCAAGAGTATTGACTTGAAAGGCGTCCTTAGCGAATCCACTTCCGAGAGGCTTTTCATACGACCACACCAAACTGAATAACTGTTCCCATGTAGTGGACTTTGATCCGCAAACCACGGTAGTTTTGCCGTTTACAGCTGCTTCCTGTTGAATCCAGACCCGGGAGAACCACGGGCGGCACAACAGAGCATCGAACGCGGCTATCTCGATGGGAGGCTGCTGGAAAGGAGTCGACCTGTCCCAGGACCACGTTTGAGAATAGTCAACCCACGCTCTGTGCTCTTTCAAGGCTGAAGTAGCGTCCAGGCTGCTTACGTAGTCCATGATTGAGTCGCTCCCGTCTGCTGCCTCACCCAGCCAGATAAGAACGCTACTCGCTTGCGAATAAACTTCTTTCATAAAACGCACTTGGTGATTTCGCTCGATACTGTCGTTCTGGTTGATGCAGATAGCATCAATCCAGAGGGTTCTCTGGTTGTTGGTAGGAGCCAGTGCTCGGAGGGCGACAGCTAGGTTTTCGCCCACTGACAACGAAGCAGATCCAACATTTATAACGATCTTGTCGGCCGATGTACCCCAGGTATATGAAAGTGCCTCAAAGGAAGGCTTCTGGTCAATTGAAACACAGTCGATGCTGCAACAAATCCGCTCATTCGCCTGACTAGGATATAACTGCACCAATCTGATTTGTCGTGGTCCAAGTGGGCTATACCGATACTCGTTTGTCGAATGAGGACTCATAATTACGATGTAAGCTAGATTGCAAGTGAAATATTTCTCATGGAGTTTGGGACCTTGATGATATAATGACGGATTGGTGGTTCTGGTCCTCGAAAAACGTTGCTTCTACATTTGGATCCGAATTCCAACCGTAGATGGATGGATGTGATTCAAAACGGATCCCTAACAAAGCCAACACGTTGTTATTACATGTCAGCGATTGCAGAGAGCGGTCCTGGCTTCGATGGAAGTACCTAAATCAAATGCCAGCCGTTCACTTCTTAAGAAGAAAGCTTCATCTGCGGCTCGCTTCCATTGTAGATCCAAGGTCCTCACCTAAACAAAAGCGAATGTTCAATGACGAGAAGATCTACATGTAACAAAGGCCGATAGAATGAAGAGAATGAATAGTAAAACACTTTATGAACTACGCCTCTATGAGTCTTTCTGAAGGTTGGCAGTCTTACACAGCTCAAAAGTCACAACACGGTAGACATGTGGTGAAGATGTTTTCAAAATGGGAAAACGCAGAGACCAGTTGTTTCCTGTGTCTAGTATTTGCCAAGATAAAGTCATCATTCCAGGCTATGGGGTTGCAGATGCTTGTTGGCGCTAATTGACACTCGGTGAGCAAGGAAGCCTTGGCATGCATGCATGCATGCACACAACATTTAGCCACACTGACAATCTCATTCGACAAGTAAGGTATCATTTCTGGGAATAATTCGAGCCGGGTTGCTATGCTGCAGTAGCAGTCCGCACAGTGTGTCCGTTTAGCTGATTTCTTATCTCTTATGGTAGTGTAGTTTCTATGTAAAATAACAAAGGTATTCAGAGAATTGACAGGAGGTAATGACTTTGACTATATACGACTGTTACGTTACACAACAGGTGACATCATTTTAGTAGATTATGAGCAAAGTAATTGAACTAATCCCCGTGACATTTGATTCATGGCTGATCTGGCATAGTAGTTAAGGAGCTGGACAGGGTGAGAAGAGTTTGACGCTCATAGCCTGACCGAATGCAATACATGTCCAAACCTCTGTACAGCCCTAGATGCATGATTGGCCATGCGTAGGTTTTGGAATCGCATGCCAGGCTACGTAAGCAGACATATGGTGTACTTTTCCAGCAGGTCCCACGTGGACCAACAATCAGCCAGAGCAGGCAGAAAAGCCTGGTGATGCAGCCTTCACCGGCTGCAGGGTTGCAGCATGCAATTTCTTTGAGCAAGATGAATACGAATTGGCAGACCTTTCCAACTTCTGTATCAACTTGCTTTAATTGCTATATCAATTCTTTACGACGATGGTTTGATTTTCAACTTACTTGCAGGGTTTTCTATGTGAGAAGGCATCGGGATGTGCCCAATGGACCTCTCAAGCTAAAAACATTGGAGAGTGACGGGGAAAAAGAACACGACATTAGAAGAAGGTAGTAATAATAGGTTTATAAAGTGTGGTGAAGCAAAGTGCTGAACGTAGGCATGTATTCAAAGTAGTAGATTGAGTGGCTTGTCTTCTCCTAACTATACTATGGAACGATATCGTGCCTAAATATGTTTTGTGGGCGAAGCGGAATAAAGATATTCCGGTCATTCCATTTCGGGATTATCCCTATAGGCGATATGTAGGTCACGTGATGGTGAGGCTGCGTACTTCGCCTCGAAGGCATCACGACATACCCCCCTAGACGCGCTTACGTCTATATATAGTTAATTCTCCCTATTGTCCTACTGCTTATATTACTAAATTCGTAACGAATTAGCTAAAATAGCTATTTCTAAATATAAATCTAATAAAGGAATTAATAAAAGAGATATAATTAAATACGTTATACGTTATATAAAGGAAAAGTAGTTATCCCTTATACGCTATCGCTATAAGTAATCGTAAGGCAGGCGTACTACTAAGGGGCGCGCCTGCCTTCTATAGTTTAATAAGCATAGTTGCCTTCCTAAGGCGAATTATTATACTTAGGGGAAATTCTTCTACTACCTACCTACGAAATTTTTTCTTTCCTTAATAATTATAATAAATATATATATGAATTGCTAAAATCGCTTATTAACGCTATTTATACGACCGTACGTATAGTCGGCTACTTATTTTCAATCGTTTACTAATTATATTAATAGAAACTAATTAATTATAATGCCTCCTAAGAAGACTAAGGCTGAGCACGCGGCTATAACCGCCGTAGCTTACGCCGCCGCTATAGCAGCCTGCGAGGCTAAAAAGCGTAAGGCGTCGGAGGTCGAGGGCAAGGAGGGAGGGGAAGGCGATAGAGGATAAGATAACGTCCCTCCTCTAGGTCCCGAGCCCGAACCTAAGCCTAAGACTCGTAAGTTTCGTTTCCCTTATTATTTCGTAGGTAAAGGTATTAACGGTTTTAATTTAGTAGTTAAGAAGAAGAAGAAGAAGCTTACTAAGGCAGCCCCTTATATATCGACATTATTTACGCTATTTTCTATTCGATATTATATTTCTAACTTTATTTCCGTAGCTAAGAAGGGAAAAGGTAAGGCTACCGAGGCCG